GGTCATTTCGAGACTAACAATATGGTTCAACATTTATTTCAATAATTCGCTTGCGCGGAGGGGTCTTTAGCAGTGGGAGGAAACCGGAGGACCTGGAGAAAACAGGCGATCCTACTCATTGTCACGTACAACCGGAGAATCGAAACCACGTCAGTTGACTCAATGACAGACTATATGACACAACGCGCACGCGCTAACCATTCGGTCATCCAGCTCCCCATAAACCGTTAATACACTCAGTGCGGGATTAACCATTAGACAAATAAAGCACGTGCTTTAGGGCCAGCAAAAAATCCAGGCCACAAGACAGAGTAAAAAAAATTGTAATCTAGTTACTGCAATCTAATAAAGGTGCTGTTTTTTTGTGAAACATTTTCTGTTGTTAAATTTAACAATCTTCTGTTTCTCGGTGAAACCTATCAAAATGTGCCTTGGGGCCAGCAGAGCCTTCATCCGGCACTGACTTACTGTTTACATCTCGTGACCTTGGGGAAACATGCATTTGGCCTTGTCAAATAGATCTAGCCGCAATGAATGCGCTAATTATACAATTACAGTTCATTTCACTTCATTATGTTCCCACCCTTCCGTATAAGCGTGACGTAAATAACCCGAAGAATGTCGCGTTCTTGGCTACATGGGATTCGATAATATTTTATTTGATTGGCATTTAGTAATTGAACATATTAACACAAGGTACAATTTCATGGATACACAATTACTTAGTTTAATACAAATCGACGTTTCGACAAGGATACTCTCGTCTTTATCCATGTTTCTGAAGCAACGACTTTTATCCATGTTCCTGAAGCAACGACTGCGAAATACAGATACGTGTGTGTGTGTGTGTGTGAAATAGCTTTATTTAACGTCCGCTTCCACCGAGGTGATATCGCAGACAATACTTACCTGTACCGGAGTTACCTAAATCATATAGATAAATATGTGAGTAGTAGATAAATATATACAGAATATGCAACAAAAAGTTATTAAGTTTCAGGCGCGGAACAAATTTTTGCCCCATATATTCTCGTGGGAAAGGAGAACAAAAATTATTAAAAATGGCAGTGATCCCCGTAGTAATTTACTCCGAAACGAGTCGGTTGGTGACTTGGTAAATTAATTGCCCGTTAGTCTGCCTACCGATTGCCGGGCTTCGCACTCCCAAGTGGTGGCAGCACGCCCCTCCCCCCTTTTCTGAAAATCCTGGATCCGCCCCTGAGTTTTGTTCGTATTTGATAGTTATTTTTATCTTGGCCGGCTAGGGGTTGGGGTTAATCAGTTACGTATATGTTGATTTAGACAATATATTATTCGGATTAGATTCGTGTGAGGTGCACACATTGTCAACTCAAGGTATTATATTAATTCGTCTCCCCATTTTTAACCATAATACAAACTGGAGATTTCATATATAAAAATAGACATTTCGTGTACAAAAATGGAAAATGGACATTTCATATATATATTTTTTTTTGATCGGACAGTGGCGCTACTCTTATACACTTACTATTAAATACACACTATTATAATGCACACTTATTATTATAATACACGCTTACTTTTTAATACACTATTATAATATGCACTTACCACTATAATATACACGTATTATTATAATATACACGTATTATTATAATATACACGTATTATTATAATAAACACTTACCTTTTAATACACGCTTATTATTATAATATACATGTATTATTATAATATACATGTATTATTATAATATACATGTATTATTATAACGGGTATTACTATATTATACACGTATTATTATAATAAACACTTACTAATAAAATACACACTTATTATTATAATACACACTTACTGTTTAATACACACTTATTATTATAATACACACTTACTGTTTAATACACACTTCCTTTTTAATACACACTTCCTTTTTAATACACACTTATTATTATAATATACTTACCACTATAATATACAGGTAGTATTAGAATACACGCTTACTAATAAAATACACACTTATTATTATAATCCCAGTTCGGAGCAGAACAGTAGGACGTTAAACCCCATTTCATTTCATTTTATTATTATAATACACACTATTATAATACACACTTACTATTATAATACACACTTACTATTATAATACACACGTATTATTACACACTTACTAATAAAATACACACCTACTATTATAATATACACTTACTTTTTAATACACTATTATAATATACACTTACCACTATACTATACACGTACACATATTATTATAATACATACTTACTAATAGAATGCATACTTATTATTATAATACACGACTACTTTTTAATACACTATTATAATATATACTTATTACTATAATATACACGTATTATTATAATACACACTTATACTAATAAAATCCACACTTATTATTATAATCCACACCTATTATTATAATCCACACCTACTTTTTAATACACACTTGCTTTTATAATATACACTTACTTTTTAAAACACACTTACTTTTTAATACACACTTATTATTATAATACACACCTACTTTTTAATACACACTTCTAATACACTCTTACTTTATAATACACACTTACTTTTTAATAAACACTTACTATTACATGTATATGCTTTGACAGCAGCGCTTCGACTACTCTGAATTCAAATTCCAACTGTCAGGGAATCTATATATTAGTAAGTGCATGATGACCGCACCACACGCAAACGTCTATAACATGCTGCCTATGTGACAAAGTATTCCATAACTCATATCATATCATGGACCTTATAATACATTATAAGGTCCATGATCATGTAAAGATTATATTGTATACATGTAAAGCATTTATTTAAATGCATAGAACCAATTTGAACACCACATGTGCGAACTCATTGAACCTCATACGTTATTGATCTACAATATACTGTCCACTACACGTCCACTAATATACACGTATTTAATTACGGACGAAATAATTTCTACGTGTAGTGACAATGTTCTTGATTAAATAGAATTTGCACAGTTAGCTATACGAGGGTACATAAGACCCTGTGCTTCCTGTATTTAAAAGAGACGCAGAGAAGACGGACAGGAGATGAGCGGGGAGCAACATAGGAGATCGGAGACCGGCGAATGGACATCCGCTGCCGAGGCAGAAGGGCGGAATGGTTGAAATATAGTCATTTATTTTATGATCAGTAGTGGAATACCGCGTTTTATCAGTGAAATAAAAGTGTTATTCCACTGGCTAGCAGTAGTCCATGTTGTGTTTACCTAAAATGATTGTAAAATCATAAAATAAATAGAACATTTGTCGTTTTGTCGTGAATAACATATTTTATTTCATCTCTAAGCAAGAAAACGTTTATATTTTCACTCATGCTACGCATTCGTGAAAATATAAGTTTTCTTGCTTCTCGATGAAATAAAATATGTTATTCACTCTAAAACGACAAATATCCTCTATATACTATACTGATGTACCATGTTGATGTTTGATTTATGTTCCTGTGTAATGTATGTTCCCGTTCCCGATGGGGGGGGGGGGGCGAATGGTTAGCACGTGCGCTATATCATAAGGCCTGTCATTGAGTCAACTGGTGTGGTTTTGAATCCCCGCTTGTACATGATAAAGAGTAGGGTCGCCTGTCCAACCTCGTGGGCTTCCTCACACTGCTAAATACCCATAAGCGCAAGCGAATTATTGAAATTAAAAATTAAACCATATGTTAGTCCTGAATTGACCTAGTTTGTGTCGAGTGGACGTTAAACCCCATTTCCCTCTCTCTCTCCGGTTCCCGATGTAAATAAATAATATATTTAGTAAACTGGGCCCTGTTTCACGAAATTTTAACTAAGATAAAATCCAAATTTTAGTAATTTGATTGGATAATATTAGATTGATTTTAGTGCTTAGCCAATCAAAATTGAAGTATCTACTAAAATTTGGATTTTATCTTTAGTTAAAATTTCGTGAAACAGGGCCCAGATCACTAAAATAGTGTTACGCTTATGGTTACTCCTACGGGATTTCAGATTTGGTCCCATCCTATCGACTAAAGAAAAGTAGGATGCCAACCCCCGCGTCATGTGGCCGGGGGGAGGGGGGTATTTAACAATATTACATGGGCGGATCTAGGGGAATTCCTGACAGAAAAAGTCCCATTATAATTCATTCTTTTAGAACCGGATTCTTGTCTCCAATCTCTCGAAATGGTATTTCCGGGCTTCTAGTTTTCGAAATTTTCCGGGAGAGGCCACTCGGACCCCGCGTTGTACGCTTCGCACCTTCGGCACCCCTCCCCCTATCCATGGTCTCTGGATTCACCCCCTCATTTCGTTCTGCCATTACGGGACCTTGTACTTTTTGTCACTCACATCCGAAAAACAAGACGCTCTTCAATTCAGACGCTTTTTAATTCATTGTCAGGGGAAAAGCCAGACTTGAAAATCCGGAAAAGCTTTCTCGGCCAGAACCGGCAGCTCCATATACTCCATACTCAATAGTGGCGTCACACCTATTGGACGAGGGTGGTAAAATGCCATGGTGCCCCAGGCCTCGACCGAATTTACAAAACAAAACTCTTAACATATTAATCAAAAAAAAAAAAAAAAAAAAGAGAGAGAAGCTAAAATATAAATAATAAAAAAAAAACCCCACCACACCCTTAGTACTTTATGCCAAGGGTCCCAAGACCCTCCGGGTGTGTAGGCTATATGCCATGAAGGGGGACTAGGCCTTATAAATATATAAGAGCCCGAAATCATTGCAACTCGTGTTCAATGATTTAACGATAATCCGTAAACTGTCATGTGATAAATCGAAATAAAAAATGATCTTTCAAAAATTTAACATAACGTTTGTTTATAGATTTATTTATGCATTGATTTACATCTTATGAATATTAATATCTCGAGCGGGTTCAGTACAAAACATCCGGGGAATGAGATCGTCCGCCCTCACTTTTCACCTTTGACCTTAGTGTTTATTATTGTGACTGACAGCGCCCTCTGCCATTGGCGGGAAATCTATCTTCACGTTTGCTGATGGTTGGTTGCTAGTTATGTAAGGAGAAGGGCGAAGTGTGGTCGGAAGCGTGGAAAAACACGTGCATTATTTGTTTGGTCTCAAGTTAACGGTTTATTTACGAATAAATCTGCACGTGCATTCATTCTACTGAACCAGACAGTTTGATTTGTCAAGAAAATTGGTAAACTGAGTTACGGTAGCAGGATTCCTCGACGTCAGCTGATTCCTCGATTGCACTGCAGACATCGACAAGATTAAGAAGTAATAACTTGAACAGTAACAGAGAGGAATATTATCAGCTTTTAGCAACATCATCATGTAAGAGTAAAACTTATGTTGTGGTCATCTGGAAGTAGATCTAAACTGGACATGATTTACATCTGTATCTCCCCCAGCATAATACTCAGCTTTGAGTGAGTCTGGCTGGGTATTAATACAGATAGGCCTACATCAAGAAAGGATTCAATCTTTTCAGTTTTCCTTGACAAAATTGTCCTGAATTTGCTGAATATGTCATGTTTCAATATATAAATGAAATGGGTATAACATCCAACTGTTCTGCTCTTAGTCTTATGGGCTAATGAAGACCGGTATATGTGTGCTATGACGGAAATTTTGTCTGGGCTGCGTCACTATATATGGCCTACTTTTAACTAACTTATAGGCTGTTGAATTCCAACTGCCATGGGATCTATTAGTATTACATGTACGTGCACGCCAGTGTATACATGTACATGCATGGGACCTTGGATTTTCGTGCCATCCGAATGACCAGACAGCTGTCCTTGTCAGGCCGTCCACCCTGCACCATTGACAAGGGGAAGGAAACCACGTCAGAAACTCCCGATGAACTCTCTCAGCCAATGCAGGGATCCAACACGCGACCACCAGGCTAGCGAGCTTCTCACTCAGCCAGCGTTGGTTTGGTAATGTTCAGAAAGTGAAAGATTAGAATTACCTTTGACGATTAGAATTTGATGTTCAGATTAGGCAGAAACGATGCTGACCAATCAAAAATTTCCCGCATCATAGCACATTCACATTGCATGGTGTTCGTTGACATATTTGCAGAGCCGTAACTAACTCAGAGCAACGAGGGGTGTTCTCAGGGGTGCTGTAAAATTGACGGACAATGTATAATTTATTGTTTTTATAGTCAACAATATTTTCACAACAGGGGGTGGGGGGCTTTGCCTCTCACTGCACCCACACACACCCTCGTTACGGGTGTGCATGTTTGGTGAACAAATGTAAAAATAACATTGTTTTTCAGGTCAGCAGTTGAAGTACTAAAATCTAGTGAGAATAACAATAGTACTAATTCCCCGATAAAACCTGGAGATGAGGCCATTCAACCATCAGAAGCAGCACACGAAGATACAGGTCAGCACGTTTTCATTATATGCCTCCCATGATGAATCATTTTTATATGCCCCCATATTAATGTGGGTTGGGGTTGCATAGTCTATGGGGATGTTGGAGGGCGGGAGACGATGACAAACAGTGTTATGCGTGCACCTTAGAGTTAGATCATAAGATCTGTCAAGTGACGTGGTTTTGATGACAAGGAGTACGACTGTCTCTCCTATCCAGTGTGTTTTCTCCAGGTCCTCCGGTTTCCTCCAGCTGATAATATAGACCCCTACATGTACGTGCAAGCAAATTAGAAAAAAAAAAAACTTGAACCATATGTTAGTCCCGAAATGTCCTAGTATGTGTTGAGTGGACGTTAAACCCCATTTACCTCTCTGTCTGCTGTCCACCTGACAAGCGATTTATGACAATAAATTCCAGAGTTGTCACTTTGTAGAATCTTGTAAACACTAAAAGTTGTCATCTGATTTGTTTGAAATTTATGCGCTTTATTTAAAATAGCGAAACAAAGAATTTCCGTTAAGTACCAGCGATGCTAAAGTTATGGCGACTCTGAATACTGTATCAAATAAATTTATTTGTCAAATTAAAAATTTATACAATTGTTTAAGCCTAAAGTGAAGAAACCTGGAAGCTTATTGAATTTTAACTATTTCTGTTTTTAATGGCTGTCCTTGGCAAAAAGCTCATATGGTGTCGCTGTCTAGCTTGCCGGTCCAATGTGATCTGTAGTCAAGACGAGCGTCTATTCTGTTTACATTCGTTTTCGCTTAGATCATTTTCTAAACTATGACTTTGTATCGTGGCCCATTGTGTGCAAATAGGGGCGCTGATGCGTTCTTATATTCAACAACTTTACAGAGAAAAGTGGCTGTCGCTGACCGAAGAATCACTGGGAACCAAAGAGGCAGAATATCGTCTGCTCAAATCATTTCACCAGTAATGAGTATGTAATGGTAAGAAATACATGTAAAGCAAATCCAACTATTGAAAATATTTTGACCATAAAGTAACTTGCTATACCTGTAGCTAAGGGTCTATTCACCACCAACAGTTTTAAAGAGAGTACCGATAAATGAAAAACGTGCATGTAGTAACTGATTGTTGCCAACAGCCATACTTGGGAGGTAAGATGACATGCGCACTGGATCATACGGTCTGTCATCGAGTCAGCTGGCGTGGTTTCGATTCCCCGGTTGTACATGACGAGGAGTAGGGTCGTCTGTCCAACCTCGTGAGTTTTCTCCGGTCCTCCAGTTTCCTTCCATTGCTAGAGACTTCTACACACAAGCGAATTATTGGAATAAAATAGAACCCTGTGTTCGTCCCAAAATTACCTAGTTTGTGTCGAGTGGATGTTAAACCCCATTTCTCTCTCTCTACAGCCACACTTTTGCCTATAATAATATTAATAAATGTCCATTTGTAACCGACGATTTTTTAGGGGAATAATGTACAATGTAGTACCATGGGTCGTCTGTCAGCTTTGGAAAAAAGGGCCTCTGACAAACTGGTCGTCACATCCTACATATGACCTACTTATTTTCTTTCTACATATCTTGGAACGGCCCTTGATCATCTAGTTTGTTTCTCTACTTGCTATTTTGACATTCCACAGCGATGACAGCCTCACGTCATGATTGAATATACTGCATCTTAAATAGGGCTGACCTTAAAAATATCTTTGTTTCGCCTAACGCGACCGACTAACTAAAACCACCCCCGACTTAAATTATTTTATTGCACTTTTCCGCGATCTTTTTATTTTATTTTGTGTGTCAACCTGAAATATATCACGAGAGTTATTTCCCTTTACTATGGCTATGGTTTGATTCATTATTGAAACTGGTTGATCAAGACGAAAGCGTCATAGTTGTCGCTTCTCAACAAAATGGTTGCAGAGAAAGCACGTCCATTCCCACGAAATGATTCTGCCTCTATGTCTGTGGGGCGTCGTTTTAAACATGACGACAATATTTTCAATATAAGTTTTCGAGAAAAATAAAGGCACAACCCGCTCGATCGTTAAAAACGTGTTGAGGGAGTTTCAAACGTGAGTTTGTCGCAATTTGTGTGCGAGTCGTGCATCAAGAAAAATCCCGATGTCATTGATTTGTTGGCCAATTAAAGAAGACGAATGTTTGCACCCGGAAAATTATCAAGCTGTCAAATTAGCTCTTTAAAAAAAAAATCTGAAAAAAAACCCGACCTACCGACCCTTCTCCTCGATTGTGGGTCGGGTTTGGTGAAACAAAGATATTTTTAAGGTCAGCCTAGTATGAATAACTGAAACATTGAATACAAAAATTACAAGAGTCTCTTGACTACAGTTTTACATTTTAAGCTGGATAGCTATGGTTACATTAAAAAAAAAATAATGAACGCATCATTAGTCGACAACAGATTGTAAATTTCTCCCTACATCTTTATTGTAACACTATTGTTAGGTCTTTAAATGCTATGGGGAAAAGGGGGGTTAGATGGCCGAATGGTTAGCACGTGCGCGCTGTATCTTAAGGTCTGTCATTGAGTCAACTGGCGTGGTTTTGATTCCCGGTTGTACATGACAATGAGTAGGGTTGTCTGTCCAACCTCATGGGCTTTCTCCAGGCCCATCGGTTTCATCCCACTGTTAAAGACGCGTAAGCTAATTGTTGAAAAAGAATTAAACAACATGTTAGTCAAGAAATGACCTAGTTTGTGTCGAGTGGACGTTAAACCCCATTTCTCTTTCTCTCTCTCTCTCTCTGCTGTGGGAAAATTAACAGTCATTCTTAACTTTCCATCCAGAGAAATATGATTTTATTTGTCATATTGTTTTATTATTTCAGGATTAAAGCCAATGGTCAAGCGACTAAAACAAGAAGCTGACTCTACATGGACTGAGTCTGTAAATGAGAACCACATTAACACTAACAGACACACGCAAGCTATGAAACATGATCAACAAAACAGCATCATAGATTCACCATTAATCTTTAACACAGAAAACATACTAATTGATGTGGGGTCAGAGATTGAATATATTTCAAATGCTGAAGTTCCTGTCAAAAACGACTGTACCATGGATCCTAGTGAGCCAGGTTTGCAAGCAAGTAACTCTGAAAACTTTCTAATTGATGTTGGATCAGAGATTGAATATATTTCAAATATTGAAGTTCCTGTTGAAAATGACTGTACCATGGATCCAAGTGAGGCAGGTTCGCAAACAAGTAACTCTGAAAACTTTCTAATTGATGTTGAATCAGAAATATTTTCTAATATTGATGTTTCTGACGAAGATGACGTTAAAGGGGAACCAACCAAATGCGAGGCAACTTCGCAAACAGATCCATGTGGGATTTTATCAATAGAACGTTTTCGTCATAGCAACAAGGATTTTTTACATTTTGCTGATTGTGAATCATATGATCGTTTTCTACTGATTTTGCATTCTCTTGGACCAGCTGCAGATCATTTGAATTATTATCAACATAAGGTCACAAATGTGAGCATTGAAAACCAGCTTTTACTCACCCTAGTCAAGCTACGTTTACATTGGAAAAATTTCATTTTAGCCGACATGTTCGACATTTCGGAGACAACCGTTTCAAATATATTTATTACGTGGATAAATTTCATGTATTATCAATGGAAAGAAATTCAAATTTGGCCAAGCCCAGAGTTAATAAGTTCTGTTGCACATGATGACTTTAGCAGAAACTCCCCTAAAACTGGCATATTGATAGGTAGCATTGAATGTCCTATTAAAAAACCAAGCCTTCCAGTGGCGCAACAGGCCACCTTCTCCACGAACAAAAACAGGCATACTGTCAAGATCCTTGTTGGGGCAACACCTGGTGGTGTCATATCATGCGTGTCGGATGCATATGGTGGAGCAGCAAGCGATCAGCAAATTGCAGAGAGATCAGATCTCAAGGCTCTGCTTGATCCATCTGATTCAGTAAAGGCAGACAAAGGTCTTTATGCTCTGGATAGAATAGATGAGGAAACTGTTAAAAAAGACGAAGCCAGCTCTAGCAAGCGAGTCAACCTCAAAAGACTAATTGCCCGTGCAAAAACATTTAAGATTTTGCGAGAGCCCTTGAGCAAAACCGAGACAAAGCTTGCTACGCGAATACTTTTTGTTTGCTGCATGCTTTGTAATTTTAAAGACAGTGTTATTTCTAAGAATGCATAAAATGATTTTAATAAACGTTATCTTAATAAACATAAAGTCAAACGTAATTTTGATAAACAACTTGTTTATGTATCTAATATTTCATAATTATACATTATCAATTAAACTGTTATTTTAATGTCACAGAAATTACCAGTATAACAATTATAGAAATGTTCACAAAATTGATTATTTTGCTTTGTTGAAATATTTTATGTTGATAAACTTGTACCATGCTCTTGTTTAGAAATATAATTCTCTTTATCATAACATGTATTATGCAGCATGAAAATATTTCATGTAAAATTTTATCATGTTTTCACCATTTCTGTAATAAATAAATTGTTTCTGTTTATGGTAATAATTTTTATGTCTTTATTGGTCATACTTCGAGAATAGATCTCTGCCAAAAATGGCCGCCATATCCAACAATGTACATGTATAAGCGTACCTCAAGATTCTCGAAATTTACTTAACTTTTTTGAATAGAATCGCCATTTAGGACTTAAAATGTCTGTCAACTAGCTTAGTGTGTGTTCTCAAAAGGAGCTAATTGTGGATAGACTGCGTAAATTTAGTATGTTTATTGGTGTACACAGGAAACAACTCATGTCATCCAGTGAAAGTAATAACGATGATCAGTATTCAGAGACAAAAATGAAATGAAATTGGGTTTAAAGTCCTACTGTTTTGCTCCGACTGGGCTAATGAAGACGGGCAAACAGACCCGGGACTGTACAGCGCAGTGGACGCTTACGGCTAGCCCCCAGATCCATTCACTTTTTGAATTGTCTGTATGTTTGTGTTTTCCTGAGTATGATGTCCTGTCCGTGTATTTGTTTTTGTGTAAATTTTGTGTGGTGCAGTCCCCCTGCACTTACTAATACAGTTGCTTAGGCAATGGCACTATGGCCTCCTCTTATATCGAATTCCAACTTCCCACCCGAACTAGATAGCTCTCCTTGTCAGCACCTCCATCCTGCACCAATGACAGGGGGAAACCACGTCGGAAAATCCCAATGAATTTTCTCGGTCAGTGCAGGGATCGAACATGCGATCTCCAGGCTACCGAGCCAGCGTCTTACTCACTTAGCCACCGTAATTCCCAATTTAAACTGGTGTGGCCTATGTCCTGCACTATATAATGTAGGCTACATCATGAGAATTGATGATATTAGGTTTAAACTTCCCATCAGACTTCCACTTCAAAATTTTCCATATGTACGAGGACAACAACTCTAGAAGTAACAATGGGCCTTACCACTGATCAAGGGAGATAATCAGATTAGGTGGTGCCACAAGTTCCATCTACTTGTTTACGGACTTCTTATTGAATTTTTTCACCTCGTAAACAAAGGGGTTTAAAGCTAAATGCTTAAAGTTGTTGAAAATCAATGATTTAAGAAAAGAGTTGAGAAATAGAGGGGTGAAGCTTTTAGGTACTTGATCGAGTAGTATGACGCAAAGCTATTTTGTTTTTGTTTTCTTGCAACAAAATCACAAATAAGAAGCAAATATCACGGCAAACCAATGTATAAGAATATTGTTTTAAAATGATTTTGTATTATTCAGATTTGAACATGTCGGAAGATCCACAAAACAAAATGGAGGACACAACAGATTACAAACAAGAGGTGCTGGTAACCAAGGAGATGTTAGAGGAAGAAAAAAGGCTGGAGGAAGAAGGAGAACGAAAAGAAAGAGAAATGCAAGAACAGCATGATCAGGTATAAACTAAAATGTTTCTACATAGTTTAGGCCTAGCTTACGTTTCTAGTTTAGGCCTAGCTTATGTTTCTAGTTTAGGCCTAGCTTACGTTTATAGTTTAGGCCTAACTTACATTTCTAGTTTAGGCCTAGCTTACGTTTCTAGTTTAGGCCTAACTTATGTTTCTAGTTTAGGTCTGGCTTACATTTCTACATTTGTATTTTAAGCGTAGATTTATTGAACCCCAGCACTCAAATTTAATCAAATAACAAAACTGGTAAAAGTCAATCAAATAGTGCAGGCAGAATCAAATTTTTTTGTAGTAGCCGATTACTGCCATATTCCAAATATTTTCTAGACAAGAAATGATGAATGGGGTTTTTTTTGGTTTTTTTGATGAAAATATTATTGGTGACAAGTGTAAAAATTCATTTAGCACCGTAAAACAACATCCGATGCCATTCCGTTTCTGTACAGGGGGATTGGAGGGCCGAATGATTAGCGCGTGTGTGTTGTTTCATAAGGTCTGTCATTGTCATTGAGTCAACTGGCCTGGTTTCGATTCCCCTTGGATGGACCTTAAACCCCCTCTCCCTCCCCCCCCTCTCTCTCTCTCTCTCTCTCTCTCTCTCTCTCTCCTTTCTGTACTGTTTACACCATTCCATGCTTTTAAATATTATTTTAGTTATGGAAACAGATGTCCGATGATGAACATGCGGAGAAATATCGTAAATTACAATATCTACTCACCAAGAGTAACATGTACACAGAATATCTCATCAGTCGAATGAAAAAACAAAGAGAAGAGAAACAGTTGAGAGAAGAAAAGAAATTAAAGCGATTGGCTAGTAAAAAACAACAAGAAGAAACTACAAAAGCTAAGGTTTGTTAAGTCTTTGCAGTGTTAAGAAAATAAATATATTACCATAATCAACCCTCGATGCCATCTAGTGTCTCCGATATTAAGTAGATTAGAACTGTTTGGCCATTTAATGGTTTAATTTAAAATTTAAAAATGGAGAAGTGAGGCTAAGCTTCTAACAAACAGAACGATGGTTACAATCTATGCAAATATCTTGTCAAACCTTCAATGGCTAATACATATAGCTTCACTCAGAATAAAGTAAATTGAATTAAATTTTCAATATATTCATTTTTATACGCAGACATTGAAAAGTGGACGTATATTGCCGTCGCCCCAGTCCGTCCGACGGTCCGTCCGTCGTCCACAATTTCTTGTGAACGCTCTCACGGCAAAAGTTATCCGATCTTTCTGAAATTTACATGCATTATTTAAATTAGTGAAACAAGGAAAGCCTATTGAATTTCAGCAATTTCCGTTTATTACGTCTAAAGTTATCATTCGATCTTTGTGAAATTTATATGTATTATTTAGATTAGTGAAACGGAGAAGCCTATTGAATTTCAGCAATTTCCGTTTATTACGTCTAGAGTTATGGCCCTTGTTTCACTTTATTGATCCTTGTGAACGCTCTAACGCAAAAAGTTATCACCCAATTATTGTGAAATTTATATGCATGATTTAAATTAGTGAAACGAAAAATTTACAATAATTACTTCTAGAGTTATTGCTCTTGTTTCACTTTGTTAAACCTTGTTAATGCTCGATTGATGATAGTTATCATCCGATATGTATGAAATTTATATGCATCATTTAAATTTGTGAAACAGGTCTATTGAATTTCAGCAATTTCCGTCAATAATTTCTAGAGTTATGGCGATTGTGAACGTTAGAATGACAAATGTGATCTGTATGAAATTTATATGCATTATTTAAATTAGTAAAATGAAAAAGCCTGTCAAATTTCAACAATTTCTGTAGAGTTGAGACCCTTGTTTCAGTTTGTAGAACCTTGTAAACCCTCAAACAAAAAAAAATTTATAATCTGATCTGTATGGAACTGTCTTGTAAAGGCCCCCAATTACCTACAAAGGAATAAATATGCGACAACCCTTGACGCCTGCTCGGACGATTTAGCTGCTGTGGGCGTATGTTTTGTTGCCTGGCAACCTATCTTTCATTTATGAACTAGTATGGCAAGAACGACTAGCTCTTTATTTAAATCTGACATAATGTCCCTTTAACGGGGTTTGATTCAATCAGATTAAAAACAAGCCCATCAATAAAATTTCGCAGATCAATCAAGATGGTGGTGGGCTTGTTATAAGAGGCAGAAAGTTCAACTTTGTAGAAATGTTGGCCGATGTTTTGACAGATTCTGTCCAAAAACAGAAGTGGAAAAAATAGAGAGTAGCATTTACGTAAGGAGTAGTACGGATTGGTGAAATTTCTGTTCATCATAAATTTTTTCAATAATGTAAGGATTTCCAATGTTCTTCGTGAGTAGTCGTAACTTTCTGCCAATAAACAAGACTTGGCGTAATTTTAGTCCTTTTGCTAGTCAATATTTCTAGGAGCAGAAGGACTAAAATTACGTCGCAGCTTGTTTATTGGTGGAAAGTGACGACTGCTCACCGAGAACGTTGGAAATGGCTAACGTTGAATCTGTTTCAGTGATCTGTAATATATACTGAATGGAATTCAACCATATTTGGACTGATTCATTCCTATTAAAGATTTAACTTTTATAATATTGTATTAAACATGTGATTCCTATATCGATGGAATCATACTCAGAGAAAAGACTTTGACCATCTTGGTTATTTTTGAAACTGACTATGTTATTATGTGATTTCAGGAATCCACAGAACAGAAAGACAATGAGTCAGCCGAAAAGGAAAATAGAATTAAAACCGTGCCTGAAGGTGAGTTAAAGGAATACAGGATTTAACAGGTTTGGTGCTCACAGGAAGTCAAATAGTTTATATATGGGTAAATGGGTAAAACTAGGACCCCCTCTCTCTCTCCCTCTCTCTCTCCAACCCCTCTCCCCCTCTCTCTCTCTCTCTCTTCCTCTCTGATCTAACCCAACCCCCTCTTTCTCTCTCCCTCTCTCTGATCTAACCCAACCCCCTCTCTCTCTCTCTCTCCCTCTCTGATCTAACCCAACCCCCTCTCTCTCTCTCTCTCTGATCTAACCCAACCCCCTCTCTCTCTCTCTCTGATCTAACCCAACCCCCTCTCTCTCTCTCTCTCCCTCTCTGATCTAACCCAACCCAACCCTCTCTCTCTCTCTCTCTCTCTCTGATCTAACCCAACCCCCTCTCTCTCTCTCTCTCTCTCTCTCTCTCCCTCTCTGATCTAACCCAACCCCCTCTCTCTCTCTCTCTCTCCCTCTCTCTGATCTAACCCAACCCCCTCTCTCTCTCTCTCTCCCTCTCTCTGATCTAACCCAACCCCCTCTCTCTGATCTTACCCATTATAATAATAAATTTGTTATGTTAGTATTTGGAAAAAAGGACATGAGCATGAAATTTTAGAGCTCTTGCTAAATTGTTGGGATGCTTGCTAATCCTAGGAGCCTACTTGGAATTTTCAGAGAAATGTTCCATAGAATAGAATGTATGGACATGGACATACTTGATTACATCTTTTATGTTTCAACGATTTTCTTATCTTACAGAAAAAATTCCATCTTCTCCTCGTCGTACTAGAACACCAAAAGTTAATTCTGATTTTGAATACAGTCAGGAATCTACCACCAGTAGACGTTCAGGTAATATTTTATACAGCATTATTTAATTTAAATATTGCATATCAGTTATTCAAGGATTTGAAATAGAATGGACTTGAACGTCCTACTTTTATGCACCGACTGAGCTAATAAAACATATTTTTCATTATTCTGCAAGTCTTTTATGGAACAATCTGCCTTTTGATATAAAGATGTGTAAAAATGTTGAAAATTTTAAGATTAAACTGAAAACTCATTTATATTGAGCACTGAAAATACCATAATATTCAACTGATGACATACTTATTATTTTTAACTTGCAACTGCATTCTATCTTTTTTTTGTGTAATTATAATGTTCTTCCTATATTTTACATGTACCGTCAAATGGACCGCTTGACCCCTACGCACAAGCGACTTATTGAAATTAAATTGAACCATTGTTAGTCCGGAAATGACCGAGTTTGTGTCGGGTGCACCCCATTTCTATCTCGTCTTTTACTCGACGTCGGCTTATGTACAGGAGTATTTATTGTTTCAGGAAGAAATAAACCAGCAACACCTGGTACACCCAATTCTATCTCAACTCGTTTAAAGAAAAACACCACAATAGATTCATATTTTACCTCAAGTCAGGAGTCAAATAGTCAAAAATCAGGTGAGTTTATTCTGAGGGTATGCTCAGTAGAACATTTCATCATAACCTCATTATGTATGCAAAACAGGGTTTTTACTTGCTATTCATATATATGCATACTGTCTGTCATTGAGTTAAGTATATTGGTTTCGATCCATCCCACACTTGTATGTGATAAGGACTGTCTCTGGTATGGAATTTGTTTTCTTTTTACTCCTATGGAATATTTTTGTCTTTAATATTATCAAAAAGAAGTTTAATTAAGTTTAAAGATTATAATACTTCTTTTTTACTTGAATTGTGGGGAAGGGGGGGTGAGGCTTGGTGAGCGAATGGTTAGCGCATGCATATTGTATCATACGGCCTGTCATTGATTTAAGTGGCGTGGTTTCAATTCCCCGGTTGTACGTGGCAAGGAGTAGGGTTGCCTGTTCAACCTCGTGGGTTTTCTCCGGGTGCTCCAGTTTCCTGCCACTGCTAAAGACCCCTAAATGCAAGTGAATTATTGAAATGAAATTGAACCATGTTAGGCCTGGAATGACCTAGTTTGTGTGGTGGATGTTAAACTCTCTCTCTCTCTCTCTCATTCGAATATTAAGATCAACATTCCATTTGACCACTAGTTATAATATATTATTGTTCAATATAACAGGAACATCAGGACAAAAAGGCAGGAAACGTAAATCGGAACCGATAGAAGAAGAAGCAGTAAATATGGAAGTTTTCAATAGTCAGGAATCTCAGAATTCTTTATCTTCTAATAGATCTCAGGTTTGTGATATATTCTTTAATTATAACCCTGTTAAGGATGCAGTGTTTTCATTGGTTGTAACCTGGAGGTCCCGTGATCCCAGCATTGGCCGAGAAAGTTCATCAGGATTTTCCGGTGTGGTTCCCCCATGTCAGTGGTGTAGGATGAAGGGCCGGGATAGGAACAATATATAGTAGTTCGGATGAACATAACCTGAGGCCCCGTGTACACATTGGCATGCTCCTAAAAGATCCCTTGGCAGAAGGAATTCGAGATAAGAGTAGGCCATAGCGCTGCTGACAGGGCAAAATTATTCCTCATAGAACACTGTATGGCATATTCCCATCTTCATTATCCAAGTCGGAGTAAAACAGTAGGACGTTAGATAACCCAGTTTCAATTCATTGGTTGTAAGTTAGAATCCTAGTACAAATACAAGTTCTTGTCCGATTAAAGGATTGCATTCTTAAAACATTATAGGAGGACTGCACCACACACAAATAAAATCCACAAGACAAACCCATGGACGGGACATACAATATACTACACACATTACAAGCAATAAACAGCAAATTAGGTCAATTTACATTGGTTTTTTTTTTTTTTGATGAAACATGGAATAGACTGTGAGTCAGGCCCATAAATACTTGAGCAGTACTGGCGAGAATTATGATGGCTTCGGACCATAGGTCAGTTATTGAATTCTTTCACTGCATTCTTACCGTTTTCAATGATTTTCTCATATACTACCTGTATATCTGGTGTTGCATGGATAGAGCTCTTCAACGTGTCCTTATAGGATTTTTTTTAAACTCGGGAAGTGGTAATGCAACACCACCAGGAAAGTGTCACTTTCCAGTTCAAGCTGCCCTACACAGTGCACTTCCACCAATCCTATGTCACTTCCTGGCTTCAGCCTCGGGCAGCTCTCGAGTAGCCGCAAACCCAAACAGAAAGGAGTCACAAATATATATATTTATAAATGTTGATTATTTTTAGCGTGGTAAGAAGAAAGTGAAAACAGAAAAACTCACAGAAGTCTCTAAAGTAGAAGAGATGGCAGAAAATAAAATAGAAATAAACAATAATGTTGCTGACAAGAGTAAGGAAAATAATGAAGGAACCACAGTAAAGAAGAAAAAGAACACAGAAACTAAGGATGAACCCACAGAAAAGAAGGAAACTGAGGATGAAACTAAGGATGAGTTGACAGAAAAGATGGAAGGGGATGAAAAACGTATTATAAATGGTCAAGAAGTTCCCGAGTTACAACCTGTGTTATTTACTGGCGGTGTTTTACGAGATTATCAAGCTGCTGGATTTGATTGGCTGCAGGTAAATACCATTGATTGGTCGAGGGACTGACGGGTGGTCTAGTGGTTTCACAGGCGCTTTAGATCATAACAGGGGGTTGGATGGCTGAATGGTTAGCGTGTGCGCGCTGTATCATAAAGTCATTGAGTCGACTGTCGTGGTTTCGAATCCCCGGTTGTACGTGGCAAGGAGTAGGGTCGTTTGTCCAACCTCGTGGGTTTTCTCCGTGTCCTCCGGTTTCCTCCCACTGCTAAAGACCCCTACGCGCAAGCGAATTAGTGAAAATTAAACCATATGTTAGTCCCGAAATGGCCTAGTTTGTGTCGAGTGGACGTTAAACCCCATTCCTCTCTCTCTCTCTCTCTCTTTAGATCAAAAGGCCTGTTATTTAGAAGGGGGTTTGGATGACCGAGTGGTTGATGAATGCGCGTTGCATCATTAAGTTTGTCATTGAGTCAACTGGCATGGTTTTGATTCCCTCGGTTATACATGAGAAGGAGTAGGGTCACCTATCCAATCTTGTGGGTTTTCTCTGGGTTCTCCGGTTTCCTCCCTCTGCTAAATGGGATCGAATTAATGAAATAAAATTGAACATAAGTTAGTCCCAAAATGACCTAGTTTGTGTTGAGTGGACGTTAAACTCCATTTCTCTCTCTTGATCTGTCATTGAGTTAAGTGGCTTGGTTTTGAGTCCTATTGCAGGTATGATATGATCGGGGAACCATAATATGATCATTAGAAACTGATTATCCTATTTCAGGTATTGTGTGAGATCAATATATTTCAGGTATTATATGAGGTCGATATATTTCAGGTATTATGTGAGATCAATATATTTCAGGTATTATGAGATCAATATATTTCAGGTATTATGTGAGATCAATATATTTCAGGTATTATATGAGAATGGTATAAATGGTATTTTAGCAGATGAAATGGGTTTAGGTAAAACTGTACAGTGTGTTGCCATGGTAGCACATTTAGTAAATATGAACGTCATTGGTCCGTTCCTGATCGTTGGACCCCTTTCAACTCTACCTAACTGGCTGTCAGAATTTAAAAGATTTACTCCAAAGGTAAGGTGATGATTGTGGCAGCTAAAAGTTCAATTGCCTGCTTAATCTTGGGTTGGCTCTCCCGGTTTCCTCCCACTGCTGAAGAGATCTACTTGCAAGCGAATTTATTTTACAATTTTGATTTTATTTTATTGATTAAATGTTATGTAATCAATTATTATTATTATTATAATTTCATTTTTAAAGCGCTACATTATAACAATAGTTATTTCTAAGCGCTGTACAGTCATATTTACACAATGGTAGGCGCATGATTCTATTTATATGAGTTACTAAACAGATGAGTCTTCAGTTTCAATTTAGAATAAGATAGTTGGGGTTGGGTACACTCTCTGATGTTTCTGGGTAGTTCATTCTAAGTACATATTTGCGTGGATTATGCTGTGCCAGATTTGATATTTTCCAAAAAGATACAAATCTGGCAGTTACTTTAATATGTAATAATATGATTGGTTAAAGATACATTATGTAAGATTTAGATAAAGAGCTAACCATTCTTACTATAATAGTTCGAAAATAAATCATGTAAAATGAATAATTTGAAAATTTCATTCAAATTACTCTATTGCGAGCGAAGATATTAGCCTTTGAAGGTTTGACAAGAAGTGTGCAATAATTTCACCACCGTACTGGTTGTTCAAATTAAGTCTAGCTCCTCCTTTTTTAGCTTAAATCAAAATATGGCTGAACTGTTCTAATCTATTTAATATCGGAGAAATCTAATGCCATCGAGAGTTGATTATGGTCTGGATAAGTTAATTAATGTCAAATTAATAATTTAGAAAACATTTTTGGCCTAAAGAAAGACCTGCAATAGGCAGATTTAGCTCTTGCATAATGTATGTTTATTATAATATGTAATTGTTTTTGTAGATACCGGTTATGTTATATCACGGTACGAAGCAAGAACGGAGCGACATGAGAAATAAGATAAGACGTAAGGTGAAGGTCAGCGAGGGTATCGAAGTACGACCTGTCATTATAACATCGTATGAGATGGCTATGATTGACAAGAGATTTTTAGCCAATCATGAATGGAGATATCTGATAGTTGATGAAGGACATCGGATTAAAAATAACCAATGCAGATTAGTCAAGTGAGATATTTAATTTTTATTCTACTAACTTGTTCTGTTTGTTGGTCGAGTGCTTCTTTGCACACATAGATCATAAGGTCTTTCCTTGAGTCACTTGGCATGGCTTCGATTCCCCGCTTGTATGTGACGAGTAGGGTAACCTGTCCAACCTTGTGGGTTTTCAATGGGTCCTCTGGTTTCCTCCAACTGCTAAATTCCCCTACACGCACGCAAATTAATCAATTAAAATTGAACTATATGTTAGTCCCGAAATGACCTGATTTGTGTTGAGTGATTTAACCCCATTTCTCTCTCATAACATTTTTATCGCAAGGAAATACCCAAAGATGCAAAGATCGATTTTAAGCAACCATGCTTCTTGGACTGTGAATCGACTATTACAGAAATTAAAATTGTATGGTAATCCTCTATGCCTAAGGCAAGAAGTTCAATTTGAGCTGCCATGTTTGTCACTTGACTTGACTGTATGTAGCACAAACAAAAACATCAAGCCATAGAAATCTATAGCAATCACGTTTGTCACACAACATGACTAGCAGAAATTATAATCACAAGGAAGGGGGGGGGGCGGGTGGATGTCCGAATGGTTAGCATGTGCACGCTTTGTCATAAGTTCTGTCATTGAATCAACTGCCGTGGTTTCGATTCCGTTGTTATACGTGACAAGGATTAGGGTAACCTGTCCAACCTTGTGGGTTTTCTCCGGGTCCTCCGGTTTCCTCCCATTGCAAATGACCCCTACGCACAAACGAATTATTGAAATAAAATTGAACCATATACAAGTCCTGAAATCACATGTCGAGTGGCCGTTAAACCCCATTTCTCTCTCTATATATTCACAAGGAACTCCCTCAAGCCATAAAAATCTATTTTATCATGTGATTTGACTGTATCAGAAAATAAAATGAATGATAATTGACTGTAGCAGAAATTAAATGAATGATAATTGTTTTGTTTGTAGAGAACTGAAAACCTATGATTCTACACATCGATTATTGCTAACAGGAACTCCATTACAGAATAATTTAGCAGAGTTATGGTCCTTGCTGAACTTTCTTTTGCCAGAAATCTTTGATGATTTAGGAAGGTAATTGAGATTTTTTACAATTCTTTGAGAATTTATAGGATGTTATAGAAATTAGTCGTTCACCAACCTAAATGCCAGATTCCAACCTCGTGGGTTTTTCTCTGGATTCTTCTGTTTTCCCCGCACTGATAAAATTAAACCATATGTTAGTCCCGAAATTACCTTGTTTGTGTTGAATGGACATTAAATCCCATTTATCTGTTCCTTTCCCGTTGTAGCCGAGTAGTCATGGTATCGAGCTCTCAACTAGATTGTTCCAGGTTCGAATCTCGAGTGGTATCTAGTCCTTCAGAAGGCCCAACAAAGCTAGGTCCATTCTTAAAGAACCTTGATATTTGGAATTTAAAGAAGAATGGGCAAAATAATGACAAAAGATTAAACCCCATCCAATTTGTATTCAACCTATTTTGTAGTTTCGAGTCGTGGTTTGATATACAGAATATTAGTGATGAAGCAGCCAACGAGAAGATTGTAGCTGACGAGAAACAGAATAATATATTATCAATGTTACATCAGGTATAAAAACATTCTTGACTTTCATCTTGTTATATATCCTATCACATGATCATTCAGAATGGTGATTTCCATGTTCGTCCATATTGAAAGACTTCATCACGAGGTAAACCATTTCTTAACTACCACCTTGTTCACTATCCTATCACATGATCATTCAAAATGGTGATTCCCATCTTCATTATTAAATACATGTGTACTGTTTTACTGCGACTCTTTCACTCGGTAGAAGCCCACCATCATTCATTATAATACAGAGTACACTTTCAGATTACACTATCGCACACATGCATTCTTCTGAAATTGTGTGTAACTAATGTTTGATTGCCTAAGTACCTGTACCTTTATTTGAAATAATGGTACACCAACATTAAAGGGTGAAGTCGTTACCGTATTTAAAATTAGATTAGAATCCTGTCACATCTGTAATTGAGACTTGCATAACATCTGAAATGGGACTTACATCACAAACGGTCTCATGCTGTGTATAAAATCATGATATCTGTAATCAGGATACATGCCACATCTGTAATCAGGATACATGCCACATCTGTAATCAGGATATGTGCCACATCTGTAATCAGGATATGTGCCATATCTGTAATGGGACTTGCATCACATAGGTAATTTGGACTTGCATCACATCGGTAATTGGGACTTGCATCACATCTGTATTTGGGACTTACATCACATGTGTAATTGGGACTTGCATCACATCAGGACTCATGCTACATCTGAAATCAGGATTCGGGCCACATCTGTAAACCGGGACTTGTGTTACATCTGTGATCAGGACTCGTGCCTATCAGTCCTGTCTGTAATCCGGGCTGAAATTACAGCTGTTCTGTCAGTTCAAATCGTTTTGACTTGTCATCCTCGCTGAGACTATCATTCACTCTTTGACTATTCTTTTTTCACCAGAAAGATTCTTTGTTGAATTAAAAAAGATTATTTTTATATTTCAGATTTTACGTCCCTTCATGTTGCGAAGATTAAAAACGGACGTTGATCTGTGTATTCCACCGAAGAAAGAAATCCTGGTTTATGCGCCGATGGCTGAACTACAACAAGAACTATATAAATATACAGTAGATAGAACTATACTAGAAAAAATAGAAGAAAAAAATGTAAGCTTGTGTCTTAGGCCAAACAAAAAAATACCCAAACAATATTCTGGTTATCAAACAATCCTCTGATGTGGGAGTGAGATTTAATTTTCATGTTTTTATTTTATCAAATGATCTATACAGTCAAATTGTTGTTTTTAGGAATGTATGATTATCCAGTATCATTTATAATTTGTCATTAACATTTATCTGGGTTGTATACTTGATAATTGAGTCTATGGATTCATGTCATGCAGCCCTTTGAAAGTGACACACGATTATCAGAGAACCAGAATATTTTTTTTATATGGCCTTATGTGTAATAGGGAGCCACGGTGGCACAGTGTATAAGACGCTGGCTTTTTAATCAAGAGGTCTCAAGTTCAATACAGAATGGTCTAACAAGCTTGTATATTACAAGGGATATAATTGTTACTGGGTACCATCTACTGCTAAAGAGATCATAAGGTCTGTCATTGAGTCAGTTTCGATTCCCCGTTTGTACATGACAAGGAGTAGTAGTGGGTTTTCTCTGGGTCCTCCTGTTTCCTCCCACAGCTAAAGACTCCTTACGTGCAAGCGAATTTTTGAAATAAAATTGAACCATGTTAGTCCCGAAGTTACCTCGTTTGTGTTGAGTGTCCATAAACCCCATTCCTCTCTCTCTAAGTCTAACCAGGATCTCTCAGATTCACTCCTGGGTGATCAAACAATCTTGTATGTTTCAAGGAGTATGGTTTCCTCTGGATACCATCCACTGCTAAAGACCTACTCACAAGAGAATAATTAAAATAAAATTGTATCATGTTCTTATGTTAGTCTTGAAATGATCAGGTTTGTGTCAATCGGGCATTAAACCACTTTTATCTCCCCTTCATTTCATTTGTAACTGATTAGTCTACAGTATTTATGTTTGAATGTTGGATTATTTTTGGTTTTAGTATGGTGTAGAGGAGATAGAATATTCTGAACATGGTCGACCAAAGAGAAAGAGTTGTGGTAAAGTCAACTATGAGTTGATGTTTGAACAGAAGGATGAATCCGCTGGTGTTGATGGATTACCTGGTAAAAGAAAACGAGGTAGAGAATTAGAAAAGGAAGAAGAAGATTTGGAGGCCTGGATTACAGCCATCAGTGAAATGAACAATAAATCTACGTAAGTTTAGATTATTATGTAAATTTCCATGAAATGAAATGGGGTTTAACGTCAGGCTGTCCTGCTCCGACTGGGCTAGTGAAATGAACAACAAATCTACGTAAGTTAATATTACTATGCAAATTGGCAGGCCTGGAAATGAAATGAAATTAGGGTTTAAGTCAGGCTGTTCTGCCCCGACTGGACTAATGAAGACGGGCATACACCATACAGTATACTGTGAGGGAAATTTTGCACTATGGCCTACACTTGGATTGAATTCCAATTGTCAAGGGATCTTTTACGTGCACATGGGACCATATGTTAGTCCCGAAATGACCTAGTTTGTGTCTAGTGGACGTTAAACCCCATATTTCTCTCTTTCTCAAATGAACTCCATTGTTAACATTTTCTCTTTCCAAACAACTTGGCCAACACCTTGATCAAAGCTGGTACCTCCCGGTTAGTATGTGTTTCACAAGGAGATCTTTAAACGAACTTTACTTTTTATTTCAGGGGTAAAACTAGGGAGAAGAAATCTCAGGTAACGGTTCGTCTACAGAACATAATGATGCAGCTACGTAAATGTGTTAATCATCCATATCTATTGGAACATCCGATTGATCCGGAAACTGGGTATCTAAAAACGGACGAGACTACTGTCACAACATCCGGTAAAATGATGGTGCTGGATAAAATGTTACCAGAACTTAAAAAGAGGGGTCATAAGGTAAATTTGTAATATCTGATGAAGCGGGGCCTTTTTTTATAGAAGTTCAAACTAAAATATTTTAAGAATTGTGACCTTTATTGAAGGAGAGGTAAAAATTTTATATGGATTTTGACTCTCAACCAATTATATGGTAGTATGCTCAAATTAATTTAGTTAAAAGAGCTAAATCGCTAATATTTGGGACCTAGAAATTGACACAAATGGGTTACAACGCATATAATAATGTAATATGAATGTAGATTTTAAATTGACAAATAATTTGTGTTTTCAATGTCGAAGACTTTGGATGATATTGAGTTAGAGACTTAGCTACTTCAAAGTTTTCATGAATAAGACCCCAGGGCTTGCAACAAGATGTGATTAACTAAAAAATATAAGCAGGTTTTATCCGGGTCCTCCAATTTCCTCCCATTGCTGAAGACCCCTACGAGCAAACGAATTATTGAAATAAAATTCTACCATATGTTAGTCCTGAAATGACCTAGTTTGTGTTGAGTGAACGTTTTTTTGATTTGTATTTTTCAGGTGTTAATATTTAGTCAGATGACTCGTATGATGGATTTATTAGAAGATTATTGTGAATTACGAGATTATAATTATTGTAGACTCGATGGATCTTGTTCTATACAAAATAGAAGAGAACAGGTGAGTTGATTACAAACTTTCATTTATTTCTCAACAACTTTTCAGGCCTGGGTTCCTCCACCATCTTTGGTGGGGATGGGTTTGAGTGGTTTAACGCATACATGTGAAACCTTAAGGTCTTATTGACACAAGTGGTGTGATTTCGATTCCCCACTTGTATGTGACGAGTGGGGTCGCCTGTCCAACCTCAAGGGTTTTCTCCGGGTCCTACTGTTTTCTTCCACTGCTAAAGACCCCCTACACACAAGCGAAGATATAAATTAAATTGAACCATATGTTAGTCCCAAAATTACCTAATTTGTGTCGAGTGGATACCATCTTTCATAAGTTGAAATTGAAGCCAAAGTGGCTTAGTGAGTATGCAATTAGCTCATTAAGCAGGGGATACTTGGTTAATGGAGAAGTTTCATATCATAAACACTCACCTATAAAACACCGCCGAATATAAAACACACCCCTTCTCTGATCCTGGGAATTAAAGAAAAATTGATATTCCCCTATATTACACATAGGTAAAATTACCTGTTCATCATCAAGTATAGCATGTGGATTGTGCTCAGTTTAGACCTATTGTATGTTGCAGATCACGTTATTTAATGATAACTATGTATTATTGTATAATCCATTGGTATTATTGTATATTTCAGATGGAGTTATTTAATGATAACTATGTATTATTGTATAATCCAGATGTATTATTGTATATTTCAGATGGAGTTATTTAATGATAAAGATGGTGATATGTTTTTATTTTTATTGAGTACAAGAGCTGGTGGATTAGGTATAAATCTTGTAGGAGCTGATACCTGTATTATATATGATAGTGATTGGGTGAGTCTATTATTATATATGATAGTGATTGGGTGAGTCTATTATTGTTATCAAGCACAAAGATACTCATCAAAACGTCATGATAATAAACCAGTGATTCTTTCTCTTAAATAGTCTGAATAAGAATCTCAATTACTAAATCTATACTAATATTTGTGACTGTCGTTTGTCAGTCTGTTCAGGGTTGGCGGCTACACTAGGGCTGTCCTAAGGCTGAAATTTGGTGTATAGTGGTAGCTCGGACTGGGGAGTAACATAGACTAGCTTGCGTTGGCCTATCGCTTCAGATTTAGGAGTTACAGGCACAACCAGGACAGCGCCAGGTTATCTGCTACTCATCAATAAATGGCACTTAAAGACTTTACATGGTTTGATGCAATCTGATTAACTCTTAAACGACCCAGAGGTTTGACGTCATAACGTCATAAAAACCCACGTCATAATGGTCAATAGTATTAAAATATAGATATGCATTTTAAAGTCATATCATTAATAAACAACTGTAGATAGACCCTTAATGTAAATGGATGAAATAATCAAAATTTAATGCCATTTTCATAAATATATATTTATACAAAAAATTAATTTAGACATTTCATGCAAAATCCATGTATATAATGGTTATTTCTATTTTTTTTTTTTGTTCGGCTGTTGTGAACTAAAAATTATTCATCATGAATCTCTTTTAATTTAAGCTTATTTAAGTACCGTAATAGAAATTTGTTGATTAACTAAGCCTACTTCTATCACGTTCTAGGCCTAACGCAAAACTGTAAAAAATCTACACTACAGATAAAATCTGAATCACTGTCATTCAATAAGGATGGTAATCCGTCATTAGGTGAACGTTGCCGAATAGGTCTAGACATATCACCGTTTTATTATAATTTTTCAAGGAGAAACAGTAAGATTTTTAACTGTCAAAATGTCAAACAGGAAGTAAACAAATGAGACAAAGTCGTCTGTTCATAAGGGAAATAACTCTCATTATTAGGAACGTTGCATTCGGCTAACCGGTTTTGTCGACAAAAGTCGCCGTGGGTACTTAACGGTAACGTTATAGGTGTCGACAAAAGTCGCCTTGGGTCAGTTAAGAGTTAAAACACAGATCCTATTTCGTTTCGTTTTTATAGTTCAAAATTTCGTTTTACTTGTCTTTAATACACTTGGATCTGGAAGAGTTGTTATTTAACTCATGTTCTGAATGGTGTCAGGGATAAGCCAATGAAACGGTCTGTCATGGCAAGCTTTAGTCGTGTTTTGCACTGAACTGTGGGTAATCCACTAGTAACATCAATGCTGATTGGTTAATCAAATGTCTGACGTCATAGGGTCATAAGTTGGTCTTTTGACCCCTGACGTGACCTATCGCTATAACTTGTCAGATCTTCATGTAGTGTAGGCCATCGAAAGTATAAAAACCCGAAACGAAATATAGATCTGTATTTTAATCAGATTGGGTTTGATGTTGCTTATTTGGATTGAATGATATTTGATATTTCGTTAATGTGCATGTAAAGGAACACTTGGAAGTGAGAATTTGATGAAGGGTAGGTGGAAACACATCTCTCGGGGTAAAATCCACCGGGTGTCTGCCCATCTTTAATAATCCTCGTTTCTGCTGAAAAGTAGAATGTTTAACTCCATTTCATTTGATTTCGTATTATCTTCCAGAATCCACAGTGTGATTTACAGGCCCAGGATAGATGTCATAGGATCGGACAAACTCGTCCGGTGGTTGTTTATAGGTTTGTGACAGCTAATACCATCGACCAGAAAATAGTAGAAAGGGCGGGAGCTAAACGAAAACTAGAAAAAATGGTCATACAGAAAGGTAAATATATTAGGCATTTCTCATGTGAGCATTTTTATATGCATCCACAGTTCTTGTAAACAGGTGCTAATCGAAAACTAGAAAATATGGTCATACAGAAAGGTCAACGAAAGTATAACACTTGTCAAATATATTGGGCATTTTTCATGTGAACACTTATTTTATTTGTTCACAATTCTTAAAAACTTTCTAACGGTCAGATTTTTGAGGATTTTCTTTTAAAACTTTTTGGAATTGTTCGGTGGACCCTCCGAGGAACCCTGTTAATCTACAGAGTCACACAACTAGTTACTGTCCCTGTCACTCAGACCTTGTAAACACTCTACAGATGAGAGGGTTCATTGAGTAGTCTAATGCTCATAAGGTCTGTGAGGGGTTGGATGGTCGAATGGTAAGCATGTGCACACTGTGTCTAAGGTCTGTCATTGAGTCAACTGGCATGGTTTCGATTCCCTGGTTGTACGTGACAAAGAGTAGGGTCACCTGTCCAACCTTGTGGGTTTTCTCCAGGTCCTCTGGTTTCCTCCCACTGCTAAAGACCCCTAAGTGCAAACAAATTATTGAATTAAAGTTGAACCGTATGTTAGTCCCGAAATGACCTAGTTTGTGTCGGTGGACTTTAAACCCTCTCTCCTCTTTCTCTCTCATAAGGTCTGTCTGGAGTCAAAAGGCGCTGTTCCCATCCTACACTTGTGCTACATCCCCCTGCTAAAGATCCCAGTGCGCAAGCTAAATATTGAAATAAAAGTGTTAGTCCTGAAAAAACTTTGTGTATCGATCGCATCCCAACACAAACCATTACTACTAATGAAAATAATATCTACATTTAATGTATTTAATAAAGTGTTTGCTCACTTACTAGGAGGTCCAGGGTTTGATCCTGGTGTTGTCCTCGAAAGTTCATTGTCATTTTACAACGTGGTTTTCCCCTAGTCAATGATGGAAAGGAACAGCTTCTAGTCATTCTGATGGGACAAAAAAAAAAAGAAAAAAAAGTACTGTGACGTGCACATAAAAAAAGCATTATGTTGGAATTCAATTGCTGTTTGGGCAAAATTTCTCTCATAGCACACACTATGGTGTAAGCCCATCTTCTCTCTTGGCATACTGTATGGTGTATGTCTCTTATAGCACACTGTATGGTGTATTTCTTTATTTCTCCCATAGCACACAGTAGGGTGTATTTCTCTATTTCTCCCATAGCACACATTATGGTGTATTTCTCTATTTCTCTCATAGCACACTGTATGGTGTAAGCCCGTCTTTATTAGCCCCACTGGTGACTGGTTGGTGCAGAACGGTAGAACATGAAACCCTATTTTATTTCATTGCATTCATTCATTTCGTATATTTTGTAGGTAAATTTAAGAATGGTATAACAGCATTTACAACCGATGTAAAACCAATCAGTCCAGAAGAATTATTGGAACTGTTAAAATCTCAGGATCATTCTTCTATCATGAGTGGGAAAGAAGGCTCTCAGATAGACCAGTCAGATTTAGATGTACTATTAGATAGATCCGATCTTTATGAAAAATGGGAGGCGAAAAAACAAAATAACGGTAATTATAATTAGTAAATGAAATCTCAAAGCAGCTGATTTGTAAACCCTTGTACACTACAATATAGTGAAAATTGATTGATTATCTAAAAGGATATTAGTAAAAAAATGGTTCTGTTCAGTCTTTGGGGGATTGGATGTCCGAATGGTTAGCGCATGCATGTTGTACCATAAGATCAATCATTGAGTCAAATGACGTGGTTTCGATTCCCCAATTGTACGTGACAAGGAGAAGGGTTGCCTGTCCAATCCCATGGGTTTTCTCTGGGTCCTTCGGTTATGATGTAATTATTTTTAATTTGTTAGGATGTAATAATTCTTATTTTCAATAATTCCAGGTAAAAAGAAGACAACGAAATCAAAGAAAAAGCAAACCAAGAAAGAAGTGGAAGGAAAATTCTTCAAAGTTGTAGATATTTATGATGATGATGACGACAGCCGTTCAAGTACGGGATCTGGAACTTCTAAGAAACAATGTTAATACTTTTATTACCATGAGTAAAATACAAAACAGTGCTAAATACAAAATAGGATTTGTATACTAGAGGCAGATAGTGTAGACATTTGTTAAGATTTTTTATTTTATCAAACATTTTTAGAAGACTGACTTTTTTCTTTTTTTAAGAGAATAACAGAAGTTTTCAAAGGATAAATGTGGATATGACTAATATGGTCGTTCTAGTTCATGACAAAATGGTGTGATGATACATAGAACCAAAATAAAACAGTGCTATCTAGACAGGAATTGAGAGATAATACTCTCCAATTTAAAGTAGTTGTATACATTGATGTCGACCGCGTCCAATAAGTTATCTCTCTTTGTTACAAAATCTTATTTTATGGGGTTAACTGTTACCTGATAACTGATGGGTATGCGTAGTGTTGCCTGGCAACGTATGTTTTTGATATATGTTTTGTTAATGTAAGATTATGCATATGTAAATACAGATAGTTTGAAAACCTTGCCAAGTACAGTATTGTGAATGTTGAATCTCTAAATTCCAATTAAAACCGAGCGGAGAGATTATCTTCAATGTATGTTTTCGTTTCTTGATAATCGATCCGAGTACATTTAGCATGAAAATTTGATATTTTCTGAAAAATGGGAATTATAATCAGACACTTTAAATCATAGGTAATATAGAATTGTCTGAGTATATATATATTAAATCTTTACTTCATAAGGCCATACAAGAAAAATATTCTGGTTTTCAGACAGTCCTTAACAAAAATCTGATGAGGGAGGTTTTTTTTGTGTTTTTATTTTGTAAAAGTATCACTACTTGGTTAAATGACTTCTATATGCATCAAATTGTTGTTTATAGGAATGTATGATTATCCAGTATCATTTATGATTGTCATCGACATTTATTTGGTGACTTGTGTCCTGGATAAATGAGCCTATGGATTCATTCAATTTTTATAGGAATGTATGATTATCCAGTATCATTTATCTCATTTTGTTTATAGGAATGTATGATTATCCAGTATCATTTATCTCATGTTGTATATAGGAATGTATGATTATCCAGTATCATTTATCTCATGTTGTATATTGGAATGTATAATTATCCAGTATCACTTATCTCATGTTGTTTATAGGAATGTAGGATTATCCAGTATCATTTATCTCATCATGTTGTTTATAGGAATGTAGGATTATCCAGTATCATTTATAATTGTCATTAACATTTATTAGGGTTGTGTACCTGATAAATGAGCCTATGTCAACATTTCTGGATTCATTAAAAAATTTGTGCGGTAATTATAAGAAGACTGTCGAGAGTCCCTTTTTGAGTGACGGTTGTACGTGACAAGGAGTAGGGTTGCCTGTCCAACCTCGTGGGTTTTCTCCTGCTGCTATAGACCCCTATGCGCAAATGAATTATTGAAATAAAATTGAACCATATGTTAGTCCCGAAATTACCTAGTTTAAGTGATATAGGATTATCTGAGACTGAGAACCACAATATTTTTTTGATATGACCTAACTGATCAAGCTGTGCCATTGAAAGATTAAGAGATGTATCTATATAAAACTTGTCTACAAGAAGATTAAGATTATATAATATGTATGGATGACATTTTATAAATTGTTTTCTCTTTAAATATACATTAATAAATTCTGTTAAATCTTATTGCATATTTATTTATTATTCTGTAACATGCAGGACTAGAAATAACAGTTTTAGATGTACCTGACAAAATTAAATAGTACCTGATATTTTCAACTTAGTTTCAGACATATATTAATAATATCAATAAAAAAAACAAATCAGTGCTGGACAAAATGGGGGGTTGGATGGCTGAATGGTTAGTGTGTGCGCTCTTCATCATAAGGTTTGTCATTGAATCAACTTATGTGGTTTCGATACCCCAGTTGTATGTGACCAGGAGTAGAGTCACCTGTCCAACCTCGTGGGTTTTCTCCGGGTCCTCCGGTTTCCTCCCACTGCTAAAGACCCCTACGTGCAAGTGAATTATTGAAATAAACTTGAACCATGTGTTAGTCCCGAAATGACCTAGTTTGTGTCGAGTGGACGTTAAACCCCATTTCTTTCTCTCTGTAACATGGTTATTTTATGCTGTAACTATGAGGTGGAAAAAGACCAAAACAGTCAGTTTCACAGCGGTAATGCGAAAGCCATCTTTTTATTCTCTAGTATAGATGATGACTGACCTTTAAGTTCATGTGTAGTATAGGTCTACGTGTGACATAACATCATACCGCCTCAGTAGTGCTTGATGTGATTAGGTTGGGGGCTGGCATGGAACAGTATTTAATAGTTCGGATTAGACGTAAAAACAATTTCCTGTGTACACCTCAAAATGCATGTAAAAGAACCTGTCATAGTTTGAATTTGCTGAGAGGCGAAAATGCTGCTATGCGGTCAAAATGTCCCTCACAAGTCAGTTTGGATTGTGCTTGCGTTAATTAACTTGGTTAGTGCAGAAAAGTAACGTGTTTACCTCCCTGTCCCCCCTTGAATTTCAGATGTTTGTTTTGGTTTTTTTTGTGGCAATAAAAAATGGGGAAATCAAATGGTAATTAAGCTTCTGTTCCCTTCAATTTTTAACCCAGGATAGGAGCTATATGGACATTTTTTCCAGAATATATTTTCCAAAACTTCTGTTCAGTGGATAATCTGGATTTTAAGAACTTTTAGTTTGCAATAAATGTTATTTATTTTCGTCACGGTTTCATATGGATATTTTTCGACCTTCATAAATGATAAAATAAAACATTGATACGACTGATGAGATTCCAGTCAGTTTAATAAGACGTATAAGTATCATCTCAATGCATCAAAATACTTGTTGAACTTAGTAATATAAGGGAGACAACTCCATTTAATGAAACAATTCTTGGCCGGAAAAGGTACTATATTAGTGTCGACCCCTAGCGTGAAAACAACGCAGCTGTCATCCTATTGCTAGAAAAATCGTCTGAAATATTGGAAGAATTCTTTAAAACAGGAAATATTTGGTGCCTGTTTTATCGTCCTTTTGGCAAATATATCCACCATTGATCAACAGAACGGCATTTCACTGGCGTCGGTAAGTAAATTCCTATAATGCAACAGGTTTCATTCTCGGTCCCAGGAAGAGATTTACAGCAAGATTTCCCAACTTAATCCTCGGCTCGAGTCGATGGAAAATCGAAGCAAAAAAAGCCAAATAACTACATGAATATTTATGATTTTTATCTTAATTAGAATACATTCGCTGAGTCTATTATTATATATGATAGTGATTGGGTGAGTCTATTATTGTTATCAAGCACAAAGATACTCATCAAAACGTCATGATAATAAACCAGTGATTCTTTCTCTTAAATAGTCTGAATAAGAATCTCAATTACTAAATCTATACTAATATTTGTGACTGTCGTTTGTCAGTCTGTTCAGGGTTGGCGGCTACACTAGGGCTGTCCTAAGGCTGAAATTTGGTGTATAGTGGTAGCTCGGACTGGGGAGTAACATAGACTAGCTTGCGTTGGCCTATCGCTTCAGATTTAGGAGTTACAGGCACAACCAGGACAGCGCCAGGTTATCTGCTACTCATCAATAAATGGCACTTAAAGACTTTACATGGTTTGATGCAATCTGATTAACTCTTAAACGACCCAGAGGTTTGACGTCATAACGTCATAAAAACCCACGTCATAATGGTCAATAGTATTAAAATATAGATATGCATTTTAAAGTCATATCATTAATAAACAACTGTAGATAGACCCTTAATGTAAATGGATGAAATAATCAAAATTTAATGCCATTTTCATAAATATATATTTATACAAAAAATTAATTTAGACATTTCATGCAAAATCCATGTATATAATGGTTATTTCTATTTTTTTTTTTTGTTCGGCTGTTGTGAACTAAAAATTATTCATCATGAATCTCTTTTAATTTAAGCTTATTTAAGTACCGTAATAGAAATTTGTTGATTAACTAAGCCTACTTCTATCACGTTCTAGGCCTAACGCAAAACTGTAAAAAATCTACACTACAGATAAAATCTGAATCACTGTCATTCAATAAGGATGGTAATCCGTCATTAGGTGAACGTTGCCGAATAGGTCTAGACATATCACCGTTTTATTATAATTTTTCAAGGAGAAACAGTAAGATTTTTAACTGTCAAAATGTCAAACAGGAAGTAAACAAATGAGACAAAGTCGTCTGTTCATAAGGGAAATAACTCTCATTATTAGGAACGTTGCATTCGGCTAACCGGTTTTGTCGACAAAAGTCGCCGTGGGTACTTAACGGTAACGTTATAGGTGTCGACAAAAGTCGCCTTGGGTCAGTTAAGAGTTAAAACACAGATCCTATTTCGTTTCGTTTTTATAGTTCAAAATTTCGTTTTACTTGTCTTTAATACACTTGGATCTGGAAGAGTTGTTATTTAACTCATGTTCTGAATGGTGTCAGGGATAAGCCAATGAAACGGTCTGTCATGGCAAGCTTTAGTCGTGTTTTGCACTGAACTGTGGGTAATCCACTAGTAACATCAATGCTGATTGGTTAATCAAATGTCTGACGTCATAGGGTCATAAGTTGGTCTTTTGACCCCTGACGTGACCTATCGCTATAACTTGTCAGATCTTCATGTAGTGTAGGCCATCGAAAGTATAAAAACCCGAAACGAAATATAGATCTGTATTTTAATCAGATTGGGTTTGATGTTGCTTATTTGGATTGAATGATATTTGATATTTCGTTAATGTGCATGTAAAGGAACACTTGGAAGTGAGAATTTGATGAAGGGTAGGTGGAAACACATCTCTCGGGGTAAAATCCACCGGGTGTCTGCCCATCTTTAATAATCCTCGTTTCTGCTGAAAAGTAGAATGTTTAACTCCATTTCATTTGATTTCGTATTATCTTCCAGAATCCACAGTGTGATTTACAGGCCCAGGATAGATGTCATAGGATCGGACAAACTCGTCCGGTGGTTGTTTATAGGTTTGTGACAGCTAATACCATCGACCAGAAAATAGTAGAAAGGGCGGGAGCTAAACGAAAACTAGAAAAAATGGTCATACAGAAAGGTAAATATATTAGGCATTTCTCATGTGAGCATTTTTATATGCATCCACAGTTCTTGTAAACAGGTGCTAATCGAAAACTAGAAAATATGGTCATACAGAAAGGTCAACGAAAGTATAACACTTGTCAAATATATTGGGCATTTTTCATGTGAACACTTATTTTATTTGTTCACAATTCTTAAAAACTTTCTAACGGTCAGATTTTTGAGGATTTTCTTTTAAAACTTTTTGGAATTGTTCGGTGGACCCTCCGAGGAACCCTGTTAATCTACAGAGTCACACAACTAGTTACTGTCCCTGTCACTCAGACCTTGTAAACACTCTACAGATGAGAGGGTTCATTGAGTAGTCTAATGCTCATAAGGTCTGTGAGGGGTTGGATGGTCGAATGGTAAGCATGTGCACACTGTGTCTAAGGTCTGTCATTGAGTCAACTGGCATGGTTTCGATTCCCTGGTTGTACGTGACAAAGAGTAGGGTCACCTGTCCAACCTTGTGGGTTTTCTCCAGGTCCTCTGGTTTCCTCCCACTGCTAAAGACCCCTAAGTGCAAACAAATTATTGAATTAAAGTTGAACCGTATGTTAGTCCCGAAATGACCTAGTTTGTGTCGGTGGACTTTAAACCCTCTCTCCTCTTTCTCTCTCATAAGGTCTGTCTGGAGTCAAAAGGCGCTGTTCCCATCCTACACTTGTGCTACATCCCCCTGCTAAAGATCCCAGTGCGCAAGCTAAATATTGAAATAAAAGTGTTAGTCCTGAAAAAACTTTGTGTATCGATCGCATCCCAACACAAACCATTACTACTAATGAAAATAATATCTACATTTAATGTATTTAATAAAGTGTTTGCTCACTTACTAGGAGGTCCAGGGTTTGATCCTGGTGTTGTCCTCGAAAGTTCATTGTCATTTTACAACGTGGTTTTCCCCTAGTCAATGATGGAAAGGAACAGCTTCTAGTCATTCTGATGGGACAAAAAAAAAAAGAAAAAAAAGTACTGTGACGTGCACATAAAAAAAGCATTATGTTGGAATTCAATTGCTGTTTGGGCAAAATTTCTCTCATAGCACACACTATGGTGTAAGCCCATCTTCTCTCTTGGCATACTGTATGGTGTATGTCTCTTATAGCACACTGTATGGTGTATTTCTTTATTTCTCCCATAGCACACAGTAGGGTGTATTTCTCTATTTCTCCCATAGCACACATTATGGTGTATTTCTCTATTTCTCTCATAGCACACTGTATGGTGTAAGCCCGTCTTTATTAGCCCCACTGGTGACTGGTTGGTGCAGAACGGTAGAACATGAAACCCTATTTTATTTCATTGCATTCATTCATTTCGTATATTTTGTAGGTAAATTTAAGAATGGTATAACAGCATTTACAACCGATGTAAAACCAATCAGTCCAGAAGAATTATTGGAACTGTTAAAATCTCAGGATCATTCTTCTATCATGAGTGGGAAAGAAGGCTCTCAGATAGACCAGTCAGATTTAGATGTACTATTAGATAGATCCGATCTTTATGAAAAATGGGAGGCGAAAAAACAAAATAACGGTAATTATAATTAGTAAATGAAATCTCAAAGCAGCTGATTTGTAAACCCTTGTACACTACAATATAGTGAAAATTGATTGATTATCTAAAAGGATATTAGTAAAAAAATGGTTCTGTTCAGTCTTTGGGGGATTGGATGTCCGAATGGTTAGCGCATGCATGTTGTACCATAAGATCAATCATTGAGTCAAATGACGTGGTTTCGATTCCCCAATTGTACGTGACAAGGAGAAGGGTTGCCTGTCCAATCCCATGGGTTTTCTCTGGGTCCTTCGGTTATGATGTAATTATTTTTAATTTGTTAGGATGTAATAATTCTTATTTTCAATAATTCCAGGTAAAAAGAAGACAACGAAATCAAAGAAAAAGCAAACCAAGAAAGAAGTGGAAGGAAAATTCTTCAAAGTTGTAGATATTTATGATGATGATGACGACAGCCGTTCAAGTACGGGATCTGGAACTTCTAAGAAACAATGTTAATACTTTTATTACCATGAGTAAAATACAAAACAGTGCTAAATACAAAATAGGATTTGTATACTAGAGGCAGATAGTGTAGACATTTGTTAAGATTTTTTATTTTATCAAACATTTTTAGAAGACTGACTTTTTTCTTTTTTTAAGAGAATAACAGAAGTTTTCAAAGGATAAATGTGGATATGACTAATATGGTCGTTCTAGTTCATGACAAAATGGTGTGATGATACATAGAACCAAAATAAAACAGTGCTATCTAGACAGGAATTGAGAGATAATACTCTCCAATTTAAAGTAGTTGTATACATTGATGTCGACCGCGTCCAATAAGTTATCTCTCTTTGTTACAAAATCTTATTTTATGGGGTTAACTGTTACCTGATAACTGATGGGTATGCGTAGTGTTGCCTGGCAACGTATGTTTTTGATATATGTTTTGTTAATGTAAGATTATGCATATGTAAATACAGATAGTTTGAAAACCTTGCCAAGTACAGTATTGTGAATGTTGAATCTCTAAATTCCAATTAAAACCGAGCGGAGAGATTATCTTCAATGTATGTTTTCGTTTCTTGATAATCGATCCGAGTACATTTAGCATGAAAATTTGATATTTTCTGAAAAATGGGAATTATAATCAGACACTTTAAATCATAGGTAATATAGAATTGTCTGAGTATATATATATTAAATCTTTACTTCATAAGGCCATACAAGAAAAATATTCTGGTTTTCAGACAGTCCTTAACAAAAATCTGATGAGGGAGGTTTTTTTTGTGTTTTTATTTTGTAAAAGTATCACTACTTGGTTAAATGACTTCTATATGCATCAAATTGTTGTTTATAGGAATGTATGATTATCCAGTATCATTTATGATTGTCATCGACATTTATTTGGTGACTTGTGTCCTGGATAAATGAGCCTATGGATTCATTCAATTTTTATAGGAATGTATGATTATCCAGTATCATTTATCTCATTTTGTTTATAGGAATGTATGATTATCCAGTATCATTTATCTCATGTTGTATATAGGAATGTATGATTATCCAGTATCATTTATCTCATGTTGTATATTGGAATGTATAATTATCCAGTATCACTTATCTCATGTTGTTTATAGGAATGTAGGATTATCCAGTATCATTTATCTCATCATGTTGTTTATAGGAATGTAGGATTATCCAGTATCATTTATAATTGTCATTAACATTTATTAGGGTTGTGTACCTGATAAATGAGCCTATGTCAACATTTCTGGATTCATTAAAAAATTTGTGCGGTAATTATAAGAAGACTGTCGAGAGTCCCTTTTTGAGTGACGGTTGTACGTGACAAGGAGTAGGGTTGCCTGTCCAACCTCGTGGGTTTTCTCCTGCTGCTATAGACCCCTATGCGCAAATGAATTATTGAAATAAAATTGAACCATATGTTAGTCCCGAAATTACCTAGTTTAAGTGATATAGGATTATCTGAGACTGAGAACCACAATATTTTTTTGATATGACCTAACTGATCAAGCTGTGCCATTGAAAGATTAAGAGATGTATCTATATAAAACTTGTCTACAAGAAGATTAAGATTATATAATATGTATGGATGACATTTTATAAATTGTTTTCTCTTTAAATATACATTAATAAATTCTGTTAAATCTTATTGCATATTTATTTATTATTCTGTAACATGCAGGACTAGAAATAACAGTTTTAGATGTACCTGACAAAATTAAATAGTACCTGATATTTTCAACTTAGTTTCAGACATATATTAATAATATCAATAAAAAAAACAAATCAGTGCTGGACAAAATGGGGGGTTGGATGGCTGAATGGTTAGTGTGTGCGCTCTTCATCATAAGGTTTGTCATTGAATCAACTTATGTGGTTTCGATACCCCAGTTGTATGTGACCAGGAGTAGAGTCACCTGTCCAACCTCGTGGGTTTTCTCCGGGTCCTCCGGTTTCCTCCCACTGCTAAAGACCCCTACGTGCAAGTGAATTATTGAAATAAACTTGAACCATGTGTTAGTCCCGAAATGACCTAGTTTGTGTCGAGTGGACGTTAAACCCCATTTCTTTCTCTCTGTAACATGGTTATTTTATGCTGTAACTATGAGGTGGAAAAAGACCAAAACAATCAGTTTCACAGCGGTAATGCGAAAGCCATCTTTTTATTCTCTAGTATAGATGATGACTGACCTTTAAGTTCATGTGTAGTATAGGTCTACGTGTGACATAACATCATACCGCCTCAGTAGTGCTTGATGTGATTAGGTTGGGGGCTGGCATGGAACAGTATTTAATAGTTCGGATTAGACGTAAAAACAATTTCCTGTGTACACCTCAAAATGCATGTAAAAGAACCTGTCATAGTTTGAATTTGCTGAGAGGCGAAAATGCTGCTATGCGGTCAAAATGTCCCTCACAAGTCAGTTTGGATTGTGCTTGCGTTAATTAACTTGGTTAGTGCAGAAAAGTAACGTGTTTACCTCCCTGTCCCCCCTTGAATTTCAGATGTTTGTTTTGGTTTTTTTTGTGGCAATAAAAAATGGGGAAATCAAATGGTAATTAAGCTTCTGTTCCCTTCAATTTTTAACCCAGGATAGGAGCTATATGGACATTTTTTCCAGAATATATTTTCCAAAACTTCTGTTCAGTGGATAATCTGGATTTTAAGAACTTTTAGTTTGCAATAAATGTTATTTATTTTCGTCACGGTTTCATATGGATATTTTTCGACCTTCATAAATGATAAAATAAAACATTGATACGACTGATGAGATTCCAGTCAGTTTAATAAGACGTATAAGTATCATCTCAATGCATCAAAATACTTGTTGAACTTAGTAATATAAGGGAGACAACTCCATTTAATGAAACAATTCTTGGCCGGAAAAGGTACTATATTAGTGTCGACCCCTAGCGTGAAAACAACGCAGCTGTCATCCTATTGCTAGAAAAATCGTCTGAAATATTGGAAGAATTCTTTAAAACAGGAAATATTTGGTGCCTGTTTTATCGTCCTTTTGGCAAATATATCCACCATTGATCAACAGAACGGCATTTCACTGGCGTCGGTAAGTAAATTCCTATAATGCAACAGGTTTCATTCTCGGTCCCAGGAAGAGATTTACAGCAAGATTTCCCAACTTAATCCTCGGCTCGAGTCGATGGAAAATCGAAGCAAAAAAAGCCAAATAACTACATGAATATTTATGATTTTTATCTTAATTAGAATACATTCGCTGTGCTGTGTGATTCATATTATAAAAACTGTTTTTTTCCTTCCCAAATCTCTCAGAACACTAAAAGTTTGACCCAGTTTTCAAAACCAAACAACAAAAATAACTGTGTCATTGAGGTTGACAGCTCTATTGAGTGAGTTTAGATTTAGAAGGCCAGTCAGCTTATAAATAGTGGGTTACTATAAATATTTAGATGATTTTCAAGCAGTAAATATAGTGCTTAAGTTATAGTACTATTCAAGCCAATTTGGCTTCTCCGTTTTAATTTTATAGAACTGAAATTCCCAGAATTCTATGGGCAAGTGAAAGTAATCCCGGTTCACACTGATCAGCAGTGAATAGGATGACATCGATGCGACTTAATGAGCCAAAAATATTAACTTTTTTCCTCCAACAAATTAAATTCTAAAACATTTTTATTATGTATTAGAAAAATAAATAAAGACGTTTGAAGTATTTGTAGGTAAAAATTATTTCCTATTTAGTGTACATGGGTATTTAAATGAGTAAAAGGCAGCATTCTGCCCGATTAAGTAACGTCTTATGTAAACAATCATATGCACGCGCCATTGAGCCAATGATTGACGTTGATTGACTCCTGCAAATTTGCTAAATCGCTCTCCTAAATATTGAGATTAATAAACTACTTTCAGTTTTTGTTTACTTTTAAACTGCATATATTCAAGGTATCAGGAGCTTTTTATGGCTCCCGCATAATTTTATAAACATGAAGGACTGAGTCATCTTTGACAGAGATATTAGAAGACTTTCGTAATCCTCTGTGAAACAGATTGGTCCCGGTTATCCTGTTGGACACTTGTATTATACAGGTCTTCTCCGGTGCAGTTTCCCCAGTTTAGTTATTCGGATACAACGCAAAAACCAGAGGTCCCGTGTACACATTGGCGTGCAAACAAAAGAACATTTGACAGTTCGAAATCGATAAGAGTAGGCCGTTCTGTCGCTGTCTGGGCAAAATTTCCCTTTTAACACTGCATTTAATTCCTGTCTTCATTAGCCCAGTCGGTGCAGAAAAGTAGAATGTTAAAATGAAATGTAATGGGGTTTAACGTCCTACTGTTCTGTTCCGATTGGGCTAATGAAGACGGCGGACGTTAAACCCCATTTCATTTCATTATACAGGGCAAAATCACAACACTTATCTTATATAAAATGAACAACAATAATCAGTATATTGGCACCGGGTAATACCAATAATTGATATTTCCCTGGTTGTACATGACAAGGAGTAGGGTCGCCTGTCCAACCTCAGGGGTTTTCTCCGGGTCCTCCGGTTTCCTCCCACTTGTAGAGACCCCTATGCGCAAGTAAATTATTGAAATAAAATTAAACCATATGTTAGTTCCGAAATGACCTAGTTTGTGTTGAGTGGATGTTAAACCCCATTTCTCTCTCTCTCTCTCATTTCATTATACAGGGTAAAATCACAACACTTATCTTATATAAAATGGACAACAATAATCAGTATACCGGTAATACCAATAATTGATATTCCCCGCTTGTACATGACAAGGAGTAGGGTCACCTGTCCAACCATGTGGGTTTTGTCTGGGTCCTCCGGTTTCCTCCCACTGCTAAAGACCCCTACACGCAAGCAAATTATTGAAATAAAATTAAACCATATGTTAGTCCTGAAATGACTTAGTTTGTGTCGAGTGGATGTTAAACCTCATCTCTCTCTCTCTCTCTCTCTCCAATAATTGATACCAGAACAATCATTCACTGTTAAGGTGTGTCAATTTCGAAAAATCTTAAAAACTATTGATAGTAATAGCACTGTTTAAACAACCCTACTTTAAGCCTGACAGTCATGAACACCACAATATCCATTCATGCTGTAAGCAATACTGAATTTTTTTTTTTTTTTTTTTTTTTTACTGAATATATTACTATGCAACGTTTTGATGAGTATACTGGATTGTCAAACAGATGAGACAAATATTTACATAAGACGATATCATTTCATTGATAAAGACCAGAGGATCCATGTCAAAACACTGCAGAGTAATAAATTCAGTTATAGTGTATCCATAAAATTGTACCTTGGGTTTTAACATATTAAAATATGTTCATCTATATATATATTTGTGACTGTTGTTTGTCTGTCTGTCTGTCTGTTCGGGGTTGGCGGCTACACTAGGTCTGCCCCGAGTCTGAAATTTGGGGTATAGGGGTAGCTCGGACCAGGGAGTAACATAGGCCAGGTGGCGTTAGTCTACCACTTCCGATTTCGGAGTTATGACCCCCGAGCGAAGCCGGGTATCCTGCTAGTATACTATAAATGCCTCCGGTTTCTTCCCATTTCTAAAGACCCCTATGTGCAAGCGAATTATTGAAATAGAATTGAACCATATGTTAGTCCCAAATGACCTAGTCTCTCTCTCTCTCTCTCTCTCTCTCTTCTCTGTCTCTAAATAATATTGAAGTATAAATAGTGTTATATTTCTTATGGCAACCATCCATCATGGAAACCTTTGATCATGGGTTAACTAAAGGTCATGAACTCAAAACCTCTAGTTGACACAGAGGGAAATGGGGTTTAACATTCACATGATATAAACTAGGTAATTTCGGGACTAACATATGGTTGAATTTTATTTCAATAATTCGCTTGGGTGTAGGGGTCTTTAGCAGTGGGAGAACCCAGAGAAATCCCAAAGGTTGGACACAAGTACAAACTAGATGATTTTTAGTGATTTTAGATGATTTTTACAGGTTTTTAAACAAAGATTTGATATTGAATGAACGTGAAAGAAATTAGTGCTAAATACACAAGATTAAATGATATCCAGGTTACAGTGAATGTACATGTATGCAGGAATTATTCCAAAGTGTTGAAATGCACATGGCATTTTATTAATTAATCGCATTGTGTAAAACACAGAATTTTATGGAATACAATTTGCAGATTTTAATACAAGCCTTGATAAGAGAATCCTTGTTTAAAATCAACTTGATTATTGAAGAAAATAAAAATGATAATATCAAGTTTAGGTAATCTATTGGAATAAAACAAGGACACTCCTATGTAACTGTGGCTAAATACTATCAATCTGATTAAAACACAGATCTATATTTCGGTTTTTTTATACTTTCGATGGCCTCTACTACATGCAGATCTGACTAGTTGTACTGGAAGATCACGCCAGAGGTCATATGAGCAGCTGTTGACCTTATGACATCAGGCATTTGATTGTTAACCAATGAACGTTGATGTTTCTAGTGGGTTACCCACAGCTCTGTGCAATTTACACCAAAAACTTGCCATAACAGACCATTTCATTAGCTAACCCTTCACATCATCCAGAACATGGGTTATTATATAACAACTCTTCCAGATCCTAGTGTAGTAAAGACAAGTAAAACGAAATTTTGAACTATAAAAAAAATCGAAATGAAATAGGATCTGTGTTGTAATCAGATTAGCTCTGACTGAGCTAATGAAAAAAATCTGAGCGAGACAAAATTTTGACCATGAAATTTTAAAGTGAAAACCCAGAATTACACTCTTCACATACCAATCAGTAAAATAATTATGTTGTATTTGTTTTTTACAGATAAATACGTAGTTGGGGGCGAAAGCCCGTGTGATATTGTTGGTGAAGAGGATTGTGTTGTAGAGGTCAAAGTTCAATCAAAATGAGTGAGGATGACGATAAACCATTTGGTTGCTCTGCACCAGAATGTGGCATGGTACGTAAACACAATAAAAGAGAGAGAAATGGGTTTTAACATCCACACAAACTAGGTCATTTCGGGATTAACATATAGTTCAATTTTTATCTCAATAATTCGCTTGGGCGTAGGGGTCTGTAGCAGTGGGTGGAAACCGGAGAACCTGGAGAAACCCGCGAGGTTGGACTGGCAACCATACTCTTTGTCATGTATAACCGGGGAATTGAAACACCTTGTATTACAACGCGCTCGTGCTAACCATTCGATCATCCAACCCCCCCTAAATACAATAAAAACAGTAGGCGTAATCGAAACTGTTGAGTGGTGTAAAATTAATTGCACACGTGTACGTGATAAGTAGTAGAATCGTTGGCGCAACCTTGTTAGTTTTTTTGGGGGGGTATATTTATTTTTACAAAAATACATGTGTAGACAATTATAGTAGAATGCAAATAAATGACAGACTTAAAAAATATAATATACACTTTACTAGGGTTGATCAGCAAATTAGTTAACTGGCAGGGTTTCGATTCCACAGTTGTACATGACAAGGAGTAGGGTCGGCTGTCCAACCTCGTGGGTTTTCTCTGGGTCCTCTGGTTTCCTCCCACTGCTAAAGACCCCTACGTGCAAGCGAATTATTGAAATAAAATTAAACCATATGTTAGTCCCGAAATTACCTAGTCTGTGTCGAGTGGACGTTAAACCCCATTTGTCTCTCTCCCTCTCTCTCTGTGTTACTGAATTCTCAGTTGATTATGATTTATTTTGAGTAATATATTAGCACATATTGTGATAAGATCTCATAATATTACAAACAGTATTTGTTTACAGCGGGGCTGGGGAGTCACGGTGGCTCAATGAGTAAGATGCTGGCTCGCTATCCTGGAGGTCCTGTGTTCATCAGGATTCTCAGGCGTGGTTCCCCCTTGTCATTGGTGTGGGACAGAGATCCTGGCAAGGGACAACGTACATGTATGGTCATTCAGATGGGACAAAAAACTAAGATCCCATGTACACATTAACGTGCTTACGAAAGATCCCTTTGCAGTTGGAATTCAGTGTAGGAATAGGTTGTAGTGCTGCTGTCCAGACAAAATTTCTCCCTCATAGCACACTGAATTCATTGGCCCAGTCGGGGCAGAACAGTAGGACTTTAAACTCCATTTTATATCATTTTATTTGTTTACAGAGGTTCACCAATGAAGATCATTTAAACGTTCACATGAAGAAACATGAGATGTCATTGGCTCTCAGTCTGGGTGGCAACTCTTGTTCACCAGCACACCATTTTTTGGGTAAGTCCATATGTTATATTGTTTACACTTTTTATATTGTTTACACTTTTTGGGTGAGTTCATATATATTGTTTACATTTTTTAAGTGAGTCCATACATTATATTGTTTACATTTTTGGGGGTGAGTCCATATGTTAGATTGTTTACATTTTTTGGGCGAGTCCATATGTTGTTTACATTTTTTGGGTCGAGTCCATGTTATATTGTTAACATTTTTTTTTTGGGGGGGGGGGGGGGGCGAGTCCAGATGTTATATTGTTAAAAAAAATTTTTTTGGGGGGGGGGGGGTGAGTCCATATGTTATATTGTTTACATTTTTTGGGTGAGTCCATATGTTATATTTGAGGGTTGGGTATGATCTATTGTTTACATTTTTTGAAAGGAATTTAAGGGACACCCCACCATCCCACCCACCCCAACTAGTTTAAAGTGTTAAAAGGAAAAATAACCAAATAATTATGAAAAATCTGTCTATTAGAAGGGTGAATGGACGCTGTTCCTGTGAATTTTCTGGGGGCGTTGAATGGTCGAATGGTTAGCACGCGTGCGCTGTATCATACGGTCTGTCATTGAGTCAACTGGCGGGGTTTCGATTCCCCGGTTGTATGTGACAAGGAGTAGGGTCGCCTGTCCAACCTCGTGGGTTTTCTCCGGGTCCTCCGGTTTCCTCCCACTGCTAAAGACCCCTAAGCGAAAGCAAATGATTGAAATAAAATTGAACCATTTGTTAGTCCCGAAATGACCTAGTTTGTGTTGAGTGGACGTTAAACCCCATTTCTCTCTCTCTCTCTCTGTGAATTTTATGTCTAGGAGAGGGCGCACCGGTCATTTGAAAACAATGTCACAGGTTTGAGAATAGCATTGGAATTTAAGAATTGAGTGCACATAAAAGGGCACGCTTTATTCGTTAACAATTGTTGTATTCAATGATAATCCAATATGATGTATTTTGCCAATTCATAATGACAAGAATATGCTGACCATTCAATTTTGATAATGTGTGTCCAATGTACCAAGCGTTTCTTGATCACTATTAAAAAATAAACAATCCAGTTGATTATTGATGTATAATGATTAATTTTTAAACAGTGGTCAGGAAATTAAATTCTTGTAAATTGGACACTCATTATCAAAATTAGTCAGTCAGCTTTAAACTGGACACAAGTACAAATTAAATGATTTGGGGTGATTTAAAATGATTTTTACAAATTTTTAAACAAAGATTTGATATTAAATGAATGTGAAAGTAATTAGTGCTGGATACACAAACACAAGATTAAATGATACCTGGGGCCTGTTTCACAAAGTTTTAACTGAAGATAAAATCCAAATTTTAGTAGATACTTCAATTTGATTGGCTAAGCACTAAAATCAATCTTATATTATCCAATCAAATAACTAAAATTTGGATTTTATCTTAGTTAAAATTTGGTGAAACGGGCCTGTGGGTTACAGTGTATGGTGTCTTGTCAAGTTTGCAACTTGGGAATTATTTTGATGGATATTTCTATGATAATAAATATATTGATTTTTTCAATTCTTGTATTTTGTTATTTTCTAGATCAAACGCCTACACCAACTAAATTTTTAAAGAATTGTGAAGAAATAGGATTATTTCAAGAACTTGTTAAAAATCCTTTTGAGGAAGCTTTTAAAAAGGCCACAGATTCAGAGGTAACCTTTGACCTCTAACATGGGTAGAAGCTTAACCTAAGATTTCTAACACCATTCTTCAATAGCTTGCTTTTAATTGGACATGATAATATGCTTACTTTATTTTGAATTGTTGGGGGTTGGGGCGGTGGGGGCAGGTGCTGCAGTTGTCAAATGGTAAGGGCTCTGGCACGAGTTCACAAAGCATTCTCAGGCTTAAGAATTTGCTCAAAATTGTTCACCTTATTTCAACTGAAATATAACCCTTTATAAAACTATTGTTGTTTTAATGTATCAAATACATCAATAACTATGTGCAAGGTTTTGTGTTTCTGGATCAAAGATATTTCTCATAAACAGTGATTGAAAGTTGAGTAACTTAAGTCTGAGAATGCTCTGTGAACTCGGGGACCTGGACTTTTCAACTGGAATATCCCGGTTTCATTTCCCCGCACAGCCAGAAAAGAATCTCTGGATATATCCGCCTCCTCCCACTTGTCAAGGGTAGTACCTGTGAGGCTGATTGACAAGTAATTAAGTGTTCAGATGGAACGTAAAAAAATACAATATCCATATTGCCAGGCGCGTCGAAGTACCTGTGACATAATTTGACTCCCTTGCATTGTATACATGAATGTGACTGTATTTTAGACTACATTATGTAAGAGCTAAATCTGCCTATTGCTGGTCTTTATTTTGGCTTCTACTCTTATTTAAATCGGATGGCTGAGATTTAAATGGATTTGAAAACCCCACAAGATTTAAATCTTTTAATGGATAATCGAGACTTAAACTTGATTGTCAAGTACCATTGCTTCGATAATAAACAATCAACACTACATCTTCAAACATTCAGAACTTTGCTCAGAATAAAGTAATTTGAATGAAATTTTCAATATATTCATTTTTCATTATCTATTTTTAAACTATTATAGCAAGAATGGCCAGCTCTTTATCTAAATCTTACTTGATATTTCTTTAAACATTATGTTGATGATCATGAGACATAAAACTCTATTTCTGTCCTGATCTTCCAGGCTTTAGAGCTGTCCTGATCTTCCAGTCTTTTGAGTAGTTCTCTGCTCCTTTATTCCTGATGTCTAGTAATAACATCTAATGATTTGCTTTGCTTTTTAGGATTTTAACCCTAGTCTTTCCTTTTTAGGTTCCACCTCTACCTGGTCCACTCTCTAATGATTTAAATACACCCATACCCAAGGTAATACTTCTTGTTTTAACAAGCCTGGAAATAAGGCACCGGTCACAGACAATGTCAGGTACCAGTCAGACTTTGTCAGGCACAAATTCGCAAATTCCTGTCATTTTGCCCGGCACCGATTTGTCTCTTTTATTGATATTATCAATACACGTCCGTCACAAAGTTTAAAATATCAGGTATTAGTTTAATTAACCCAAAAATGTTAGGAAGCAAGCCTAGAAATAAGGCACCAGTCACAGACTTTGTCAGGTACGAGCCAGACTTTGTCAGGCACAAATTCTCTGGTGTCTGTCATTTTGTCTGGCTCCGATTTGTTGTTTTTTTGTTGATATTATGAATAAATGTCCGTCACAAAGTTAAAGATATCAGGTACTAGTTTAATTAATGCCTGACATTTTGTCAGGTCCAATTAAAACCATTATTTCCAGGTCTATGTTTTAATAATTAAACAGGATGAGATTTCAGTTCATTCTTATTTTAAATCCGTCATTGTGTTAAAAGAAAACTAAAATAAGTAAAAGGAACAAGACTTGCTCGACAGGAAAACTTCAACGCCATCCTAAAAAGTTGTGGATCAAAACATGCATGTTATTCTACTATTTAAAATGATTATGAATTATGTTTAGTACAATTATGCCATGCTATGAAAACCATTTTCAGGATTGGTATAAATTGGTCTTAAAGCAATATTTGCATTTCTATATACATACATTAATGCAAGAGCTAAATCTGGCTATTGCAAGTCATTCTTTAGGCCTAAAATGTTATTTGAATTATTAATTAACTTATCCAGGCCATCTGGTGCCATCTGATGTGTCCTTTTTTTAACAGATTTAAAACCGATCTGTGGTTCAAAGACTGTTAATGATTAACCATCAAAATAGATGAGGATTTCTCAGCTCGGGGTGAATTAATTGACTGAAATTTTCAGCATATTCCCTTTAGATTATCTATTTTTTAACTATTATAGTGAGAACTGTCAGCTCTTTATCTAATCTTACCTAATGCTGCTTCAACTATAGGCTTTATAAACATAAGTCAGCAACTTTTTAAAAATTGATTCCGCTTTCACTGTTTAGGCATGCGCTTTAGATCATAAGGTCTGTCATTGAGTCCAGGGTTGTGGATTTGATTCCCAGCTCGAGGAGTGGGGTAGCCTGTCCAACCGTGTGGGTCTTTTCCGTGTCCTCCGGTTTCCTTGCACTGCTAGAGACCCCTACGCTCAAATGAATAAATTTAAACCATATGTTAGGCCCAAAAATGACCTAGTTTGTGTTGGGTAGTTGTTAAACACCATTTCCCTATCTCGCATTGTTGAATGGTCTCAATGGCTAAGTGGGTAAGACGCTGACTCACTAGCCTGGAGATCGCGCGTTCGATCCCTGCATTGGCCGAAGGTTCATCAGGATTTTCTAATGTGGGTTCCCCTTGTCAGTGGTGCAGGACGGAGGGCCTGACAAGGACAGCTGTCTAGTTGTTCGGAAGGGATAAAAAAACTGAGGCCCCGTGTATACATTCGCATGCACATAAAAGATCCCTTGGCAGTTGGAATTCGATATAAGAGTAGGCCATAGTTCCGCTGCCCTGTCAAAATTCCCTTTTAACACACTGTATGGCGTATGCCTGTCTTCATTAGCCCAGTCTAAGCAGAACAGTAGGACGTTAAACCCCATTTCATTTCATTTTGAATGGTCTCAAGCTAGACATTGCATAATATATTGATAGTAGACGCAAACCAGTGTCCAACTACAGCGTTGATATATATATTACGCAATGTCTCTTTCTTATCCATTTATAGGTCACACCCAATCATGACTCAATATTCGATATCTCTTGCGTAATTATTGATCCAAATTAAGAAACCTTTTTAATTCATTAACTGTTAGATATTGAGACAATATCTTTATCAATATTTTTGATGATACATGAATTTTTTTTTCCTTTTTTGTGTGAGTCACTCTAATTTCCGTTTGTTTCCTTCTTTCATTAAAGATACTTTCATGTGTACAAACTGTGTGATTTGATGATGTATTTGGACTAAAAACATATTCAAACTAATTAATTTATCAAAAATTTGCTTCAAATCCCTAGCAAAACTTTGTATTCGTCAGGAGATACTGCAAGCTATAAATAAACTACCGGGTTGCCAGTTAGTGATACCCTGACATTTTTGCCCAGTGCTTGCCCCATGGGTATTTTTTAAGTAATCCAGTATATTTCTATTAAGATTGGGGGCCTATACTTTCCATGTATACCAAATTTGCCACACTTTTATCGAAATAACCACCCAATATATACCTTCAGGACAAGTATCTTTAAATATTATTTGGTAAAAAATAATTTTTAATCTATGTTTACGGTTAATTGGCCCCCCAAAAAAGGGATGTTGGGTTGGAAAACATTTCAGTGTGAAATTTTTCTTCAGAAAACCTGGAAAATGGGAGTAAAATAGTTTAGGGTCCTCGATTTGACTAACAGTAAACACAGCTATTTATTTTAGGGCCAAAATAAAACTACCGGTATTAACTTTTTTAACACTATCAAATAAATCAACAATTCACTTATCAGGCCCCGAGTTCACAAAGCATTCTCAGACTTAAGTTTAGAATTTACTCAACTTTCAATCACTTTATGAGAAATATCTTTGATCCAGAAACACAAAACTTTGTACATAGTTTCTTATTGATGTATTTGATACATTAAAACAACAAAAGTTTTATAAAGGGTTATATTTTAGTTAAAATAAAACAAACAATTTTGAGTAAATTCTTAACTTAAGTCTAAGAATTCTTCATAAACTCGGGGGCCAGATGTTTTTTTTTTTTCTGTCTACCGATGTGTAGATATAGTTGATACGATAAAAGGCTTGTATGTGATCGTCTGTTTATCGTATATTAGCCTATTGATTATTGGCTACTTATTGCGTAAGGACCGTGTATCATATCTCAGATGTAAGGTTGGGAAATAAAGATTTGACCTTGACCTATGTTCATAAACTATACATCATATGTTTATTTAAAGAGCCATTCTGATTTGCATCATGAAAATAAATGGCTTTTTTAAACTTTTAACATTTAATTCATATTACCAAAACAAATCATTCTGATTGAAATACAGATCTATATTTCGTTTCATTTTTTTTATACTTTCTATACTTTTTATACCAGTTGTATTGGAAGGTCATGTCAGGGGTCGTTCGATGTCAGACATTGATTAATCAATCAGCATTGACATTTCTAGTGATTTACCCACAGATGGTTTCATTGGCTAATCACTCTTGCCATCCATAAGGCCTGTTATATAACAACTCTTCCAAATCCAATGTAGTACAGACAAATAAAATGAAATTTTGAACTATAAAAAACGAAACGAAATAGGATCTGTGTTTTAATTAAATTGACTATTTTACTGGCTGTGTTATTGTAATGATGTATCACAATGAATCAACTGTTTCTTTTCTTCAGGCCATAGATTTAAATACACCAACACCACGACTAGACATTTTTCATCACCGATTTTTAAAGGAACCCTCGTTAAGTAATTTAGTATATAACAACACAGCCACGGAAGATGGTGTCCTTGATTTATCGGGGAAAAAACAAGTGACAAAGCCAGCTGTGATCCAGCCATCTTCAACAACCTCGGATGATGATGTCATCATTATAACCACGGCGACATCTCACCAGCCAGCAGATAGTACATTGTCGCCACCTACAATACAAGTTAATTCAACAACTGTTGAGAGTTATCCTCCCATTGACACTAAAGCCATGTAAGTTTTCAAAAATACGATTTTAATATTTTGCGTGGTAGAGAGTAAATGTTGTAGATACAGTAAGGAAGAAAAAGAATAACAAAATAAGCACATTTTGGGTGGCCGAATGCGTAACACGTTTGATCATACGGTCTGTTATTAAGTGCTAAGTGGATAGGACGCTGGCTCGCTAGTCTGGAGGTCGGGTGTTCGATCCCTGCATTGTCCGAGAAAGTCGTTCGGATTGGACAAAAAATCGAGGTCCCGTGTACACATTGGCGTGCACGTAAAAGATCCCTTGTCATTTGGAATTTGAAATAAGAGTAGACCATAGTACCGCTCTCTGGGAAAAAATTTCCCTCATAGCACACTGTATGGCGTATGCCCGTCTTCATTAGCCCAGTTCGGAGCAGAACAGTAGGACGTTAAACCCCATTTCGTTTCATTTCATTTCTGTTATTAAGTCAAGTAGCATGGTTTCGAATCCCCACTTGTACGTGACAAGGAGTAGGGTCATCTGTCCGACCTTGTGGGTTTTTTCCGGGTCCTCCGGTTTCCTCCCACTGCTAAAGGCCCCGATTGCTGACCACCTTTAAGACGTTTGCTGACCGTTCACTGACACCATAATAGTGAATTGGCGTTACGTAGGATCACGTAACGCACTATATAAATTTTTCGTGGTGACCTGACTCCATTCTGTTATCAATCCTACGATTTATGTCAATTTAGGTTAAACTTAAGCGACACTTGCTAAATTGTCTTGTGGTTTGGGTGGTTTGGGGGTTGTTTTTTTTCCAGTCATGGGAGGTTGGATGGCCGAATGGTTAGCGCATGCGCCCTGCATCATAAGGATGTCATTGAGTCAACTGGCGTGGTTTTGATTGCCCGGTTGTACATGACCAGGAGTAGGGTCCTCTGCACAAGAAAATTATTGAAATAAAATTGAACCATATGTTAGTCCCGAAATGACCTAGTATGAGTCGAGTGGACGTTAAACTCTATCTCTCTCTCTTTTCAGTCCAAAACTAACGACAGCAGTCTTATCATCACCGATGATTATTCAGACGTCCCCTCAGTTGTTAGGGACAACGACAGGAGCTTCGTTACCGTCGTCAACTACAACAACATCGCAGCCAAATTACCCCGCCCAAGTTTATCTCCAGCTTCCGTCTGGTCAGATGTTACCTGTACAGATCCCCACGTCAATTAGTCCTGTTGTCCAGATACCCATAATCCCCCAGACGACGGCTACATCTACTGTTCCCATAGCAACTAAATCTAATGTTACTAGTACAAATGTTACGTTAAAACAGGTAAGTGATTTTTTCTTCGTTATTGTGGTCAATTTGTTTTCAGGTTTAGAAGCCACAAAAGGCGAAGGCTGAGTATGTAAGGCACTGGCTCGCTAACTAGCATCTTCAATAGAAGGAAGAGGGGTTTGATGGCCGAATGGTTAGCACGTGTGCGCTGTATCATAAGGTCTGTCATTGAGTCAACTGGCGTGGTTTCAATTCCCAGGTTGTACGTGACAATGAGTAGGGTCGCCTGTCCAACCTCGTGGGTTTTCTCCGAGTCCTCTGTTTTCCTCCCACTACTAATTAAAGACCCCTACTCACAAGAAAATTATTGAAATAAAATTAAACCATATGTTAGTCCCGAAATTACCTAGTTTGTGTCAAGTGGATGTTAAACCCCATTTCTCGCTTTCTCTTTCAGAGATTAAAACAGTCGTTACAGGCCTCACAACAACAAATCCAAAAAACAAACGGAGTTTCACCTAATCATAAATCTATAAGTCCGGTCAGTGCTTCACCCTCCATTAATATACCTGAATCAGTTAGTCATACAGAGTTCACTCCCCCTGATTCGCCGTCTGAATTAGATTATGATGATTTAAATGACCATAATATGTAAGTTAATTTTATTTTATTACCAGTTGTTTGTAGTATATGTAAAACCGGTACGTCCTGGATTTAAACGAGGGTGGTTGGATGGCCGAATGGTTAACGCCTGCGCGTTGCCTCGTAAGGTCTGTCATAGAGTTAAGTGGTGTGATTTCGATTTCCCGCTTGTACGTGAAAAGAAGTAGGGTCACCTGTCCAACCTCATGAGTTTTGCCCGGGTCCCCCAGTTTCCTCCCACTGTTAAAGACGCCTACACGCAAGTGAATTATTGAAATAAATTTAACCATAATATGTTAGTCCCGAAATGATCTAGTTTGTGTCATCCCCATATCTCTCTCTCCCAAGTTTGTGATCGAGAAAGTTTATTAGGATCTTCCAGCCTGGTTTTGAATTGTCTCATTGAGACTCAGGACATAGGGACTGGTAAGTAAAGTAAAAATGTCTAGTCTTACAGTTGGAAAAAAATATAAGATCCACCCAGTACTGAAAAAATGTTCAAAATATCTTTATGAAACTTTATCACACATCAAAACTATTGCTAATTTCATGGAAATGAATTTGACTTAATTTTTGTATACAACTGCACACGATGTTGATAATCTAATCTTCTTGTTCTTTGTGACTGAAATTTCAAGATAAATTTAATTTAATACCACATTTAAACTTTTCTTTATGTTTATTCCGTACAGAAAAAGATCTCGTCGAGATGATTCAAGCATTGAAGATGAAGATCCTGATAATAGACGAAGAAAATTTTTAGAGAGAAATCGAGCAGCCGCAGCCCGATGTCGACAGAAACGTAAAACTTGGGTGAATAGTCTGGAGAAAAAAGCTGATGATTTACAAAATGTTAACGTTAAATTACAGGTCATACTTTACACTTTATTATTTACGCAGACATTAAAATGTTGTTCAGTAGGGTCGCCTGTCCAAACTTGTGGGTATTCTCTGGGTCCTCCGGTTTCCTCCCACTGCTAAAGACCCCTACGTGCAAGCGAATTATTGAAATAAAATTGAACCATTTGTTAGTCCCGATCACTGGATGTTAAACACCATTTCTCTCTCCCCCCTGGGGGGTTGGATGGCTAAATGGTTAGCGCGCGCGCTGTATCATAAAGTCTGTCATTGAGTCGACTGGCGTGGTTTCGAATCCCCGGTTGTACGTGACAAGGAGTAGGGTCGCCTGTCCAACCTCGTGGGTTTTCTCCGGGTCCTCCGGTTTCCTCCTACTGCTAAGACCCCTACACACAAGCGAATTATTGAAATAAAATTAAACCATATGTTAGTCCCGAAATGACCTAGTTTATGTCGAGTGGACGTTAAACCCCATTTCTCTCTCTCTCTCTCCCCCCCCCTCCCCCAATTAGGTACACGACTCAGAGTAATCTTCCCATATACACAGTGTTAATGAGATGCAAAACTCCATAGATTTTCAAAGATTTCCAATGATTACTTTCAGAGTTATGGCCCTAGATCACTTATAAAAAAGATATTGAAATATTATTGTATATAGTCGTTATCTTCTAGAGGCTAGAGTTATCTAATTACAGTACACAGAGTTTGTATTGATTTTCGACCATTTCCAATAATTGAGAAATCCTGTACACATTCAATTTGTACACATTATTTATGCCCATCTGACAGAGAAGTCTTTTAATTTTCGACAATTTTTTACAACCGCTTGTAAATCACTTTAATTTGAACCCATGGCTTGCATAAAAGTCTTTTATTTTTCAACACTTTTTGACAACTGCTTGATAATCACTTTAATTTGAACCCATGGCTTGCATAGATAGCAGGTCCTATGATTTAAAGTACCCAGTCGGCCAGTCCACGCATATATTGTAAGGAACCCTAGGTATTTGATTTAATGTAGAATTTGATTTTTTTAACAGGGTGAAGTTAGTTTATTACGTGGAGAAGTTGCTCAGTTAAAAACTTTATTATTGGCACATAAAGAATGTCCAGTTACGCTACAACAAAAATCACAAGGTCAAATACCATTAACTCTTCATACAAGTAAGTTAATGTATTATATACAAGTGCTTGTTTCTAATAACATTAAAGTTACAATTTCATATTTTTAAGTTATATTTTTAAAATGTATTAAAATAAAGCCTTCAAATAGATGGTATCTATAAACAATCCTACCTTGATAAAGAATAATCCTATTAATTCACTATTGCCAGCTGAGAAATTGGCAAAAATGTCACTTTCAACTTCAAATTCAAACGTTTGAAGATAGCTATTCCATGGGAGGGAATAGAAAAACAAGGGAGGTAATTGTGTTATAATTTCCGGTGTGAAACAATTTGAGTATTAGAATGATAACTATGATCGTATAATAGTGAGTTGACAACCTATTGAGCAAAAGAAATAGAAATAATTATGTTTTGACTTTCTTAAAAAATATAAAATTCTCGCTTTAAGGGGGTGTTGGATGGCTGAATGGTTAGCACGTGCGCTCTGTATCATAAAGTCTGGCATTGATTCAACTGGCGTGGTTTCGATTCCCTGGTTGTACATGGCAAGGAGTAGGGTCACCTGTCAAACCTCATGGGTTTGCTCCGGGTCCTTCAGTTTCCTCCCACTGCTAAAGACCCCTATACGCGCAAGCGAATTATGGAAAAAAATTAAACCATATGGTAGTCCCGAAATGACCTAGTTTGTGTCGAGTGGACGTTATACCCCATTTCTCTCTCTCTCTCTATAATACCATTAATGTTACTTTCCTACAAAAATATTTATCGGGTGGTGATGTCCAAGAAAAGTATGGCAATTTTGTTTTATATGGAAAGTAGAAACATCCAATTTTACTAGAAAAATACTGGATTCCCCGAAAAACACCCATGGAGCGCATACAGGACAAAAATGTAAAGGTTTCTCTAATCGGCACCCCAACGATTAGGGATATCTGGTTGAGTGACCTCAAAGGTTGCACGCGAAGATTGTCTGTGTTAGTGAGCGCTTGATGTATGTGTTGATTAACTTGATGGTTAGCTTAAACGTATAACAGTTTTTGATGAACACAGTGGATAATCCGAGAATTTAATTAGTCTTCAATATTTATGATAAATGGACAGCAATTAAAGACAACATCGTCTTGTATATGCAATGAATTCTCCTCCGACTTCGCACCCGCCCAACCCTATCAGTCAAGTCACATGACACAAACATGACTTCTTTTATTATGATTTTTTATAGCAGGGGTATTCCCTGGCAAATGCAATGTTTTGAGAAGGATTTGAAGCAAAATTTTTAATAAATTAATTAGTTTAAATATGTTTTTATACGCCCACATTTTCATGTGGACGTATATTGTCGTCGCCCCTGTCCGTCCGTCCGTCGGTCCGTCCGTCCACAATTGTTTGTGAACAGTCTACAGGTCGCATTTTTTATCCGATTTCAACGAAACTTGAAATATAGGTTTATCACCCTAAGATCTCGGTTCCTTTCGATATTGGCATGTACCGGACTGTAACTTCATGGATTATGGCCCCTGATTGTACGAAAAATCACGTTTTTAGCTTGTGGACACTGTAGAGGTCACAATTTTTATCCGATTTGGTTTAAACTTGAAATGTATGCTTATAATCCAAAGATCTCGGATCCTTTCGATATTCGCGCATATCGGAACGTCACTTCCTGAATTATGGCCCCTGATTGTACGAAAAATCGCGTTTTTAGCTTGTGGACCCTATAGAGGTCATAATTTTTAGCCGATTTAAAAAAACGTATTATTATATCACCGTTACACCCCAAGGACGACTGAGTTCAAATTTTGTGAAAATCGGACCAAAACTGACAGACAAAATGGCCGCCCTTCGTACTCAAGTAGCGTAAAAAAAATATGGTATATCAAGGTTGTGGACACTATAGAGGTCACAATTTTAATCCGATTTTGTTGAAACTTGCAATGTAAGTTTATAACCCAAAGATCTCGGTTCTTGTCGATAATCGCGCATATCGGACCGTAACTTCCTGAATTATGGCCCCTGATTGTACGAAAAATCACGTTTTTAGCTTGTGGACCCTATAGAGGTCATAATGTTTATCCGATTTTAAAAAACGTATTATTATATCACCGTTGCACCCTAAGGATGGCTGAGTTCGGATTTCGTGAAAATCGGCCCAAAACTGACAGACAAAATGGCCGCCCCTCGTTCTCAAAAGCGTAAAAATATGGTATATCAAGGTTGTGGACCCTATAGAGGTCACAATTTTTATCCGATTTTGTTGAAACTTGACATGTAAGTTTATAACCCAAAGATCTCGGTTCCTTTCGATATTGTAATTTCCTGAATTATGGCCCTTGATTGTAAGAAAAATCACTTTCTTTTTAGCTTGTTCTCTATCCATCTCTCGAAAATGTGGGCTTATCCTGCCTGGCAGCCGCTGGTTAATCTAAATATATCATCAAATCACCCAGTTTGTACATGTAATACCAAGGTGGTGGACCCTCTAGAAGTCACAATTTTTATCAAATTTTGATGAAACTTAAAATATATCTTTATATCCCAAAGATCTCAGTCCTTTCGATATTCGCGCATTTTAGACCATAACTTCCTGGATTATGGCCCCTAATTATACAAAAAATTGCTTTTTAATACACCCACATTGAAATGTGGTCGTATATTGTTGTCGCTTCAGGAACATCCAGATGTTGTAAAACTCACAGTCATTGCTTCAGGAAAATGCTAAGAATCTTGCTTTTTATTTTCAGTACCAACAACAAATATTTCCGAGATGAAAGGTGGCAGTGTAATACAACCGGTTTCTATAGCTAATGATAATGCTCTACCACCGCGATATGTAATTCCTACAACTGTTTTAGGCAAAGTGAAAACAGAGTCAAAATGAGCACAAGAGTTATGGACCTTTATGTAATCTAAAGAACTGTTATTGATCATGGATTAGGAAAGGAAATGAAATGAAATGAAGTGTTCAAATGGAAAAACAGGGTGCAGTTTGTTTAATTGGGAAGATTAGGCATATTTTGAAAGTTTCCAGCACGACGGTCAAGATATGAATTGATGTTCTTAATGGATCATTCAAAAGTTCTTTATGGACCATTCAAAAGTTCTTTATGGACCATTCAAAAGTTCTTTTTGGATCATTCAAAAGTTCTTTATGGACCATTCAAAAGTTCTTAATTGGTCATTCAGATGTTCTTAATGAATCATTCAGATGTTCTTAGTGGATCATCTTGATGTTCTTATATGATCATTCAGATGTTCTTGTTTGATCATTCAGATGTTGTTAATGGATCATTCAGATGTTCTTATTGGGTCATTCAGATGTTCTTATTGGATCATTCAAATGTTCTTATTGGGTCAGATGTTCTAAATAGATTATTCAGATGTTCTTAATGGATCATTCGGATGTTCTAAATGGATCATTCAGATAAATGTCTAAAATGAGTAGACCAAAAGACAGAAGATGATTAAAGCTGAAGAATATTGTGTTGGGAGGGGGGGAGGGGGCGGCTGAATAATGATGAAGATAAAACTAAAGAAAATATTACATGTAGAAGATGTGAACAAAGTGTCTCCATGGAAACGATAAAACATAAACAATAGAGAAAATGATAATACTGTTGTTCTGCCATGGTTTCTGATTTTCAAACCAAGATCATTTATAATCAATGCAAATTCCGATTCTAGTTGTGATTTTCGTTCCAGTCCTTTCAAGAAAATATGTGACAGAGGATGAGTTATTTATAAAACCATGTGCAATTTATTAGTATATAAGAGCATATTAGAAGTTTATAGAGATGTATATACTTGTATATTATATTTATCTGGTGGGTTGCGTATATTATTATTATTATATTCAATACATTAGGTTGAGTAGTCTAAAGCATGTAGGGGGTTGGGTGGCCGAATGATTTGCGAGTGCGCGTTGTATCATAAGCTCTGTCATTGAGTCAACTGGCATGGTTTCGATTCCCTGGTTGTAGGGTCGCCTGTCTAACTTCGTGGGTTTTCTCCGGGTCCTCCAGTTTCCTCTCACTGCTAAAGACCCCTACGCGCATGAGAATTATTAAAATAAAATTGAATCAAATGTAGGGGGTTGGGTGGCCGAATGATTAGCGAGTGCGCGTTGTATCATAAGCTCTGTCATTTAGTCAATTGGAGGGGTTTTGATTCCCTGGTTGTACTCGATGGGGAGTAGGGTCGCCTGCCCAACTTCGTGGGTTTTCTCTGGGTCCTCCAGTTTCCTCCCACTGCTAAAGACCCCTACACCGCTCTCGGGGACTAAAAGATTTGTGTCTTTATGTCCTATAATCCTAGGAGGCAGCCATGTTTATCTCCAAACCACACATGCTCACACCGAGGTTCGAAACCATGACCGCCAGAAGTGATGAGTCAGCTAGACTACTCTAGACCGCTAGGCTATCCCAACCCCTCTCGTATCGCAGACATTCTTTTATATACCCTGAAACCCACGTCACATTTACACACATTCAGATACCCGAAATAGAATCTAATTAATTTACATATTACTGTTTAAAGTATCCATGGAAATAATATTGTAAATATCATTTTCAGTACCAAACCACTGACCTGTCTGTAGTAAACATAGATGTCTATAAGGTCACAGGATTTCCTGCTTATACGTAACAAGGAGTAGGGTCGAATGTCCAACCGTATGGGTTTTCTATAGGTCATTTGGTTTCCTTCCACTGCTAAAGACCCTACGGGCAAGCGAATTATTGAAATGAAATAGAACCAGGGGCCTGTTTCATGAAATTTTAACTAAGATAAAATTCAAATTTTAGTAATTTGATTGGATAATATTAGATTGATTTTAGTGCTTAGCCAATCAAAACTGAAGTATGTACTAAAATTTGGATTTTATCTTTAGTTAAGATTTTGAGAAACAGGGCCCAGATGAACAGTAAAATTTATTTGAACAAAGTTACTCAAAATTTGTAAATTTTATCTATGGATTGGTTCCATTCACTTGGTTATCTTCTTGGTACTGTCGAGTGGACCTTAAACCCCATTTCTCTCTCTCTGTCTTATTGGGACCCACCACGCCTAATATTATCAAAATTGAATGGTCAGCTTTAAACTGGACACAAGTACAAATTAAACGATTTATGGTGATTTTAAACAGTTTTTACAAATTTTTAAACAAAGATTTGATATTAAACGAATGTGAAAGAAATTAGTGCTAGATATACAAGATTAAACGATACCTGGGTTACAGTGATAGGAGGTTCTGGGTGTCCAAAACTACCTGACGGCTAACTTGGCATGTTTGTTCACTGGACGATTGTGTATTGATTGGCAGATTTCGATTTGTCACAATTCAATGATGGCTGCTATGATGTCATTTTCGTTTCTTGGTGGTTTGTATTGTTCGCGCTTGTACTTATTAGATAAGGGCTAAACACCTAGAATTAAATGTGATCCTGATCAAATGGTGACTTGATGTATATTATTTACATAATTTTATCTTCTCAGTAAAATGGAGGTTGTTATTTTGATTTAGATATACTGAAGAGTACAAGACATTGAATTAAATGCACATCCTTTTGGCATTGGTTCCAGGGTTCCCGAGTCTCAACACCTTAGACTTAAATTACATGTATATCGAATATTTTACTATACAATTCTGCTGAACTTTCGTATACGTGGATTTATTTACGCTTTTCGTGGAATGGGACACTGGTCATTGGGTACAATGTAATACGAGTTTCAAATATTTTAGTTGAATTTTTGTGCCCAAGTCTCCTGGCGGTACGTCCAAGGCTTGACTTCCATTGAAAGTGCAATTTACATTTCTTGTGCTGTTCAGTATATTTGAACAATTCTTGTTTTAAGATTAAAAAACAAAATTATTGAAGTAGAAGGGGTTATCTCCCTTTGTTCGTTACTGTTTGTTTATAAGGGTTTTTTGGTTTTTTAAAAGAGATGTTATAAATATTTGTGTTTGTTTCACTGGAATCATGATAATGTGCATGTATATTATTTTTGTTATATATTTGTATATTGTGATTAATTATTATATATATGTCACATGAGAGTTGTTTTAATCGTGTAAAATTGTTTGGAATTCGTCACATGTGTGACCAATGATAGAAAATAGAGTCACAAGTCTTTTACGAAATGAACAAAAATGTTAAAACAGGCTAAAAATATGTAAAAAAATTAGATTTGATAAATAGAGCCAATTAAATTTTGTTGATATTTTTAGCATAATTGTTGACATAATTGTTCATATATTGTAAACAGCGACTTGCGGCTTCCGACTTATTTTTCTGTCATGGGTGACAAATTAATTAATACCCACATGGAATTAAATTTTTTGTAGATCCTAGGTTTTTTTATTTGTAAACAATCATGTAGAATTCGTTAGATACTAATACCCACATTTTGTTTATAGGATTATTTGGTGTTTTTTTTTTTTAACTGATGCTTTATCTAACCCCTCTATTTTTATTAATGAACAATTATGTAGAATTCCATCAATTATTTTTATACTCACATATTTATTTAAACCAATACTTTTTCTAACCTCTAGCTTTTTTTTTGTTTTCTTTACTCTAATACCAACACAAAACTAAAATCTTCTTATAGAAAATAGCTTTATACTTTAAAATAAGACCTGTTTTCCATCTACTCTTTTTCACAGCGTTTTTTGCTGGCGAAAAGTTGATCTAATGCAAATTTAATGGGACCGTTTCCATGTGACCTGTGAAAACGAGCGTATAAGCGAACATGGAAAACTGGCCTACGGAATAAATGTATTTAAATAACCCATTGGCACTTGTATCAGTTTTCAGTCTGTATTTCTTTTCTGTTAACTGCAGGGATGTTGGTAGTGGTGCTAGCACCCTGGGGAAAAAATCTGCAATCTCTCTCCCCCACTCCCTTCCATTAGACATTGCTATAACATATCATGCAGCCAAATAATGAAGATTTCTATTTTACAGCTGATTTAGGCATAAAATTTTAATCAACCCTCATCATGGTAGGTTTTATTTTATTCTGAGAAATGTAATGTAATTTTAGAATCAATTTCTAGTTTTTTGTATATAAAAGTTTCGTCACATAGGGAAATATGAAGCATTTTTTTTACATGTATTAAATTAATTTTGTATGGGCAAGAATATGATAGTTTTTCCTTAAAAAGTCTTTTTTCGCCCCCAAATTCACATCAAGAAAACAGGATAAAAATCAGAATATTAACCAATGTTTTTTTTCAATCTTATTTATCTTTTTGTATTGATTTATTTTGTTTCATTTACATCGAAATACAAGAAAATTTCAAGCTTTTTTTTTTTCAAAATAACCAAGCACTGTCCTGCACGGCAAATTATGTTTATATGGATTTACTCGGTAATCTTTTGTTCATTTAGTGTAGTGTAGCCTAGTTTAGGAAAAAAATGATTTTAAGTTTGTTTTAATGAATATGGTGAAGAGGGAGGAATTTTTTTTCTTATAGAATTCGAAATTGAAAACTTCTCCCTCTTTCGTAAGCCTTGGTACAGAGAAAGAAGATGCTACATCCATTATATCTTGGTTTAGGTCTAAAAATTAAGGTCAACTGCAAATGTGGTCAAAAATGTAATCGGGGTTAACCCTAACCCTAGCCCTGTTTACATCTTGTGACCATGACAAAATCTGCTGTTGGCTCTCATTTTTACACTACCATTTTTATATGCCCACATGGAAATGTGGTTGTATATTGCTGTCGCCCCCGTCCGTCCATCGATCCGTATATCACCCACAATTTCTTATGAACACTCTAAAGACTACATTTATGATCTGATTGTTTTAAAATTGATATATATATGTTGTTAACATTAGTGAGATGAAGAAGCCTGATTAATTTAATTCCGTTAATTTCATCTGGAATTATGGCTCTTGTTTCACTTTATTGAACCTTGTGAAAGCTCTAACAACAAAAATTATCATCCGATCTGTACGAAGTTCATATGCCCCCCCCCATTACCTACAAAAGATTAAATATGTGACAACCCTTGTTGACCCCTCGGACAATTTAGTTGCTGTGGGCGTATGTTTTGTATCTTTCTTATGTACTGATTAAGATTTAAGTACCTTCTTCGTTTAGTTTTCGAAAGTTCGATGATGATCTTTTTATTTCTAATTTGTTTGATTATTGAAACACTGACCATATTGATTGTTGGCTGACATGTTGAGATGTTTGTTCCAATATTCTCTGTTGAATTTAAATGTTTTATTTATTCCTGTTAGATTTTGTTCTTCCTTATTGTTACTATTATAGATTTGTTATGATTTCACATGTGGAACGATTTGAATTAACCCCAATCTGATTAAAACACAGATCCTATTTCGTTTCGCGTTTTATCGTTCAAAATTTTATTTTACTTGTCTTTATTACACTAGGATCTGGAAGAGTTGTTATATAACCTGCGTTCTGGATGATTTGAGAGATTAGCCAATCATGTAGTAGAGGCCATCGAAAGTATAAAAAATGAAACGAAATATATATCTATATTTTAATCAGATTGAATTAACTCATGTTTGGATCTTTTTTTTTTTTTTTTACAAGGGATGAAGATGACAGACTGGGCAAAATGTCTGCCTGTTTTAGCTGTTTATCTTTGACAGAGTTATCTTTCTTTCTATTCTCAGTGATAATGTATAGGGGAAAAGCTCAAACTCTTCTCTGCATCCCTCTCTGCCCTTGAATGTCTTCAGCATCGTAGGTAGCCGAAACCTGAGTTAATTGCTCTGGAATGTCTTTATTATCATGGACAGAAGAACTCTGGGCTGTTGACTCTGGAAAATTTTCGGTATCAAAGGCAGACCAGATCAGAGCTAATAAATAATGCATCTCTCACACTTTAGGGAGGACAACTCTAAATTCATACAGGCAAATGCTTACAAATTATATTTTCAGGGTTTGATCTATTTGATAAGGCCAACTTCAAGTTTGTCAAAGCCCAGGAGATGTAAACATGGCTAGTGCTAATCCCAACCCTAACCCTGGACCTAGCTCTAATGCTTACTCTAACCCTAATCTACAATCTCGCCAAAAATCACATGTCCTAACCTTATTTATATTTCAGCGACCTTGACGGAAATTGAGCTGGCCTTAACAAATAGATTTAGCCAGATCTTCAGGCAGTTTGGGGATGTCATTTCCATATAGGGATTGAACATTACCTCACCTTGTGACACCTACATCCACATTTGGGAATTCTGGACCCTCCCCAATCGGCCTGAGAATAGACTCCCCCTGTCTATTTGTTTTTGTGTTATATATAGATGTGTTATATATGTGGTAAAACCAAATATATATTAAATATTTCAATGTGATCTCATCTCGCGCTCCCCACCCACCCCTTCTTTATTTGATAAATCGAAAAACCATTTTGAATTTGTTATATAGATTGGTTGGTTGATTTGTTATGTCTGGTTTTACATATTATTATCTGCACATGCATCATACACAAATATAATTATTATATCTTTCAAATATGAAATATAAATTGTTTGTTTTGTTTTATTTCATTCAACATCGGGAGGGGGGCGGCCGAATGGTGTGTCATTGAGTCAACTGGCATGGTTTCGATTCCCCAGCTGTACGTGACAAGGAATAGGGTTGCCTGTCCAACCTCGTGGGTTTTCTGTGGGTCCTCCGGTTTCCTCCCACTGCTAAACACCCCTATGCGCAAGCGATTTATTATTGAAATAAAATTGAACCATATGTTAGTCCCAAAATGGCATAGTTTGTGTTGAGTGGACGTTAAACCCCATTTCTCTCTCTCCATGGTCAGTTGGAATTTGAAATAAGAGTAGGCTGTAGAGTCTGTGTCTGGGCAAAATGGCATATGCCAGACTTCATTAGCCCAGTTGGAGCCAATCTGATTAAAATTCATTCGATGCTGTGTTTCTTGGACCACCAGCAAATTTTGTTTGTCTGATTTTCATGACACAAATTAAGTCTGTACCGGTATCAAAACACAGATCCTATTTTGTTTCGTTTTTTACAGTTCAAAATTTTGTTTTACTTACCTTGACTACACTGGTGGAAGCCATCGAAACGAAATATAGATCAGATCAAGTCTGAGTAGGGCGTTAAACTCCTCTTTCATTTGATATCTGTGTATTTTATTCAAGAGGTACCTGGCTAATGAAAAAGGGCATACGCCTTGCAGGATGCTATGAGGGAAATTTTGCCAAGGTAGCACTGGATCCACCTGCTCTTGAAGAAACCACGCCGAAAAGTACCAAAGAACTTTCTCGGCCAACACCAGGAGCGAACTTACTCACTTAGCCACTGTGGTCCCCTTTACAGAGAGAGAAATGGAGTTTAACGTCCACTCGACACAAAGTAGGTCATTTCGGGACTAACATATGGTTTAATTTTATTTCAATAATTCGCTTGCGCGTAGGGGTCTTTAGCAGTGGTAGGAAACCGGAGAAAACCCCTGAGGTTGGACAGGCGACCCTACTCCTTGTCACGTACAACCAGGGATTCGAAACCACGCCAGTTTACTCAATGACAGGCCGTATGATACAGCATGCACGTGCTAACCTTTCGGCCACCCAACCCCCCCCCCCCTGTCCACTTTACAAGCCCTCTGTTCTGCACCACTGACTAGGGTAACCATGCTGGAAAATCCTGAGGAATTATCTTGGAAAACAGAGGGCATCAAACCCGGCTGACAACCGTGTCTGACAAGTATCGGTTGTGCAAATTTACACTTTACGCCCTTGGATGAAAAGGTTGGGGGTCCCCGATTCTTAACAGAACAGCTCAAAAAAAGCATATCTATAAACCTCAATTTTATTGTTCTATCACCATAGTAACTAGCCAATCAATACTAATACATTCAAGTTCTGTACACTTATTTCAATTATGGCACAAAATTAACCCCTGTTCATTTGCTCGAAGATCCCAGTCCACTTGTTACATAATTACTCTATTCGTGGTCATGTTAGGTTGCTATATAATATAGATAGATGAAATTAACAGATGTACATTTTATTTTCATTGATTCACTTGTCGATCAATGCATGTGCTAAAGTCTAACTAGAGGCCTCTCTTTCTACCCGAAGATCCGATCCCAGCCAAAAAATGATACCAGGCCCCGAGTTCACGAAGCATTCTCAGACTTAGAAATTACTCAAAATTAATCACCATATTTTAACTAAAATAGAGCCCCTTTAGAAACTTTTGTTTCAATATATAAAATACATCAATATGAAACTATGTGCAAAGTTTGTTTTTCTGGATCAAAGATATTTCTCATAAACAGTGATTGAAAGTTGAGTAAATTCTTAACTGAAGGCCGAGAATGTCTTGTGAATTTGGGGGGGGGGGGCCAGGCCAGTTCTTGATATAATCATTTGTTTCTTAAACTCTCTTTAAATTCTTAATATCACTATCCCCATGTATAGTAGGCAATTATTTCAATCCAGTCCTACTAACAAGTCAGAAAAGTTACTCAAATTGAGTAGCCGAAAGATCTCTACTGCCGTGCTGTCAACTAAGCAGATTACTGTCGAGGCATCCTTGCTACTGTAGCTTTTATTATATACCACCATTATCAATATCACACATTCGATAACGGCACAAAGTCGAAATTCTTCAAAACGGTATTAGACATTGCTGTTAAATGTTTACTTCCAAAAATCATCAACAGTTAACATTCGACACTGTTCGTATTTTCTAAAAATCTTGCCGGTGTGTAGGAGTTGATCAAACAATGCATCAATAATTATTAACAGTTAACAATCGAGACACTACACTGTCCGTATATGGTTGGATTTTGCAAAACTCATGATTGGTTTGTAGGACTGAATCAAATAGTGCATCATCCTACAAATATACTTCCACATCAAAATGTGGGCGTATAAAAATCACAACAAAAAGTTTGGTCCTTGATCAATATATTTATTTTTTAGTATTTTTTTTTTAATAACAGACTACGAAAGAGCCACTTTGTCAATAGCTTTTTTTTTTTATACAGAATTAAGATACAATTCTTTATATATTTTACAACTGATTTAAATATAATTCGTGTAAATGTTCTTTCAGTCTAACAAATGTCTTGAGTCGTTTTGGGCCCCTAGTTTTTATTTTTACACACACACCTGATCAAAACAAAACTTTTTATGCAACCTAATGATGTGTATATTAAAATGCGAACAGGAGCAAGAAAGCCATCATAAGACAGAAAAGACCCATAGCTTCTGACAAAGCGAAACCCAAGATGGCATAGGAGAACAATTGTTGTTTCAACGATGGATTCCTGGCGTAACCAATTACTAAACTTCCGAATACACTTCCAATACCAGCTCCTGCAAAATAAGGAACAGATTTTTATTACATGGTTACTAATCATAAATATCAAAGTGAATTTATGTCTTAAACTCATGTCATTTTGGGACTAACATGGACTATTTTTTTTATTTCAGTTATAGTCTAAAGGACCTTTAGCAGTGGGAGAAAACCCACAAGTTTAGACAAGCAATCTTACTTCTTGTCCAGTATAAGCTTGGGATCGAAGCCACGACGATTGTATTGATGACAGATCTGATCTGAAGCGACTGCATTAGATCCTTAACCCTTTTTTCCCTCCTAATTTGGTAACACATTTATAGTACACCACTTTACTAAATATGTAGGCATGTATGAATGCAGACTAATACTCCTTCAACCTTTTAACCTTTAACCTCAAAATGAAAACCACATGGGTAAGGAAAAATCTTGGAAGGTTCACGGTCCATGCTGACCGTAATCATTCTGACAGCCAACTAACCTTGTCCTGTGATTTAGCATTCTGAATAGGTCTAATCTGAACATTATACTGTTGAAGTGACTACATTTTTCTTCCAACTACAGAATCAGTTCAGCCAGGACATTAAGGATCATATGGACAGTGGAATAAATTGATCTCCATTACTGACTAGGTTAGGCAGACATTCTTCTTGTCAATCGACTCCTGAGACACTACTTAACATGTAAGATTATGGATGAATGACTGAGCCACTCAATCAATCCCCACTTTGTGCTAATAATTTCAACAAATGTTCTTTAGATCTACTGCAAAACTACTTTCGATCTAAGCATGATCATGATAACCACTGATCCTCCAGCCATAATTATGTCAGTACGTTTTATATAAATGGCATTTATTCTCACCTGAGCCTGCAGCACCGACTGTGGCAGCACCAGCGCCAATATATTTTGCAGCTTGATCAATATCTCGAGAAACAGCACTAGTTTGGAAATTTCTCAATTGATTTAAAATCTGTGTGTTAAAATTTACAGGTGTGAGCCCATTTAAATTGGATACTGTTTGTGATGTCTGAAATAAGCAGAAAACATTTTCATTTATATTAATCTTGACATTTTAAAGATTTCTAACAAACTGAATTTTAACTTTTAACTTTGAGAAACTATCCATTTTGCCACTACATACGTGTAGGTTTTTAATACAATTTTGCCCCAAATGTTTCTACCCATGTTATTAATGAATTACCAAGGGTTCTTTATGTTAATGCTAACAATTGTTGGACCTCCATTTCTTTGAACAAATTGTCCGACTTCCTGTCTTAGACGAGCAGCCAACTCCCCAGAAAAGTCATTGGGTCATTCTTATCAGGAGTATTGTCAGAACTGATCTGGTAAAAATGTAACTTTTATGATCAGAAATAATTTCTACGTTCATGCCAATACTTTTATTTTGCCATGGTACCAGCGAGAATATCATAACTGACATCCAATTCCAGTAACGCATGAACTCTAAACTTGCCTCTCGAGATATAAAAATGAACTGAAATAGGGTTCAACGTCCTACTCTGACTGGGCTAATGAAGACTAACATACTCCAACGTGTACACAGGACCGCGGCTTTTCGTTCCATTCAAACGGCTCTGTTGTCCCTTGCCAGGTCATCTGTCCTGCACCACTGACATGGAGGAACTATGCTGGAAAATCCTGATGAACTTTCTCTGCCAACACCAGGATCGAACATGGGACCTCCAGGTTAGCAAGCCAACGTCTTACTGAGCCATCGTGGATCCTAATTTGAGATAGATATTCATACCATATGAGTGGACACGCGCTTACATATTTATTTACCAAATGATAGAAATAATACTTACTTCTAGGTTGCTAGTTACAACAGTGCTACCAAGTGGTCGGAGAGCTGCTCGGCTTCCTGCAGAAACCTGAAAAGTTTAAAAACAGGATTAATGCGAGATCCTCTAAGTTAGTTATAGAACATGGGTACATGTAGATGGGCAATGCCTAAAATACATGTAGGCATGTCAGAACATTATTTGTATTCCATGTAACTGTCACAAAGAATAATTAGCAGTACTTGTTTTAACTGTTATGAAAAATGATCAATTTCAGAAAATGACCTTCCTAAAAAAATTTAACACTATACTCTAGCTCAAGATTGCTCCACATGCAATGTGGCTGGACAGATTCCGAAAAATTCTGACACAAATGATAAAATTACTCTAAAGCTTAGGTCATCTAATCAGAATCACAGAAATTCTAAAAACTATCTGTAATCTGGATGTTCACTATACTATCAACACAGCATGTACATGCGAGCAGTTTCTAAACTAGCATTAGACCCTTTTAACCTTGGGAGTTGTGATCACTGTTCATGCCCTTACACTTCTAATAGATTCATGTTTGTGGCATTTAGATCAACATCAGTTCTGTGCTATTGACTTAATAATCATATTTCAGGATTACATTTGTAAATTAAAATATAAAAGTAAAACCAAAATAGTAGTCAAGTGTTCACACAGGTATGTCCACAATTTCCTCAAAGATTGGAAATGACAGAGAAAATACACTTCAATCATTTAGATTTTGGGAATCTAAATCATCTTATTTTTAGGAACTTCTATTTCTTAAGAGTGCATCTGCTAAAAACTCCTACACTCAGCAAAAATAATACTTCTAGTAGTAGTAGTTCTAGAGAGACTAAAAAATCAAGTACAATCTGATAAAATATGTAACAAGACATTTAGTCAGTTGACAATTTTTCTAAGATCATACACCGATATTAATTTGAGCATATATTATCAAACTATATGCTTTTAAACACGTTGTCATGTTTCACCTTCAAGAAACGCCTGACGTCAAAACTGAAGCCTCCTATCAGACTGTATCGTCAAGGACAAAGGTCATTGCTCTGCAGTTTCAAGTTGTCATTTCGATAAAAAGCTTAAAAATCCAATAAACGTGGTAATCTGATCATAATTTTCACACTGCATGTTCAAGTGTGCAAATAAGTGATCATCAAACAATGTAATGGTCAGTTTTGCAGACGATTCGTCTGAAGCAGAGGACAAAATGGCGATAACACGAACCGGTCAAACGAGCAGAGACACGATTTGAAGCAAAGGTAATTTGTAACACACAAATGAATAAAACGACAGTTAATAAAAAACCAAAGTACACTTACCACGCATCTTGTGGCAGGGTTGATAAATCTGGCACAATACATTTTTGGTTCTCAAAACTCGCTGCTAACAAGGGCCCTGCAAGAAAAGCCGGTATAATTATCAATGTTGATCGTTACCGATCAGTTAAAAAAATTCCAATTAATGGCAACAGCAGACAAAATATACTAATAATCACAAAGTAGGAAGCGTTAACAATTAATCCGTCTCATAATCCTTGACGGATGGATAATCACCGGTGCTGTTACAGAAGATTACCTAACAGAAAGTTTCAACAGTTTTGTGCTCACCAGAGGTTAATGAAGGAGACCGATACTGCACATGCGCAGATCCGTCTTAACCTTTTCCGTTTTGATAATTTTCGTAATATTCTATATTTTTAGATCTCAATCAAGTACAAAAGCATAAATTCTCGCAAATATTCTTTGAGAGAAAGAAAGTATAATTATTTAATAAAACCCCAAATATGCAAATGATTTAAAGTTCGGGAGTTTTGCAGACGTCACGCACCCGTCAGAAGGCCAAGGACGCCAGTTCTCTCACAAATGGCGGTGTTCTTCGTAAATAATTGTACTTTTCAGGGATGCGGACTGACTTTTGCCACACTTGCCGACTTGATACAGCATATTGAAGATTCTCACATAGGTAACAGTATCTGCTTTATCGAATGATGTGCTTTTGAATAACAGTTATCGACAGAGGAACGCGCATTTGATGTTATTTTCTATTGTTTACATTCTGGACAATTTGACAGGAGATGTCCGCACTGCACGTGCTAATTGGCTAATTGACCCAGTCTGTCAAACTGTGACAGATACAGAGCAATACACCGTTATTTTTGTTTTAGCCCACATGCTGGAATTCTACAAAATTATTTAGTAAAATCATTTTCAAAAAGTGATTTATTTCCGGGTTGTAAACAAATATCTGGAAAGATAAATACATGATCAATAGTAGGATAGGCCTAACGAGAAATCAAAGCAAAGACAGCGAGGCACGACAATGACACAGTGCTGATCTTTCTTTTGTTTATTTTGGCCATTGGACAAAGGCCCCATTGTTTTTGTATCTCTCTCTTTGTACCAACTTACACTTTGTGAGCTCTATATATCTGCTGCCAATTAAGATTTTTTACTGAAGCACACATCAATTTTTAAAAATTTTATATGCGGGTACTTTATAAATTTATGCTGCCATTTAAGATTTTTTACTGAAGCACACATCAATTTTTAAAAATTTTATATACGGGTACTTTATAAATTTATATAAATGATTGAAAATTGAATGAAATGGGTTTAACATGCCACTAATGAAGATGTGCATTTATTCATACAGTATTCTATGCACGGACAGCAATAGAATTCCAACTGTATACAAAACCTCAGAGTTTTTTTCGTATCATTAGTTAGAATAACTAACATTTCGTATAAAATAAAATAAATATGTAAGTTTGTTTGTGTTTGTTTATTGTAGAAAATGATCCAAGAGTTATACTGAAACAAGAAATACTACAACCACAATCACTTGCCCTCAGCTATGTTTTACGGTAAATTAATGCTGTTCTTAATCATTGCATGTTGCATGGATCTCAGATCAACATGTAGGCAGTGAAATGAGTGAAACATCTTTTGGTCATTTTGTTCACACAAATTAATCAGAATTCTGTCAAGTGAATTCTGATATTTATGTAAATATATTAGATCATATTTGAGTTTAATTTTGATAACATTAACAAGTGTCCAATTTACAACCATTTAATTTCCCAATCACTGTTTAAAAATGAACAACAAAGTATAATGATTAATTGTGACGTTATTTTGAACAGTGATTGAATGATTTGGGGTGATTTTAGACGATTTTTACGAATTTTCGAACAGGAGATTTGATAATAAATGAATGTGAAAGACATGAGGGCTTAATATAATACCGGTAGTCATTGAATGATAACCTGTATACGCTGCACATGTTTATACATTCTCATTCCCTGCATCTGTCTGTACGTACTACTGCACTTAAGAATAGACTAAATCCTACAGACATGAAAGTGAATATTTCAAAATACATGTCATGTATCTTTAGTTGTTTTCTCTCCGATTTACGATTAAATTCATGAGATGGGGTTTATTAACATCCTAATTTTCTGCTCCATCCAGACTAATGAAATGAACGCACATTGTACGACATGCAGTGTGCTATTAGGGAAATTTTGCCAAGGCAGCGGCATTACTGTCATGGGTTCTTTAATGAGCATGCCATCTGAACGATTAGAAGCTGGGAGCTCCATGTTAGCAAGCAAGGCCTACTCTGTCAGAACCATATCGGCTCTCCTGTTCTAATGAGCTTGCCATCTGAACGATTAGAAGCAGGGAGTTCCATGTTAGCAAGCAAGGTCTTACTCTGAGCCATATGGGTTCTGAAACTGAATGCGATAGTTAGAAATATTGATATGTGCTATAGTATAAAATGTAATTGACCATTACATAATTTTTGAATGTGATTATTTACCTTTCCATTACTCATTGATATGGGCCATAAAATGTGTGAGGGAGAGAGAGAGGGAGAGAGAGAGATGGGGTTTAACGTCCACTTGAAATAAAATTGAACCATATTTTAGTCCCGAAATGTCCTAATTTGTTTCGATTGGAAGTTAAACCCATCTCTCTCTCTCTCTCTCTCTCTCTCTCTCTCTCTCTCATTGGAACACAATGAAGAACTCTTTTATATTTTAAACCTGACCAGGCTTTCTGTCTGTTCATAAATTTTATGCATGTTTCATGGAGTGAGATATTTCCATTGACATTTTTACTTTTAAAGATTGGGACAGAGTTCAAATATAAATTTTTTGAAGACATGTTCTTCGGGGTTTGTTGACACAGCTATCATGATCCCCTTATTTTTATTTTGAAATAACAATTCTGCCGTCAAAAGGCAACACCTAGTAACTTACGTTTTGTTTTTTTGAGAAAACAAAGGAAAACGTAGAGAATGAATATTAAACCCAAGCTTATGCATTGATTCGACTATTGAGTTACTAGGTTTTTCTGTGGCATACTAGGCAAATGAAGGAAGTTGCTAGGTTGTGTCATGGGTGTAACTGATTATGAAATCAAAAGATTGGAATATATAGTACAACAACAGGAAGCACATACCCTAGTAACTACAAATTTGGTCCTAACTCAATTTTGATAAAAAAGTGAGTTACTAGGTTTTGACTTTTGACGGGAGAATTACACACATATAGTTTGTACATTGTTTCTTTTGTAATCATCCCATAGTATGTTTTATTGTTGGGGATTTCAGATTTTTTACGGAGGCCGCCAAGAGAGAAACTCCTGACTTTCAGAAAAAACGGGTTCGAGCTCAGTCTCCAGCAGTTTCCCTCCCTGGCAGTACACCAACAGGTAAATATTGAATACATCAATTAAAACATGCCTGTATCTTTTTTAAAAATGAAATTCAAAGTAATTGGCAGCAGATAGAGAGAAATGTTCTTTTATCATCCACTTGACACAAAACAGGTTATTTTGGGACTAACAGTAACACATGGTAAAGCCACTCGGATGACCCTTGGCGCATCCTCCCACTACAACTGGTCAAATCTTCATGTAGTGGAGGCCATCGAACGAATAAAAAACAAAACGAAAGATAGATCTGTATTTTAATCAGATTGCATTATATTTGAACTATGTTATATACATGTGTTGCCAGGCAACTTTATATGTAAACTATGTTATATACATGTGTTGCCAGGCAACATTATATGTGAACTATGTTATATACATGTGTTGCCAGGCAACATATGTGAACTATGTTATATACATGTGTTGCCTGGCAACATTATTATATGTGAACTATGTTATGTAATGATTATTATTTGATAAATAAAGGTAGTGAAATTGATGAAGAAGAAATTGTTAGTGATGACGAAGATAGTGATGATTCATGGACAACTCAAGAAGAATTCTCCTCGGAACTTATTATGAGGTATGTAAACTTAAATAAAACAATGTTTATATATCTGCACGAACACATAGGTATTGTGCAGAAATGCAAGCCTGGAAATAAGGCACCTGTCACAGATATTGTCAGGCACAGATTCGGGCTTTGTCAGGCACTAAACCTCTGGTGCCTTTCATTTTTGCCGGCACCGATTTGTCTTTTTTTATTGATATTATTAATACATGTCCGGCACTAAGTTGAAAATGGCAGGTAATATTTCATTAGGGCCCGATATTTTGTCAGCTACATTTAAAACCGTTATTTGCAGGTTTGGGAAATGAAATTAAATGGGGTTAAACGTCCTACTGTTTTGCTTATGCTATGAGGGAAATTGTGCCTGGACAGCGGCACTATGCCCATTTTTTATATTGAATTCCAGCTGCCAATCTTTTGCCAGGCCCTCTGTCCTACACCACTGACAAGGAGAACCACACCACAAAATCCTGATGAACTTTCTCGACCAACGCAAGGATCGAACAAGAGACATCCAGTTTAGCGAGCCAACGTCTTACCCACTGAGCCATCATGGCTCTCACCCACTGAGCCACTTACCACTTTGACTCTCCCCCCCCCTCTCAAGTTAGTTGAATCCACAGACAATCACATACATATGTGTAATATTGTACATGTATATGGCTGAACTGTTGTAATCTATTTAATATCGGAGAAATCCGTTGCCATCGAGAGTTGATTATAGCCTGGATAAGTTAATTAATGTCTAATTAGAAAACATTTCAGTCCAAAAAAAAGACCTGCAATAGACAGATGTACCTCTTGCATAATGTATTTATCAAATGCTAAATGAAACAGATACTCGGGTTTTGGAATATTTATTTTTTGTATTTTTAGTATGATGGGAGGATCAAAAGACAATGATGGTGACAAACCGTTTGCTTGTCCAGTGCCAGGATGTAAAAAACGCTACAAGAACGTCAATGGAATCAAGTACCATGCCCGCCATGGACATAAAAAAGAGGCGAAGTTTGTGTAAAGATCATTTAATGCACATCTTGTTTGCATGCAACACCTCCGGGTGGAAGTTAATGTTGAAATTTGTTGTAAGCCAAAATGAAATGTGAAATAATCTCATAGAAAAGAGTTACCCCCCTTGCATTAAACTCTGACGGTAGAAAAAGAGAAAGGGGCAAAGACTAGGTCATTTCGGGACTAGCAATTTTATTTCAATAATTCCCATGCGCGTAGGGGTCTTTAGCAGATGGAGGAAACTGAAGGACCCGTAGAAAACCCACAGGTTTGGCAGACGACCCTACTCCTTGTTTCATACAAGCATGGGATTGAAACCACGCCTCTTGACTCAATGACAAACCTTGCGATCTAACATGTCGTGTTAAACCCTTCGGCCACAACCCCCACAGTTGATTAAGTACCAAAAACTGCGTGTAATTAAACTGAATGTGTAAATTTGTTTTATTTTTACAAGTTTTATTTAAAAAAGATATAAATGGTGGTAGAGCCTAAGGGAGATAACTCTTAAAAAAGTAGGATTCTGTTATTTTGGAATGTTCGTGTACATTGAATCGGCTCATAATTGCATGCTATTTATTGGTTAGTCATATTTTCAAATAAGACACACATTGGCGTGCACATAAAAGATCTCTTGGCAGTTGGAATTTGATATAAGAGTAGGCCGTAGTGCCGCTGTCTGGGCAAAATTCCCCTCATAGCACACTGTATGACGTGTGCCCTTCTACTCCTCTAACGTATACCGCAGATGATACTAGAGCAGACTACCAAATTGAGGTTGGTTTTTATACACCCACATTAAATGTGGTCGTATTTTGTTGTTACCTCTGTCTATTGTCGACCTGGCGTCCCCAATTGCTCCAGAGGCTAAAGTTGATATCTGCTTGACTTTAAATTTATACACAGTGTTTAAGGTCATGAGTTGAAGAATCCTATTGATTTTCAATGATTTCCGATAATTACTGCCATAGTTTTAGTCCTTGATTACTTTGAAATATCTTGTCGATGCTTTAGAGGCTAAAGTTAATAATCTGATTGACTTTATATTTATACAGTGTTTAAGGTCATGAGACCAAAAAGCCTTCGTTGATTATGGCAATTGATATTAAATGTTTTATTTCTGACAAAAGAAAAAAATAAGCAACAACCCTTGTTGACTCCCAGGATTATTTATCTGCTGTGGATGTATGTTCCATTGCCTGGCAACCTATCTTTTAGTCTGACTTTAAGCCCCACAAACAAAAGAACGGGTCGGTTGTAGAGTCTAAGGCTTTTTGGTTAATTGATGTAGTTTTGATAACATGTTTGTCTTTTGTTGTTTGTAAGCACTGCTGCTTCATACAGCAAATTTATTAGGAACTTTTAAAATGCAGATTAGTTGGATATTGAGATTTTTGATTGATTTCTTTCAGTGTCTCTCTCCCCTATATTTTTAATCCTTGCCAAGTAAAGGCTGGAAATTGAAACCAAGCCGCTTGACTCAATGACAGACATTATGATCTACAGCGCATGCATTAGACCATTCGACCACCTCCCAACAGCAAGGGATTAACAATCTATCAGATAATGTTCCTAGGCTTTGAAGAATCCGATATTTCTTGTTATATCATTTTAATATTAAATTGACCTTATGTCTTTTCAGGATTCGTAAAACATTCAAGTGCTTTTGTGGCAAAAGTTACAAGACCTCTCACGGACTACGTAGTCACTCTGTTGTACATCACCAGACACCAACAGACTGTTCCCCTTCCTCCATTATTACATCACTTCCTTCAAACATCCAATTAAAGATGGCGGTTGTGTCTTCTTCTACAGTCCCTCAAGGAATTGACACGATACTCATCACCAAAGACAACAAAAGTACTTCCCACCTCTCCACGACGACTTCCGCCATTTTGTCATCTTCCTACAGTGCTCAACTCAACGCCTCCCAAACATCGTCATTATCACCCATCACCGTGACAACAGTTTCTGCGAAGCCTCATTCCAGAACGGGTTCACCATTATCATTAGCCAACGTAACTCCCATACAGATCATAGCCCGACCAGCCAGCCTTGTATCGAGACCAACACAACTACCTGTTGCCACGGCTACCGTTAACGGTGACTAAAATGGCCACTAGACCTCAAGTAAAAATTTACTTTTTGATAAATTGTATTTATTGATACTAAATATATATTTAAACTTTGATTTTAGTAATTTTTAGGTTCTTGCCAAATTTAAGTGAAATTACTGTCTTTTGTGCATTTGAGAACTTTTTTTTTTTTTTTCAAAATTGAATTGGTACTTTTTGAGCTTATATTATGACATGTGGATCTACAGTCATAATGATGCTTTTTGCGATAGTTTTGAATTATAATGTTTATTTGTTTATGGCAATGAACTTGTTTATTTATTTATTTATTGCTCGTGAAATTTCTCAGTAGAAAATATTGAAGGTCACTTGTCAGGAAAAAAAGCTGCATATAATGATAATTCTGGAACTTTCTGGAATTCATTTCTCTAAATCTCACAATTAGGCAAACATTAAATTTCTGTTGTCAAAGAATATCTCCAGATAATTTGGTACCTCAGGTGTTTAGTCGAAAAAGTTCAGCTGGATTTTCTGGTGTGGTTCTCCCTTGTGTCTGGTGCCATCCCATTAATGATAGTAAGGGCTGAGGGCCTTCACCACATCCAAACAATTACATGACAAAAGTACTGACAGGACACAATATATACAGAGAGAGAGAGAGAAATGGCGTTTAACGTCCTCTCAGCACAAACTAGGTCATTTTGGGAGTAACACATGCTTCAATTTTATTTCAATAATTCGCTTGCGTATAAGGGTCTTTAGCAATGGGAGGAAACGGGAGGACCCGGAGAAAACCCATGATGTTGGATAGGCAACCTCCTTGTCACGTACAACCTGGGATTCAATGACAGACCTTATGATACAGCATGCACGCACTAACCATTCGGCCATCCAACCCCCACACAATATACAGACACCACAAAAACAAACACACGTTATCACATCAAGTGAACGGATCCAGGAACCAGCCGTAAACCTCCACTGCTCTGTGCAGTCCTGAACCTATAGTGATACAGACTTCACTTAAAATGAAAAACAAACTAATAATAAGGAAAGCCCCTCAATCAGTTCTATTTTTTTTCACGAATGACCTTCGATATTTTCTGTTGAAATATTTATGTAAGTATACTGAATCTATATATTTGTCTAAGGAATGGTTTTGTGGAACAGATATTGAAAGCATATTGTGATAAACGTGAGAGAAAGAAAGAAAGAAAAAAGATGAATGAAGAAAGAAAATGACTGATGTCAAGTCTTAGAGATAAGTGTCTGTCGAAAATATAAAACAACTTTTCTGGTGTTTGATAGAGCCTCTGATCATCATTTGATAATAATAATGATAAGTCCATTTATATCGCACTAATACCACAATCATTCACTATTAATAAGTCTGTTTATGTCGCGCTAATTCCACATATAGTCGTGCTCATAGGCTACAAAAAAAACACACAATAACTCTTGCAAATATTTCTCAAATAAGTATGTTTTCAATCTGGATTTAAAGGAGTCTAATGATGGACTGGATCGAAGATTTTCAGGTAGCGAGTTGTATTTTTTACGGCTTAATCCACTCTTTAATGTATTTAACGTTTATTTAATTAAACAGACATTATGCAAGAGCTAAATCTGCCTATTGCAGGTCTTTCTTTAGGCCTAAAATGGTATCTAAATTACTACCTAGACATTAAACATACATTATGCAAGAGCTAAATCTGCCTATTGCAGGTCTTTCTTTAGTCATGAATTGTTAAATAAACTATTAATTAGACATTTATTAACAAAAAAAGACCATAATTAACTCTCGATGCCATCGCTAGCCTGCGATATTTAGCAGATTGGAATACCTCTTTTGAAAAATAATTAAATGTAAAAATGGATAATGGAGATTTAGTAATGACTTTAGTAATGATGATCGAGGCTAGCCTAAATTTCGAAAGCTAATATCTCGGTTCAGAGTGGAGCAATTTGTTTTTGTTTTTTCTGACAGACACTGATTTCCAAGTTGGTGTAAAACTTGAAATTATTGCTCCACACTTTGAAACAGATACTCGACAAATTGTTTGCAATAATTGCTAGTTTTGCTACAGTATTTTATATATATAAATATTATATTTGCAGTTTGATGTATGGATATGTCTATATGTTATTATTATTATAATGATATAACCATGTATATTTTGTAATTGGTTTGTATCTGGAGTATATTATACGCAGCAGAATGTGGAAATTGCTTTACATGACAAAACTAGTCACTCATTAAACATACATTATACAAGAGCTAAATCTGCCTATTTCAGGTCTTTCTTTAGGCCTGAAATGTTATATAAATTATTAACTGGACATTAATTAACTTATCCAAACCATAATCAACTCTCGATGCCATCGCCAGCCTGCGATATAAAGCGGATAGGAGTACATTTTTTTGAAAAATAATTAAGTGTAAAAATCGATAATCGAAACTTTTTTTTTCATCGTACCGACTTTAGTAATGATGATCAAGGCTAGCCTAAAATTCAAAAGCTAATATCTCCGTTCAGAGTAAAGCAATTTGACAGAAATTTTCAGCATATTCTATTTTAGTTATCTATTTTTATAACTATTATAGTGAGAACTGTCAACTCTTTATCTAATCTTCCATAATTCCCATTTAATAAGCAATAATTGTATTCCATAGAATTGTGACCTGTGTAAAACTCACACAGTTATGTGGGACAACAAGCACAACGTTTCAATATGTATCTTCTTATCGTTAACAAGCACAAATGGCATGATGTACATATAGTGAAGCCATTACTTAATTAATTTGATAATTTGAAGATAAAGGGTGTAAAAAGTGAAGTAACTGTACCTGGCCAAAATAATGAACAGGGTCCATACTAGTAGGACGTTAAACCCGATTTCAGTTCATTTTCACAAGGAAAATAGAAGCATACCTCATAGTCCCATATGCCATCGTTGAAAATTACATGTCAAGCGGAGTAATTATCTTCCCTATCATGTGATTTCAAGTCATATATAGCAGGCTACTCTCAGACATATGATTTTAACTGACACACAAGATATATAGATTAGAGGGGATAAGATCTGAAGGGATAAAACAGCTTCCATATTCTGCACGTATAGTAGCGCCAGTTTATATATTTGTTTATATATTTTGTGGCAATTATTATTTTGAGATTGTCAGATAGAACAAAGAGGAGTTGATCTCTGTATTTAAATTTGGTTTAGAGATTTACTGTTTTGTTTTCTAGATGATCGTTTTTTGCTCAAGTATTATCGATATATATATCATTATAAAATATATTCCATTTTAATTATTTGATGAGAATTAAGAAGTTGATATGTGAAAGTATTAATATTGAAATCCATGATAAACATGTAGATCTATATTTACATGTATTTAGTGTGCAATACATACATTAGAGGAAGAATAGTCACAAATAGTTAGTGGCCAGAATATCCACAAATAGTTTGTGGCCAGAATATCCACGAATAGTCTGTGGCCAAGTTGACCACAAATAGTTTGTGGCCGAGTTCAAGTTGACCACAAATAGTTTGTGGTCAAGTTTATCGCAAATAGTTTGTGGCCAAGTTTACCGCGAATAGTTTGTGATCAGAATGGTTTGTGGCCAGAATATCCTTAAATAGTTTGTGGCCAGAATATTTATGAATAGTTTGTGGCCAGAATATTTATGAATAGTTTGTGGCCAGAATATTTATGAATAGTTTGTGGCCAGAATAGTTACTGACCAGAATATCTGTGAATAAGTTGTGGCCAGAATATTTATGAATAGTTTGTGGCCAGAATAGTTTGTGGCCAGAATAGTTTGTGACCAGAATATATGTGAATAATTTGTGGCCAGAATATTTACGAATAGTTTGTGGCCAGAATAGTTCCTGACCAGAATATCTGAATAGTTTGTGGTCAGAATATTTGTGAAATCATTTGGGCAGGGCTGTGAGTTCAGGTAGTGCTTTGAGTTTATCAAGTCCTCCTGATAGTAATTGGACAAAATATCTTGAAAATTGTGAACCTGATCGGTTATACACACTGAACTTTGTTTTCTTTGTTTGCATTATTTAGACTCTTTTAGTATTCTGGTTAAAATCTTTCGAACAACGAATGATGTAGTTCATCTGTCGCCTTATTCACAAACTTCGAAAATATCAAAATATCTCAATATCTCGCTGGTCTCGTAACTATGATTCAGGTCAAAAATCACAGATATTCAAATATTGTTTTTCTTAATCCTTTAGTGCTATATAGCAAACTAAAAAAGTTATATGGGACAACAATCGCTGGTTTATTGTACACAAGCACGACGTTTTGATAAGTATCCTCTTATCGTTATCAAGCACAATACCATTAAGTGAACTGGGAGGTCTATATATATGAATGTACAGCGTTGTGCTTGTGTATTATAAAACCAGTGATTGTTTTCCCATATAACTGTGTTAGTTCTGTATTGTTTTTCTTATCTCAGAAAATTCCTGGTTCATTAACATGTAAACTAAGATTTTTATTAACCAGTGAAAATTGAGGTCCTGTATTCACAAAGCATTAAAGCAAAAACAGATTTAAGTTAAGAATTTACTCAACTTTCAATCACTGTTTATAAGAAATATCGTTGATGTAGAAACACAGAACTTTGCACATAGTTTCTTATTGATGTATTTGGTACATTTAAATAACAAAAGTTTTATAAACTAGAATATATTCTAGTTAAAATAAAACAAACAATTTTGAGTAAATTCTTAACTTAAGTCCGAGAATGCTTTGAACTCTGGGCCTGATTCCTTAAATTATTTAAGTTTATGTCAATAAGGACTCAGGATCAAACCCTGATCGGGTTTAGCCGCAATATCCTTATTAGTGTACACAAACATACAGAATTATCTGAGCTGGTCATTGATTGGGATTTTGTCTCTAGAATTTTAAATGGTTTGATACCCTGCAGAAAGTTTTTGTTGATGATGGTATTTTATGTACATAAGAAAACTATTTATTTGGTTCCATATTCATGTATACAAAAAACACCCACCAAAAATAATTGTAATTTATTTGTAGTATGTTGTGGAATATGTCTCCCTCCCCAACCAGCCAAAAATATTGAATATGGTCATTTAATATTTAATGTTGTGGTCTTTCTATTATTTGCCAAAGATATAGCTGTATATACTTGTAACTATAAGTTATATATTGTTTTTTTGCTTTTTTGGGTTTTTTTTTTATAGCATGTGAAATAATCTAGTCAAGAGGATAAAATTATTTATTTATTTTATTTTATTTATTTACTGTTATTATCAAATATTGGCAAATGATCGTAAAAAAGTCATCTGATTAAAATACAGATCTATATTTCGTTATTTTTTTTAAAACTTTCGATGGCCTACATTACATGAAGATCTGACCGGTTGTAGCGATAGGTCGCGTCAGAGGTCATACAAGCGGCTTTTGATCCTATGACGTCAAACATTTGATTAAACAATCAGCATTGATGTTACTAGTGGATTACCCACAGTTCCATGCAAAACACGCCTAAAGCTCGCCGTAACGGACCGTTTCACTAGCTATTCCCTTATATCATTCAGAACATGTCAATAATAGCAACTAGAGTAGTAAAGACAAGCAAAACGAACTATAAAAAACGAAACGAAATAGGATCTGTGTTTTAATCAGATAGGTAGAAAAGTTTTTATAAAATTGTTAAACATGAACATTAATCAAACCTTGTCCCGAGTTCACAAAGGATTCTCAGACTTAAGTCAAGAATTTACTCAACGTTCAATCACTGTTCATGAGAAATATCTTTGATCCAGAAACAAAAATTTTGCACATAGTTTCTTATAGATGTATTGGATACATTAAAACAACAAAAGTTTTATAAAGTTCTATATTTTAGTTTAAATAAGGCAATCAATCAATTAAGTCTGAAAATGCTTTGTGAACTTGTACCTCGTCTTAAGTGGGAGATTTAGCTTTCATATCAAATCACCGACCATATCGTCCATAACAAATCACAGTTGATGTATACTTTTGAACCCCAACTTGCCAGATGGTCCAGAAATAAAATAGTGGCTACTCAAAATGTATGTAATGATTAGGCATTTCAAAACTCAAAACAGTAATCATAAAACCTGTTTTCTATGTATGCATTTTCGCTGTCTTTCCTCACGCATATTCGCCGGTTATATAAAAACAGTCCCATTACATTTGCATTCGACTGACTTTTTCGCTGGTGAAAATGCAAACATGGAAAACTGGCCTTAGAAAAGTTAGATCTTAAAATATGTGTAATAATTAAGCATTTTCAAAGACAAAAATCAAAACATTTGTGATAATTAAGCATTTTAAAAGGACAAAATTCAGAACATGTGATGATTAAGCATTTTTAAAGACAAAAATCAAAACATGTGATGATTAAGCATTTTAAAAGGACAAATATCAAAACATATGATGATTAAGTATTTTAAAAGGACAAAAATCAAAACATATCAAAACATATTTGATAATTAAGCATTTTAAAAGACAACTAAAATATTTTTATATCCAAATTCAGCCTATTCAATGGTCAAACACTAAAATTTGTACTAAAATTTTAAATTTCAATCAATTGAAATGGCTGCATCATTAAAATATTGTAGTTTTAAATATTTGTGGACTGGGCTTGAGAATAGCGTAATTAATGATTAGTGTTTATGTATAATCATATATATTATGTTGAGAGAGGGAGGGGCGGATGGCCGAATGGTTAACACATGCGCATTGCATCATAAGGGTCTGTCATTGTGTCAACTGGTGTGGTTTCGATTCCCAGCTTGTACGTTACAAGGAGTAGGGTCGTCTGTTCAACCTCGTGGGTTTTCTCCTGCTCTTCCGGTTTCCTCCCACTGCTAAAGACCCCTACGCGCATGCGAATTATTGAAATAAAATTCAACCATATGTTAGTCCCGAAATGACCTAGTTTGTTTTGAGTGGACGTTAAACCCGCCTCTCTCCCTATCTCTCTCATTACCAGAGAAAACCATTTATATCTTTGAAATACGATCAGACTGTATTTAAACTTGTAAATGTTAAAAGATTATATATTGTACTATATGATTAAGAAATAATGTTTATGGATAATGTAGACGTTTTAGATATTGTGTTATTTTGACATTAAAACACTGGTCCATTGTTACTAATGCCAGATTAAGACTTGGTGAGGGCCAAAGCTATGTAAAGCTAGGAGACACCTCTTGAGAAGAAATATGAGAGCATGAGGTGTAATATTCGTAGACTTATCGATCTTTATGAGAGACCAGTGTTTTAAGTTTATAAATGTTATATTGTTTTCTATTCGTCGATATCTTTAATCAAAAGATTATCCCACCAATCAGTGTACATATCATATGTTTGAAATTAATCAATACCATATCATAGATATACACATATAATCATGTGTGTAGTGTATCAACAATAAATGTATGTTAGTTAAAAAGTTCTATATGGACTAGGAATCAAGCATGATGTCATTGCCACCATCTTGGAATGGTGATGTCATCACCGCCATCTTGGAATTGTGATGTCATCTCCGCCATCTTGGAATTGTGATGTCATTGCCACCATCTTGGAATTGTGATGTCATCACTGCCATCTTGGAATTGATGCACAATTGTCCAAGGAACAAGTTTCAAATCGATCAAACATGAGTTGTCGGAGCCCCCAAGAAGAAGAAAAGCAACAAGATGAGAGATGCTTGGGGCAAAATAAGACACATTTATTAATTAACTGATTATTTACTGGTTTGAAATTTTTATACGCCCACATTTTCATGTGGACGTATTATGCCGTCGCCCCTGTCCGGACGTCCGTCCGTCCGTCCACAATTGTTTGTGGACTCGCTACAGGTCACAATTGTTATCCGATTTTGACAAAACTTGAAATATAGGTTTATCCCCAAAAAATCTTGGCTGCTTTCGATATTGGCATGTATCGGATCGAAAATTCATGGATTATGGCCCCTGATTGTACGAAAAATCGCGTTTTTAGCTTGTGGACCCTAAAGAGGTCATAATTTTTATCCGATTTAAAAAAAACGTATTATTATATCACCGTTACACCCTAAGGACGGCTGAGTTCGAATTTCGTGAAAATCGACCCAAAATTGACAGACAAAATGGCTGCCGTTCGTTCTCAAATAGAGTAAAAATATGGTATATTAAGGTTGTGGACCCTATAGAGGTCACAATTTTTATCCGATTTTGTTGAAACTTGAAATGTAAGTTTATAACACAAAGATCTCAGTTCCTTTCGATATTTGCGCATATCGAATTGTAATTTCCTGAATTATGGCCCTTGATTGTAGGAAAAATCACTTTCTTGTTAGCTTGTTCTCTATCCATCTCTTGAAAATGTGGGCGTATCCTGCCTGACAGCCGCTGGTTTATTAAATTATTATTATTACGTATCAGTATTGTGGAGAAATGAACTAGAACGTTATTAATATCCATGTGATATTTTATTTTATTATATTTTTATCAGAAAAAGTATTTATTGAAATATGAATAAGAATCTCACTAATGTATGATTCATTTGGTTTTATACATGCATGCATACAAAAATGTTTTTGGAGGATTGTTTTTTTTACGAGGGCGTATCACGTTCTGGTATACGATTATATTAAAATATGAATCTCAGATCATTTCGACTTTTCCTTGGCCTAGTTGTGGCCCAGAATCTCTTATGCAATATTTGGGAAAATTGTTTTTGGTTTTATACATGCATGCAATCTCTGTTTGTTCACGAAAACTTAAACAAACATATTTTAAGAATGTACCATTTTCATTTGTTGGTGGGGGGGGGGGGTGTTTGGATGCCCGAATGGTTAGCGTGTGCGCCTTGTGTCGTAAGGTCTGAAATTGAGTCAACTGGCGTGGTTTCGATTCCCCAGTTGTACCTGACAAGGAGCAGTGTTGCCTATCCAACCTCATGGGTTTTTACCGTGTCCTCCGGTTTCCTTCCATTGCTAACGACCTCTACGTGCAACCAAATTATTGAAATAAAATTGAACCATATGTTAATACCAAAATGACCTAGTTTGTGTCGAGTGGACATTAAGCCAATGAAGAGAATGCATACTTAAAATATTTTATTTTTAAGTTTTCGTGAATAAGGCTGTGGTATATAATATTATAATTATCTAAGTAATTATTATTTTCTTCATTTTGTAGAAATTAACCAATTAAAGATACATTATGCAAGAGCTAAATTTGCCTATTGCAGGTCTTTCTTTAGGCCTTAAATTTTATATAAATTATTAATTAGACATTAATTAACTTATCCAGACCATAATTGTATGTCTCTGATATTAAGTGGATTAGAATGATTCGGCCATTTAATGATTTATTTTAAAAATGGAGAAGCGAGGCTAAGCCTCAAATATACTTCCAGTACTGTGCTTATGGTAATACACAATGAATACACACATCTTGTCAAAACTACAAACAGGGATAACATGGCTCAGAATAAAGTAATTTGAATACAGTATATTAATTTTTAATTATTATAGCAAGAACGACCATTTGTTTATCTAAATCTTACATAATGTATCTTTAATCTTGATTTAAGAATAATCAAACTGCTGATTTTTGACAAGTAATATAGAGGTTATGATCTGTAATAATCTGAACTATTGATATATGCTGGGATTTGAGCGAAAACTGTAAGGACTTGTACAGGGGCATAGGATAGTTTCTGGTATATACAAAACATTTGAAATCCTGATACCGTATTTGTTGTATAAATTGTTTAAAAATTGATATTTTATTTCTTGTAATGTTATTTTTTTCTTCTTCTTTTCGAGCATAGTCTTGTTTTCCATGTGGGAAACTTGCAAGAAGAGGTAGTCGTAATTTATTATTATTAAAGTGCAGTATATGTACCTACATGGTGTGTTGCTATGGTTACAGTTTTTGTTTATTTAATCCAGTGCTGATGTTAATTTATTCGTGATTTCTAGTCAGTAAAATGAATTGAAACCTTAAATACATGTATTCTTCTTTATTGAATAAGAAATAATCTTGCCATATTGTTTATTACAATTGTGCTTTTGAAGAGTACATAACAGAAATTGAAGCTATGGCTGCATTAGTTTGAATTTTTGTTGTTCAACTTCAAGAAACATATTCAAAGTTTTGCATTCTTTTTCTTCCAGTAGGTTGCGCTTCTTTAAAAGTTTTTAGTCTCAATTTTTTTCACTCTGTAATGCCTATTTCAAAATCCACATGAGTATTGTTATTTATACTGTATTTGACTAATGTATTTCTGATAATTAAAATGTCCCTCATAGCACATTGTATGGTGTATGCCAATCAACGCTCGTACATTAGCCGATTTGGTGCAGAACAATATAGGACATTAAACACCGTTTCAAAGGGCTATTTTGAAAAAAATGAACTGAAAAACGGCTTATTAAGGTCCGATGTTTCTGCGCTATGAAGCTTGGCAGTGTGCTATGAGGGAAATTCGGCTATATGATTTCAATGAGATTGCCGCAAAATACAACATGTCACAAGTGAAGCATTTGATAGTTTATAGACTTTTGATATGATCTATAAAGAAAAAAAAGATTTTTTGTATTTGAAATTTTTTTTTTTTGAGTAATTAAATATTGTAGTGAATTATGTTGTGATATATTGATGGAACAAAAAAAAAAAAGGAAATTAATACGTTCAAAAATAATTATGTTGTGATAAAATCTTTATTTATATATTGTCATGTCATATGAACAAAGTTAACTGTAAAAAAAAAAATGAAGTCAAATAAACCGTCTGGAAAAGGAGTTTGATTCGGGTTTTAGACATCTGCTTTTTATGTGGGATTATATTGACATTGTTGTCACCCTGTCCGTCTGTCCATTGATCACAGGGGGGTTGGATGGCCGAATGGTTAGCACGTGCGTGCTGTATCATACAACCTGTCATTGAGTCAACTAGCGTGGTTTCGAATCCCCGGTTGTACGTGACAAGGAGTAGGGTCGCCTGTCCAACCTCGTGGGTTTTCTCCGGGTCCTCCAGTTTCCTCCCACTGCTAAAGACCCCTACGCGCAAGCAAATTATTGAAATAAAATTAAACCATATGTTAGTCCCGAAATGACCTAGTTTATGTCGAGTGGGCGTTAAACCCCATTTCTCTCTCTCTCTCCCTCCATTGATCACAGGGGGGGAGGGGGGGGGTTGAAGCCATAGAGTCCTGCATGGTTTTGGCCGAGGTGTGGATTTTCATTTGTCGGGGATGCAGGATACAGAGATAGAGAGAAATGGGGTTTAACGTCCACTCGACACAAACTAGGTCATTTCGGGACTAACATATGGTTTATTTTTATTTCAATAATTCGCTTGCGGGTAGGGGTCTTTAGCAGTGGGAGGAAACTGGAGGACCTGGAGAAAACCCATGAGGTTGGACAGGCGACCCTAGTCCTTGTGATACAGCACGCACGTGCTAACCATTCGACCATCCAATCCCCCATGCAGGATAAGAGGTTACATGTACACAAATAACCCCTTGGCAGTTGGAATTTGAAATAAAGAGTAGGGTGTAGTGCAGCTGTCCGGACAAAATCCCCCTCATAGCACACTGCATGGCGTATGCCCGTCTTCATTAGCCCAGTTTAGGAGCAGAAATATAGGATGTTAAACCCCATTTTATTTAGAATGAGTAGGGAATTATTAATTCTTAATTATCAAGATAGTATCATATTCAGTTAGTTATGGATGCCTTGTTGCCCAGGATTTAAATTTGGGGGGGGGGGGTGAAATGTTTCGAGGGATTTTGGGGGATTGAAATGTTTCGAGGGATTTGGAGAATTCAATTCTGGAATGCTCAACGCATGCCCTGTCGCCCAAATTTATTGTGTTCACTTGATTGAACTGTTTCGAGAGGATTGGGTGAGATCAATTCTGAAACATTCAACTGAGTATTCCCATAATATTTGGTACATTGACTACTTTAGCCTTCTGAATGTTGTTCATATTTCCTCCTGGATAATTGGGTCTTGACAAAGAAATTAAAAGAAACAACCTGGGCAACCTTCGGATGCAGACTATCGTTGCGACTACAGTCTGAACTATCCCGACCATCCTATATCGTATGGTATGGCTGGTCACGACCACTGGTTGAACTATTGTACAAAAACCCGTGCAACCAAAGGTCGCCCCGATTAATGCGATGATTTGGAGAATTCCATTGTTCAACCATCAAATATCCTCCTGGATAATCAGATCTTGACAAAGAAATCAAAAGAAACAACATAGTTAAGAATGCGATGAGCTAAATTTATTGAGTAATAAAGAAACTTGACAAGACAAAAGGCAAGGAGACTAGCCAATCCCCTTATTATCCTCGCCAAACTCTCCCCATCTCCCATAATATCACATAAATAGGTAATTAGCAGAATTTATACATAAAATAGGACAGGTAGAAATAGCCTGGATGTCCCAATCTATCACAGAGATCTCTGATGGACATGTATAATAGATTTTATCCAAGGACAATTGCAAAATTCTCAGCAATATCAAATATTGTTTCGTAGAATTTTACTCGTTATTGTACCTGTCGAAAATCTGATGTCCACCAGACACCCTGCGAAGATTAGAATATGCAGACTTGGGTAAAAAAAATGCATACAGGACAAGACATCGCGTGAATCAATTTACATACAAAAACTTGCAGGCTCGGCTATTAACATTGAGGGGGGAAGTTTTTATTTCTATCAAACTTTCCACTAGTGGGAAGTGACAGTTTAAATACCGTTAAATAGTAAAGCACATTTAATTTTATTAGGCCTAGCCTATACTGTTTAAGCACATTTAAACTTCATTAGCATAAATCAGCATTTTTGAAATGAGGATGAAATTAAATCTGCTAAACAAACAAGAATCTTTCTATAAAAAACAAAGCAACATGTTTGTGGGAATATAATACAGCCAACAAGAGTCAAAGACTCCAAGATAAGGGTTAAATCTTGGATAATATCTACTTATAAAGATGCAGTTATCTCCCCTTAACCTTTAAACCACTATGCCACTACTTCTCAATGACAATGCTCTGTAAAGATCCTAGCCTATCTGACTGACAGTTGAACATCACTTGTCAGTGTTCTAGAAAATATTATCCGGCCGGATATCCCATCGATAAACGTTCTCTCCTGAAATTTAATCTTAATTTAGTAAAATCTCCATTGATTGAAAAAAACAAAAAAAATTGTAACCAGTGTGTGCACTATGAAATTATAATAGATCTAAAATAATTTGCCAGAATAAAATGGGGGTTTGCACGGCTCCAGCCCCTTCTGGATGGACCTCTGACTCATTATTCTAAATACCATAACAAAATATAAAGAAAAAAAATATGCTGCATGCATGCCTCATTATTATTTTTTTTCTTTTTGAGACAACTAACATAATTTAGCACAATAACAATAACGTTGGGTCTAAAACTGTAAATAAAACAAAATATTTTATTACTTCAAAAATAATATTTAAACAAAAATGACACTTAGTCGCCAGAGCGCTTCAAAATTTAGCGTGCCAGTCTATTTTTGGTTTGAGTTTGACATATGTTGTCTACATCAGATTAGCAAGGTATTTTATTTCAAAGATCTTAACAATATATTTTTAAGTGCTTTTGCACATAAAAACAATAAATTTAACCGTATTTACTGGGTTTTCTGGGTTTTAAGGTTAAAGTGACTGACAGGTAGTTAATTTCACAAGCCTGTCAATTTCACTGTCAGTCAGTCTTGACGGATCAATATGACTGAAATAAGAACCCCGCTACTAGCGACTGACAACGAACTCATATAATTAGTATAACAGTCGAATTTCCTTTAAACATTTGTCAACTTCGCATAAAATATCCTTTTCAGTAAACAATATTTTGCTTAAATTACAATTCATACCCAAAATTCATAATAAACAATTCGTCGATTAAAAATAGTATTATAAGCATGTTATGGCCATTGAAATTTCTTAAAAACATTTAAGTGCACTTTGACATCAAAAGCTACATTTACTAACAAATTTAACAATGAAAGCAAAACATTAAAAATCGAATGAAATTTTCACAAATTCATTATTAAAATCAAATTTTTCATACAATTTCTTACATTAATAATATATGTACATCCCTTTCACAGTTCAACCTATGTACATTACTAACTCAATTTGTTTCTTTCATCAAATAAAATTCAAATATTTTGCAGCATTTAAGCAAAAAAATTGGAAAAGATAAAATGATTGTTCAATCTAACAAAAAATTATAACAAGTTATTCCGATCAAACGATCAAAGTTAATACTTCCTGGACCTCCTCATAACACAGATTTGGAATTAACTACCTTTTTTTTTATGACTGGGCTACCTAGAATTTTAGTTTTGTTTCAACCAGATCTTATTGTAGTTGAATTTGATATCATTAAGAGAAATCCTTGCCTATAAAATTTAGGCCTTTGATCAAACATATGAGCCTCTTCATTAGCCCAGTCGGAGCAGATCAGTGATAGATGACTAAGTTATTAACAGAATCTAATTTCTATGACTGCCACATCTATGTTATAAGAAGATTCAGGAGATATTCCATGAATAATACACAAATAACCAATCCGTCTTTTCAAATGTTAAAGAATCATTTCACTCATCATTTTTAAAGTTTCTAATAACAGCAAAGATAAAAAGTTCAAATCTTAATGATTTTTTAAATAGAAGATTTAAAAAACAAAGTGTAAATTTGAATGACTTTTATTTATCTTAAAGAGAAACTATGTCTAATTTTAAAAAGTTTAATAGAAGTTAAGTACATGTTTTTTTTCTAATCAAAAGCTAAATTGCTTGTAAACTGCATAGACTATTATTGGGAGGGAAGTGACCAATAGAATAAAAGGATAAATATTTTGATTAATAAATTGAAAGTAGATAGCGCATCGTGGATTCGTGATGTTAATGTGTACTTGGATCTTCTTCCGCAAAAACTTAAATCACCTTTAACTTAAACTGCAAAATCGAACTATGTCTTCCTTGACCGGAAGATCAAACAATCGTCTCAAAAAAATCATGATTATTTTTTAAACGGCAGCTTTTAAGTTCTTGGGAAGAAGATCCCTGTGCAGTGTCAATTTGGGCGGTAACTATCTGTTCGTTCAAAAAGTCAGGTGAGTCTTAAAATTACATGACCTATTTTAAAATAGGTTCCCGGATGCCATCACCTACCTGTCTCGGTACTCTCTCTCTCTCTCGATGAATTGTTAAATTTTACTAAATTCTAAAAAATATTTCTCAAAAATGTTGACAATATTCAAAAAAAGTAGCGGATATCGAAATTAGAATACTGGTTACTCAACATTTATGATTGATCTAATAAAAGCGTGATCTGTGATATTTAGTGATTTGGGTAATTGTGACCTATCAAAAGCGCCATCTTTAATGACAATTATATATAGCACGTGTGTCATGTATTATCGGAGAAGATAATTCTATTCTTGGATCATAAAGTTGGGATTTTTCTAAAACCTATTTTTACAGGCACCTTATTCACAAACACTTTAACTAAAATATCTTAAGGATTTTCATTGGCTGCGATTCAAAAATTCACAAACATTTAAGCTAAAATATCTTAAGGATTTTCATTGGCTGCGAATCAAAATCTGAATACAGGTTATAGTTATTAGCCAATGAAAAGGATTCATTCTTAAAATATTCTAGTTTAAGTTTTTACGAAGAAGGTTCATACCTTTTTTTCCTTTAAATACTAGGATTTCTTGCTTTTTATAGTGAATTTAGAGAAGTTATGCTATGAGATTACGTATTATGCACTAATTCTACTGTGATGGTGATAAAATAATTTATTTAATTAAAATGATCATTTTTATTACTTATTGATAAATATTAATTAATATCATAATATAAATATTTTATTCTTTGACATTTTTTTTCTTTTATTAATATCACAAAACACTTGCAAATTTTTTTTTAATATATCGGTGGAGAGATTCTCTTTGGGAGACAAATAAATTAAATAAATGATTCTTAAAGTGTTTTCAACAGGGTTTTCCATTCAACAGGGCTTTCCATTCAGCAGGGCTTTCCATTCAACATTTTTGATTATTTCAGATTAACCAGATATTTTTTTTCAAAGAAAAGGCCAATTTTTAGCATTACATACCACAGTTTTTAAATATATTTTTAAGTATTTTTCCACATAAAAAATATAAATTTTACTGGGGCTTTTTTTTGGTTTAATTCTTTGAAATTCTAATTTTATGACATCAACTGATTTTTTCAGCCAGTGAGTCAAGACCAACAAATATGACTGAATCAAGAGCCCTGTATTTAAACAATGGTGAACTAACATTAATTAAAAAAAAGAACGCTGAATCTAAAAGGAGGCGGGGGACATAATATAATAATACTCTATGCATTACCATTTCTTGAGACATATTGTAACTCTATAAATGAAGTAAGGTAGTCTACCATAATCACAGTGACACAGTTAGTTTTAAATTTCGTCAGATCCTAAAGGAATTAAGGTACTGTAATCATTGTGACACCAATGGTAGCTTACCAATATTTGTAAAGCATAGTTTGTGACATCCAAACTGAATTAATATAGCTTACCAATATTTGTAAAGCATAAATGAAGTACCATAATCATTGTGACACTTGTTGGTACAATTTGTATCATCCAAAATAAATTAAGGTACTGTAATCATTGTCACACCATTATTCGTAAAGTACAAAATAAATGAAGGTACTGTAATCGGTGTGACACCTTTATATATAAAGTACAATTTGTGACTTACCTATTAAATATGGAAGTAAATTATTCTGATAAACGACTGAATTAAGGTAGCCTACCATTGTGACACCATTATTTGTGTGACTTATGTAATTAACTTATTCTGATAAACGACTAAATTATGGTAGCCTACCATTGTGACACCATTATTTGTGTGACTTATGGAATTAAATTATTCTGATTAAACAATTTGTGTCTATTTAAAGTATTGTGATTGGTTTATTATGATTATATCATGTCATATAATGCTGTTAATAGTTTCTAAATAAATAAATAAGAGACATAATAAGATAAAATGTAACAGATCTTCTGATTGGTTCAGCTTCTAGTTTATGGAAATTGTTTCCATGGCAATTGTTCTTTTGTCTAGATATACTTTACAACAATGTTTGGGACGACTCAGCTTTCCACAGATGCCTGAAATATATGATATACAATATAATATATGCAATATATATCTAAAGAATAATATAGGCACTGGTTCGCTAGGTTCGACCTCAGTGATGATTGAGAAAGTTCTTTGGGATTTTGACGAAGTGGGTAAGACGCTGGCTTGCTAGCCTGGAGGTCACATGTTCGATCCCTGCATTGGCCGAGAAAGTTCATCGGAATTTTCCTTCTTGGTTTCTCCTCGTCAGTGGTGTAGGATGGAGGGCCTCGCAAGTACAGCTGTCTAGTCCTTTGGATGGGACAAAAGACCAAGGTTTCATGTACACATTGGCGTGCATATAAAAGATCCCTTGGCAGCTGGAATTCGATATAAGAGTAGGCCATAGTGCTGCTGCCCAGGCAAAATTTCCCTCATAGCACACTGCATGGTGTATGCCTGTTTTCATTAGCCCAGTCAGAGCAGAACAGTAGGACGTTAAACCACATTTCATCCATTCATTCATTCTTTGGGATTTTTCAGCATGGTTTCCCATGTCAGTCGTGCAAATCATACAATTGAAGAGAGAGAGAGACACACACACACACACCCACCCACACCCACACCCACACCCACCCACACACACACAAACTAGTTCATTTCAGGACTATAGTATGGTTCAATTTTATTTCAATAATTCACTTGCATGTAGGGGTCTTTAGTAGTGAGACGAAACCAGAGGACCCTGAGAAAATCCATGAGGTTGGACAGGCAACCCTACTCCTTGTCATGTACAACCAGGGAATTGAAACCACGCTAGCTGACTCAACGACAGACCTTATGATACAAAGCGCAGATGCTAACCAGAGGTCCAGGACAAAAGGGCCTGTCAAAGAATTATGTCTAATTATTCGAATGGGACGAAAAGAACAAGGTCATGTGTACACATTTGTATGCAGATAAAAGAACTCTTGTTAATCCCTTGCAAACTACCATTTTGTGAAAGTTGCATATTAAAAGGAAGTTCAGTCAAAAAGTGGTTCAATTCAATATGATGAATTGAAAATTTGTCGATGGTAGAAAATATATAGTGAAAATCAGCCAGTGTGCCATCTATAATTTTGGCTGAAATCTTTTGATGGGCTTTTTTAAAAAAATAACTGAATCCATCTGAGATATTAACTATCATTTAGAAATTGAATGTTAAATGAGAAAATGCTACGTAAGAATTTATCATAAAATACATTTTATTATGGGAGATTAGACAAAGAGTTGACAGTTCTCGCTATAATAGTTAAAAAATAGATAACGTAAATAGAATATGCTGAAAATTTTAGTCCAATTGCTTGATCCACTCTGAACCAAGATATTAGCTTTTGAATTTTAGACTAGCCTCCATTATCATTACTAAATAACAAAGTCTCGATTACCCATTTTTACATTAAATTATCCTTCACAAAATGTATTCCAATCCGCTAAATATCACAGGCTAGCAATGATTATGGTCTGGATAAGTTAATTAATGTCTAATTAATAATTTAGATAACAATTCAGGCGTAAAGAAAGACCTGCAATAGGCAAATTTAGCTCTTACTTAATGTATGTTTAATATTTGAAGGAATAGAAGACTATTGATGCTATTTCCTGAAGTAACTGGATCGTCATTTCAAAATGGATTAAAAACGCATTTGTTAACCCACTTACACACTACTTACATGTCAACGATTATTTATAATTACAAAGAATCCATAGAATAATCGGATTCCTCTCGTTCGTAAATTATTCTTGGAGGTGCTCGAGAATCTACTTTCGATCGCACTTTCCACTTTACAGGTTTATTTGTGATCTTGACTCCGCCTCCACCCGCGACGTGTTGTACGTTATCTAATGAACCGATCTTGGAACGACTCTTCCAATTGGGAGCATAATGAGGTATTTTTGCACGTTGTTTATTGGGTTCGTGATCGATATTATCCAACGAGCCTATTTTTGATTGGACGTTTATTTTTAATTTAGGGATTTGAGGTAGTTTAAAGTCTCCGCCACCTGCCTTGTGATGGATTAAATCAAATGAGCCCACAGCCGATTCTACGGGCTCCTTCCGCGCTTTCTTATATCGAGGTAGTATGACGTTGCCGCCTTGTGCCTGGTGTCTGATGTTGTCTAAAGAGTGAATATGTGACTGAGCTTGTTGCTGACGGGCATTACGAGGCGATTTGTCCATTTCTTGATCTCGACCAGGCGTATAATGAAATTTTGGTTTAGCATCTGTTTGTCCCATCGCTTCATATCGAGGCGATACATCTGGAAGTCTTAGACCATAATGTTCATAAGATGGATAACTCCTACAGCGGTACTTTCCGTAAGATACATTATCCAGTGAACCAACTTTAGACTTTGCTTTCCAACGAACTGATTCACTAAAGATACGTTTGACGCCACCCCCAGGTGCATGATGGTAATAATCCAGTGATCCACATTTAGACTCTTTTTTCCAGCCAAGATCTATCGTGGGCAAGTTTAAGTTCTCGGTATTTCCGAGAAAATCACCATTTTTAGCATAACGCCATCTTGGTCGAATGGTACGAAATTTCACACCTGAGTTTGCCAATGATGCCTGAACGCTTGTTACTTTTCCAACACTACGATTCCGGTAACTTGTAGGAAATTTTTCAATCACAACAAACTGTCCATCCTGTCTTTGCTTCACCGAGAGATAAGGAATGTTCGATTCCGGGGTTTTAACGGCTGGGACATACTCGACCCGTCGAATAGGCGCAAATCTCATTCCACCCTTAGCAATATTAGGTCTGTATCTTTTATGTCCAGACTCGGTCTTAAACTCTGCCTTTGTTTCTGCTTCCATTATTCACAATTTATTATAATTAAATTAAATCCAATTCGTATTCCAATAACTCAAACCTTCAGCTATGGAATAAAAATGTTTAAATACCACAATTTCCATCAAATCGATAAAATTAATTAACTGAAGAATGTAGAATTTCTTTTACAGGGACATCAGCTATAGAATCATGCATATCAATTTTCATAGATGCATTTCAAGTTTTCATTCACTAAACAGAATCACAACCAATTTAACTGAAGAATATAGAATTTTTTTTACAGAAACATCAGATATAGGATCATGCATTACAATTTTGATAGATGCGTTTCAAGTTTTCATTCACATAACAGAATCACAACCAGTACTTGTATTGAACATAAAATTTAATAATTGATTGATTTAGATGGGGCGTTTCCTTTCACTAGGGTAACCACAAAGGTGGTTCATACCAATTTTCATAGATATGTTTTAAGTTTTCATTCACTGAATAGAATCATATGCATTCAATATCAGATTTTAATAAACGTCTGATTCAGATTAGGAGTTTCCATTCACTAGGGTAATCACAAAATGTGCTTCATTTCTGGATCTGTATCCGAACAATTATTTAATCTTAACTGATTATTGACTGATTCAGATTTTTTGTAGGTTGTTTGGAGTTTCCATTCACTAAACTTTAAGCAATAAATACATCAGTCCCCATTTCTGGATCTACATCAGAACAATTAATTAATTTCGACTATTGTAGAAATTATCGACCATCTTTTTCATCCATAGTTCCAGAATTTATATCCATTTTAGCTGAACTTTTCAAACGTTTTCCCCCTTAGTATATACAATTAAAGCACCTTTTCCATATTACTCAAAGCAATAGAATTTGTATCCATTTTAACTGAACTTTTCAAACGTTTTCACCCTTAGTTTGTACAATTAAAGCACCTTTTCCATATTACTTAAAACAATAGAATTTGTATCCATATTAGCTGAACTTTTCAAATTTTTTTCCCATTAGTATATACAATTAAAACACCTTTTCCATATTACTCAAACAGCATAAAACATCACATTTAAGCTGAACTTTTTCTCTAATATAGAAATTAAAACACCTTTCCCATAGTACTTAAACAGTAGAATTTGTATCCATATAAGCTCAACTTTTCGAACGTTTTCCCCCTCAGTATAGAAAATTAACTTTCCCATATTACTTAAACCATATAAAACGTCCCAGTTGTAACTCTGTATGGTAACCAAGCTCATTTGTTGGTTAAAAGGCCAGTTATTTTATCTTTTATTCGAACAACTTGTAACGATTCTTCAACACAAAACCTACTTTCTTCGATCACAATCGTAAGGTCTTATAATAAAAAGATTATTCAAGTTTTGTCACTGGCGTCAACGTTTCTATACCCCTATTGTTATTGGTACATAGTAACTTTTGTTGAGCGATTATTACCGAGTCGAGTGTAGAGTGGTTTTAATACTTAGGCACACAAAAAACAAACAATTATATGAAACAAATTACATATATATGTAGCCATTAATTCTGTGATATCAATGGCAGGGTTTTAAATTAAAGGATTAGTCCACCCGGAGATTTAGGAATTTTGTACATTTGTTTTAGAAGCAGAGAAACTATATTAAAAGGGAACAATGAATCTTATCAGGGTTAGGCCAAACCAATTTATTTTTATATTTCTCAAGACAAAATTCAGAAATTTTTATTTAAATTTCTGCTGTGTAAACACAAGCAAACCAATTTTATTTCTTTATTTCTCAAAACAAAATGTCGCAGCCAAATGAAATCTCTTTTTCAAATTTAGAATAATGAAACCCTAACGGTAAGTAATTTACACCCTACCGTCATGTTTATCTCAAATTCTTTGATCTAACATTTCAAATGTTGCATATGTGGACCTCGAAGTGGACCCAAAGAGCCACTTATCTTCTTCTTTGAAAAAAAAAAAGCCTAAGGATTTTCTAATTCGAATATGATTAAAATGAAATTTGGCAGGCTTGTTCCTTATGCAAATTTGTGCATCGATGGACAAGCTTCAATTTTTGATGTTACAATTCCAAGATGTCATCCTCGGTTCCTTGTCGTACTTGTTATTTCAACTTTTGTCATTTCATTATGAAAACTCAAACTGCGTCAATGGGATCGGTTCTGAAAGGTGGGATCTGTTTTCAATTTTTTTCTTTCAAAATCTGGAAAGAACAGGTTTTAGCAAGGTAAAATTGATGCCATTAAGACTTCAAGTCATCGATATTGTTAGTCCAGATCACCGAGCGTGATATCGCAGACAACCCACTACAACTGGACTTTGGATTGCAGTTGATTAACCAGGCCTGGATCCAGGGTTTTGTCCGGGGGGGGGGGGGGGGTGGGCATACATTGGAGCAAAGGGTAATCATCAGAGTGCCGAATGCATTAGTGGTTTGGTGTAGTCCCCAGAGTCTTCGTCGCGGCCTCATTAAACAGAAACTAAAATCTGGGAATCCCATTGCTGGCTGCAGGTGCTGGTCTGCGCCTGTTAACTTTTCAAAATCAGAAACTCAGAGACACTATGGATTGATCATTTAGGTGCTGGGTAAGAAATCAGAAACTCAGAGACACTATGGATTGATCATTTAGGTGCTGGGTAAGACGCTGGCTCGCTAGCCTGGAGGTTGGGTGTTCGATCCCTGCATTGGCCGAGAAAGTTCATTCAGATTTTCCAGCGTGGTTCTCCCTTGTCAGTGATGCAGGACAGAGAGTCTGACAAAGACAGCTGTCTAGTCGTTCGGATGGGACGAAAAACCGAGGTCCCGTGTACAAAATGGCGTGCATGTAAAAGATCTCCTGGCAGTTAGTATTCGATATAAGAGTAGGCAGTAGTGCCGCTATCTGGGCAAAATTTCCATCAGGGCACACTGAATAGCGTATGCCTGTCTTCATTACCCCAGTCGGGACATAACAGTAGGACGTTAAACCCCATTTTATTTAATTTCATTTGGGTGCATTAGTGTGGTGTGAGGCCAATACAGCGGCAATTTTTTGCCATTTGTTATTTCGATAATGTGTAAGAAATAAATCCTTTAAATTAAATTGGTGTGGCGTGATATACAACCATAAAACTTTATGAATAAAGATGAAGAGAATAGCTTACAAGATATTTACCACCTTAAAACCCATTAATATAGTTATGAATAATATGATCGTATTAAATTCTACTCACGAGAATAATACAGGGAATTGACTTACACATAGAGTTTTCTTTACAAAAGGTAAAACCCCTAGTATGTACAAAAGAATAGAATATGGTTCAATGGAATAGTAGGGATTGGTGAACTGTCTATAGATAGTATTAACTGTCTTATTCTAAGTACAGGAGGACAACACCAGACATAAACAATTACACAAGACAAACCCACGGACAGGGCACACAATTTAAAGAGAGGGAGAGAAATGGGGTTTAACGTCCACTCACTAGGTCATTTCGGGACTAACACATAGTTCAATTTTATTTCAATAATTCGCTTGCGCGTAGGGGTCTTTAGCAGTGGGAGGAAACCGGAGGACCCGGAGAAAACCCACGAGGTTGGACACTCGACCCTACTCCTTGTCACGTACAACCGTACAACCAGGGAATCCTAAACGCAAGGTAGGAGAATTTTGCCCGAACAGCGTCATTTTCAAAGAGCTGCATGGTAATGTCTTATATTGACTAAATTATATCGTCTGCAGTAGATGCCTGATGTTGAGAACTTTTTAATACATCATATCTTTGCACGGAATTGGAACACGTTTAGACTGATATTCCTCTCCATGATTCAACTTCCACAATATTGTAGTTTACAAGGGATTCACAATCTCTCAAATGGCATTTAACAATCTCTCAAATGTCATTTAACAATCCCCCAAATGACATTTAGCAATCTCTCAAATGACATTTAACAATCTCTCAAATGACATTCAGATTCAGATACTTTAAGTTTTGAAAAAAGGTTAATTTTATGTACCAGTTTATTGTTGGCCTCCTCCAGGAACATGATCAGCGTTGTCAAGAGATCCACATTTAGATTGTGCACTGGAATCAAAATCTACCTTTTCATCAAGTATCTGAAATAAAATATTACAAGCTGAAAGACAATAATCGTCATGACAACTAGAAATATGTCCAACAGCAGTCTATTCACAGTTTGTGCAAAAATACCCTCTGCCCACTTGGAAGTCAATGGTGTGGACTAAATGGGTTCCAGGGTAAATGGGTCATTCCCAGATATATTCAAGTCAATGTGTGCACCAGATGGGCTCCAGGCTAAACGAGGCATTCCAGGATATATTGAAGTCAATGGTGTGGACGAAATGGGTTCCTGGGTATGAGAAGCATTCCCAGATAAATTTGAGTGAATAAAATTTGTTAATCTGGTGTGAAAGACTCTTGCAACCCTTTATCTTGAAATTTTCAGACAAGAAGTAGCCATGATTTACATAATTATGTTTATCTTATTCATAGCGTTTTGTGAAATCATGGACTGCCCATTTAAAGAAATTATCATCAAGTTTATTTAACGACGCCGTGGGCCAGGTGGCAGAAAGCTGATTATAATCAGTGGACCTCAACATCAGCCCATAATGTAGCTCTGGTGTGACAGAGAGAGACAAGGGGTTTAACGTCCGTTCAACACAAACTAGGTCATTTCCAGACTAATATATGGTTCAATTTTATTTCAACATTTCGCTTAGGGGTCTTTAGCAGTGTGAGAAAATAGGAGGAACCGGAGAAAACCCAGAAGGTTGGACAGGCGACCCTACTCATTGTCACGTACAACTGGGAAATCAAAACCATGCCAGTTGACTCAGGGACAGATCTTGTGACACAACGCACGCACACACTAATAATTCGGCAATACACCCCACCCCCCCCAAACTCTGGTGTAACTGTTCCTTGCATCTAAACAAGGGTCATAATTTTGGAAGTAATTATTGACTTGTCAATTGGATGATAAATTTAGCCTCTAGAGTGTCTACAAGCAGCTGTGGAGGACAGACATGGATGACTACGGACATGATCCATGACTATATACCACCATATTTCTATATGGTCGCATCAAAAGCGGTTCCTGGTTTTCAGAATTAAATAACTTCTTGTTATGAAGACTTTCAAAAAAAAAATAAACCATTTCATTTTCTGGGGAATAATCAATGATTTGCACAGCCATTTATAGTTAGTAACTTAGCAACGTGCACAAAATTCAAAAGCAACTTAAAATAATAAAAGCCAAACATCTTGCTTGTCAATGTGCTATTTCTAAGAGCACACAATTGATAAATTATAAGAAAAATAAAAGAAGGAAATCGTAGAAATGGAAATCGTAGAAATGGAAATCGTAGAAATGGAAATCGTAAGATAGAAATGATTAAATAAATGAAAATTGACATTTAATTTATCTTGGAGATGATTTCTGCAAGCGATACCAAGATCTCAAACTTTAAATATCTTGAATTGATACAGCCCTCAGTTTCAATAAGACTGTTTACAAAAAGATCCCTTGTTTTAAGGAGCAGTCCTAAAACAAAATGATCAAATTTTTATATAATGAACCAAGGGCCGGCCACCTGGGCCATGTTCAGGTACATGTATTCCTGTAGCATTAAATAACTACAGCTGTGGCCCACCACCAGAGCTTACAATGAACCAAGGGCCGGCCACCTGGGTCATGTTCAGGTACATGTATTCCTGTAGCGTTAAATAAATACAGCTCTGGTCCACCACCAAATACACCGAGCTTACAACCATGGGGAAGGGGACAGAGGTTAAAGAGAGCAATCTGATTAAAATACAGATCTATATTTCGTTTCGTTTTTGTATACTTTTGATGGCCTCTACTAGTACTACATGAAGATCTGACATGTTGTAGTGGAAGGTTGCGTCAGGGGTCACACGATTGGCTTTTGACCCTATGACATCAGATATTTGATTAACCAATCAGAGTTGATGTTTCTAGTGGTTTACCCACAGTTCCGTGCACCTCATGCCAAAAACTTACTGTAACAGATCGTTTCATTGGCTAATCCCTCACATCATCCAGATCGTGTGTTTTATCACAACCCATTCAGTTCCTAGTATAGTAAAGAGAGAGAGAGAAATGGGGTTTAACGTCCACTCGACATAGACTAGGTCATTTTGGGACTAACACATGGTTCAATTATATTTCAATAATTCGCTTGCGCGCAGGGGTCTTTAGCAGTAGGAGGAAACCGGAGGCCCGAGAGAAAACCCAGGAGGTTGAACAGTCGACCATATTCATTGTCAACTACAACCGGGAAATTGACGCAATGCCAGTTGACTCAATGATACTGCGCGCACATACTAACCATTGAGCCATCAACCCCCCAGTGTAGTAAAGACAAGTAAAACAGCAGTGGGAGGAAACCGAAGTGCCCAGAGAAAACCTACGAGGTTGAACAGACGACCCTATTCCTTGTCACGTACAAGCGGAGAATCGAAACCCCGTCAGTTGACTCAATAACAGACCTTATGGCACAGCACAGCTTGTACATGCTAACCATTCGGCCATCAAACCCCCAATTTTGAACTAAAAAACGAAACGAAATAGGATCAGCGTTTTAATCAGATTGGAAAGAGAAGAGACAACAACCGATAGGTAAGACAGGAAGTAACCCAGGTACCTTTTTATCTCCTCCACCAGCCACGTGATTCGCATTATCCAAAGAACCACATTTCGATTGGGCTTTATCTTTAAAATCTAATTTTTCAGTGTGGATCTGTAGCAAAAAAAAAAAGCAAACAGCCATAAAAAAAATGGTGAAAAAAGCATCCATTGCATAAACATAGCTGTAAAAATTTCATTATAAATTGTTTCTATTGAAATGAGTCATTAATAATTCTAAATTTTTCAGATATTTTCTTATCGTTTATCTTAAATGTTTTGTGTCAGCTACTATTCTATTAATGACTATATTCCATAAAAATAATTTTTTAAAGTTTTCTGGTTTTGATCTGAAATTAAATGTCTACCAAAGATCTAGCTGAAAATTTCAAGGATACACATTTTACACTAGTCTCTGAGTAGGATGAAGCATTAATTCTCTTAAAGAAATACCAATAGAAAATGGCATTACATGTACATTACCACCACCAGGTGAGTGTTTGGCATTATCCAATGAACCGATTTTCGATTCTCCTTTCCATTGAACTTTTTCATTTAAAATCTGATACGAGAATCAAAAGAAGAGAATCTTATAAGCGTCAAAAAACACACAGCTAAAAATAACAAAAAACACCTAAAGCCCACAATGTAAGCAGAAATATCGTATATAGGCCTGGAAATCATGATTTAAAGATGTACCTGACAAAATGTCTGGACCTTATGACCTGGTACCTGACATTGTGAAATTTGTGCTGGCAGACTTGTATTATAAAAAAATCAATAAAAACACTGAAAACAAGTCTCAAATAACCAGTACCGTGGTTACAATAATAAACAATCAATGAACACATCTTGTCAAAACTACAAACAGTGATAATTTGGCTCAGAATAAAGTAATTTTAATGAAATTTCCAATATATTCATTTTACATTATCTGCTTTTGAACTATTATGATAGTCAGATCTTTTAATGATATTTTCAATATATTCATTTTGCATTATCTATTTTTTAACTATTTAAGCCAGCTCTGTATCTAAATCTTACATAATGCATCTTTAAATACACAGAATTTAGTCAAATAATAAATATTCTGTAATGATTTTCGGTACCTATAAAAATCTCAATTTAACCAATACACAGGTCCCAATTCTATGGGATGCAATTACTGTTTATTACTAAGCGCTGTTTTAATAAAGACTAGAGGTTGATATCGATGACTAAGCAAAAAAAAAACTGTTATATATGAAAATATACCACACTAATAGATCAAAGTCATCAGTTTATATACATGTAATGTGTATTAGTTACTTAAAATTGTAAATAATCAGGCAGTAGTCATTAGGTGTTTCGTCACTAGGGTGTTAAAACTGTGACTATTGAATGATGTATACCACTATTGTCCAGGTTTATGTATTCAATAGTGATGGGTGTTATAAATAGTCACGCTTTTACACAAGTAGTGACATCTTTTACACCAGTAGTGACATCTTTTACACCAGTAGTGACATCTTTTACAGCTAGTTAAACACCAGCTAATTAATGACAACTGTATAATTTCTAACCATAATGATGATCACTTATATAATAACAAATATTGGCATTACTGAAAGGCCTAGCTCCATTAGTCAACGGTATCAGCTTACAAGTGAGCTAGTTACTTAATAATAAACAGTATTTCATTGAATTGTATCCTTTGTAGTTTTATTTTAATTACTAAATACCCTTAAAACCGTTTAAACATTGTGGACTTTTGATTTGATATATTAGTCCCTCTAAAAAGGTGAAAAAATCAAAATTATCTAGGTACTAGATTAAGTTTCTAAATTATTCTAAGAACTACTGATCTAATTAAAATGCTGGAATAAAAAAACATCCTGGAAAAACAAAAATCAAGAATCTCTCAAAGAGACATTGCCCCCAGTTAAAACTTTAACCTCAATTAGGAAAAAACGAACAATCAACACTGGGCTGTGATAAAGTATACAATATCTGTCCCGATGTGGGCCAGATAAAATTCTTGGCACGGTTCTTAAGGTTTAATTCAATCGTGAGAGAGAGAGACAGGGAAATGGGGTATAACGTCCACTCGACACAAACTAGGTCATTTCGGGACTAACATATGGTTTAATTTTTTATTTCAATAATTCGCTTGCGCATAGGGGTCTTTAGCAGTGGGAGAAAACCGGAGGACCCGGAGAAAACCCACAAGGTTGGACAGGCGACCCTACTCCTTGTCACGTACAACCGGGGCAGACTTCATAAAGAAGAGATAACTGGTAAGTAAGTAGTTACTTCTTGTGAAGACTAGGTCAACAATATATTCATTTCGGAATGAAATAATATCGCATTTTAGTTAGACGGCATTTTCCACCCTTCCCAGAGATTTCTAGATAATAACGAAATGAAGTAACTATAATCTAAAGTATTTAATACTTGGCAGTTTTATTTTTAAAAAAAAGAAAAAAGTCAACTAAGATTTAATTAAAACCGGATAATAATATATGTTTAAAGCTAAAAGTATATATTTGGGAGATTTAATAAGCAAAAAGGAGTAAAAAAGCTAATAACTGTTTTTTCAAATCGGGAAAATAACATATTTCTATATAGCTAAAAGTATACATTTTGAGGATTTTATATGAAAACAAATAAAAAGCTAAAAACTCTTTTTTTAAATCTGAAAAAAATAATATATTTTGTAACTAGCGCTACACTACGATTTAGTCTTTTTACCTTTTTATCTCCACCAGCAGCCTTATGATTTGCGTTATCCATCGAGCCACATTTCGATTGGGCCTTATCTTTAAAGTCTAATTTCTCTGTATGAATCTGTTATGAGAGTGAACACAAGAAAAGCAGTGATTAAAAGCCGAGCCAAACCAAACATGCAGCAACCATAACCAGTTATTATTATTGTCATATTGTGCCTTATCCTTAAAATCTAATTTTTCTGTGAGAATCTGTGGGGAAAGCGAACACAAAGAAAAAGAAAGAAAAAAGCAGTGAGTTGAGTTGTTAGCCAATCCCAGCAACATGCATGTTAATATTGGTTATAACATACAGCTATTTTTTGTTTTTAGACTTATGAATGGAGATTCTTATTTTAGGCTGATTGAGGCAGGGCCATAACTAGCTCAGAGCAATGAGGGGGAGGGGCAAGGAAGTGGTCTCAGGAGTGCTGTAAAATTGATGGACAATATATATCCATAGTTTTTATGGTCAACAATTTTTTTACAGGGGGGGCCCCCGCCACCTACTTACGGGCCTGGATTGAGGAGGTTTAAAATTTCCACAAGTATTAGGAGGATTAGGGAATTCTTAAGATACTAAATTTACAACCAACTAGCTAGATCCCATCCCCAACCAAACCCAGATCTCCTCCCCAAATGAACTGATCACCCCCTAGCAACAAATCTGATCTGATCTCCTCCCATACCAACCCTAAAATAGACAAAAGCTTCAAAGGAACCTCTGAAACTATGACTTGCCCTAGAGAGCTCTTAATGGTCGGGTTGGTCCCGCATTTGAAAACAGCTATTATATTCTGTATTCTGGAAAATTCGAAGAGCCGAATTCTTTTTTTTTTTTACCTTTTTATCTCCTCCTGCAGCCTTATGACTTGCATTGTCCATAGAACCACATTTAGATTGTGCTTTATCCTTAAAATCTAATTTTTCTGAGTGAATCTGAATACGAAGCAAACACCAAGAGATATGTTAAAAAAAGCCATACCAAACATGCCAGCACACAGATAGGATCCAGACTCTTTAGCAATGAAATGAAATGGGGTTTAACATCCTACTGTTCTGCTCCGAATTGGGCTAATGAAGATGGGCATGCGTCATGCAGTGTGCTATGAGGGAAAATTTGCCCAGACAGTGACACTACAGCCTAATCTTATATCGAATTCCAACTGTCAAGGGATCTTTTACATGCATGCCAATCTGTACACGGGACCTCGGTTTTTCGTCATATTCGAACGACTAGACAGCTGTCCTTGTCAGGCTCTCCGTCCTGCATCACTAACAAGGGGGAACCACGCCAGAAAATCTGGATGAACTTTCTCGGCTAATGCAGGGATTGAACACCCGACCTCCAGGCTAGCGACCCAATTGAAATAATTATGTAACACTAAATTGATTTCTCTCTTCCTAAAACAATTTTTCTATTAATTATTACAAATTTTTAAAAGAAACAAGCCAACAGTGAGGCTGATGTCCCCCGCCGAAATAGGAAAATAATTAGAGGACACATATAAATTTATCACAAATTATCTTTTACAAAGTATTGAACAATCAAACAGTATATCTTTACTTATAGTCTAAGCATACAATGTTTTTGATGGAATAATTATAGCATATTAAGGGGAAAACATGCTCTATGCCTACAGATCTAGAGTTTGGTTGTATCAACGGGTCTATTTTCCATCTTGCTGCAAGTTGTGCAAAGTTCACTGTTTTCTTTCTGTCATTCAATCAAATTGCGTATCGCTCTGCTTACCCTGAGCAGAAAATGCTCATTATCAAACTTAGTCAAGGTATTACTGTAATGAAACTATACACCAAGTTTCATCAATCTCACTTAATTAGAACTAAAGTTATCGTGTCCCAAAGCATCAACCAATCAAATTGCTTATCTCTGCTTACCCTAAGCGGAAAATGCTCATCTTCGAACTCCATCAAGGCATTGACCTAATCAACACATACACCAAGTTTGAACATTCTAGCTCAATTAGGAAGAGAGTTATCGTGCCCCAAAGTATCAACCAATCAAATTGCTTATCTCCGCTTACCCTAAGCGGAAAATGCTCATCTTCGAACTCCATCAAGGCATTGACCTAATAAACACATACACCAAGTTTGAACATTCTAGCTCAATTAAAAGTTATCGTGTCCCAAAGCATCAACCAATCAAATTGCTTATCTCTGCTTACCCTAAGCGGAAAATGCTCATCTTCGAACTCCATCAAGGCATTGACCTAATCAACACATACACCAAGTTTGAACATTCTAGCCCGATTAGGAAGAGAGTTATCGTGTCCCAAAGCATCAACCAATCAAATTGCTTATCTCTGCTTACCCTAAGCGGAAAATGCTCATCTTCGAACTCCATCAAGGCATTGACCTAATAAACACATACACCAAGTTTGAACATTCTAGCTCAATTAGGAAGAGAGTTATTGTGTCCCAAAAAGTGTGACGGACAGACAGACGGACAGACAGACGGACAGACAGACAGACGGACGAACCCATTTTAATAGTCCCCTGCTTTCTTCGAAAGGCGGGGGACAAAAAGATGATTAATTTACAAATGAAATTTAGAGAGTTCTGGATCCACTAGTGAAAAGTTAACAAAAGATGATGATGATGATGATGTTCATGATCTGTAGTGACACTAATTGTTCAAGATGGTAGCCTAACATGATTATTGTCAACATTAAATTCATTGAATGCAATATTTCTTGGACCCCTAGCAAATTGTGCTGGTCTGATCTTGATGACACAAATTAAGTCTGTACCGGTATCAAAACACATATCCTATTTCGTTCCACTTTCTAGAGTTCAGAATTTTGTTTTACTTGTCTTTACTTCACTAGGATCTGGAAGAGTTGTTATATAACCCATGTTCTGGACGATGTAAGAGATTAGCCAATGAAACGGTCTGTTACGGCGAGTTTTTGAAGTGATGAGTAAAGAACTGTGGGTAACCCACCAGAAACATCAACTCTGATTGGTTAACCAAATGTCTGACGTCATAGGGTCAGATCTTCATGTAGTAGAGGCCATCGAAAGCATACGAAATATAGATCTGTATTTTAATCAGATTGTATAATTTAGTATAATTTTGAGAGACATTATTGGGTGTTTATAAGGTTTCAATCTATACTGATCATTATCTAAGGGCTTGTTTAATCCCTCGCAAATTAAAAAATTGTATCTTTAAAGCGAATATCTGTCCAAAAATGGTTCAGGTCTATTCATTATTTACAACGACATGATGGATTAAAAATATCGAAAAAATTTAGCATCATCTACATACGATTAAGATAACAGACCAACATGAGGCCCTATTTTTATTTTCAACATAAATCGTGTATTTAACGATATTTCCAAAATTGTTTTTACAATACCGGTAATTTTGAAAATAAATGAAATGAAATGGGGTTTAACGTCCTACTGTTCTGCTCCTAACCTGGGCTAATGAAGACGGGCATACGCCATACAGTGTGCTATGAGGGAAATTTTGCCCGGCCAGCGGCACTACGGCCTACTCTTATATCGAATTCCAACTGCCAAAGGATCTTTTACGTGCACGTCAATGTGTACACGGGACCTCGGTTTTTCGTACCTTCCGAACGACTAGACAGATGTCCTTGTCAGGCCTCCATCCTGCATCACTGACAAGGGGAAACCACGCCGGTAAATCTGAATGAACTTTCTCGGCCAATGCAGGGATCGAACATTCGACCTCCAGGCTAGCGAGCTAGCGTCTTACCCACTTAGCCACGTGATCCCCCGGTAATTTTGACCAGCAACACCAATGCCAAAGGTACAAGAAATGATCCAATTTTCGATGAATTACGTGAGACAGGACTTACAACACGACATCTAAAGTATAGCTATTCTCAATTTCTCTGATTTAACTCAGTTCTATTGAGGTAAGTTACCTTCTTGTCTCCTCCACCCGGAGTATGATTCGAATTTTCCAGCGACCCACATTTAGACTGTGCTTTCTCTTTGAAATTTAATTTTTCAGAAAGAATCTGTACAAATCCAACAACAAATAGAAGAAAAGCTGTGAGTTTGTGTAAGTAAAATTACGAGGTAATTTACGATTATTGGTGCTGTGGCGTAAAATGCTGTGAAATTTTAATTAAAGTTTTTTCATAAAGTCTAAGTGATAGAATCTCATTACAAGAATTTTTTTTTTTAAGCCTTTGTTTAGTTGATATTTTTTAGTAATTAATAATTGCTTCAAAAGCTTTTGTATACACTATTTGTAACGTTACGTAACAGGGCTTTGCTTCAGTCATATTTGCTGATCTTGATTGACTGGCATGTAGATTGAACTGAATTGTCAGTCATTGTAGTGAAATTGACTGACTGAGGAACTTACCAGTCAGTCAATTTACCTTGCATAAAATTCGAAATGAAATGAAATTTGGTTTAATGTCCTACTGTTCTGCTCCCACTGGGCTAATAAAGATGGGCATATGCCATGCAGTGTGCTATGAGGGAAATTTTGCCCTGGCAGCAGCACTATGGCCTATTCTTATATCAAATTCCGCCTGCCAAGGGATCTTATACGTGCAGGCCAATGTATACAAGGTTCCTCGGTTTTTCATCCAATCCGAATGATTAGACAGCTGTCCTTGTCAGGCCCTCTGCCCTGCACCACTGAAAAGGGAAAACCAAGCCGGAAAATCCGGAAGAACTTTCTCGGCCAATGCAGTGATCGAATACACAACCTCTAGGCTAGCGAGCCAGCGTCTTACCCACTTAGCCAACATGGCTCCCTATAAAATTCGAATTTTAAAGAATTTAACTTATCAACACAAAAAAGTATACAGTTATATTTAAAAACACTTCAAATACTGGGGTATTGCTAATTCAAGGTAAACAAAATCTTGAAGTAAAAGCCCTGTTACATAGTGTAAATTTCCTGGAACTATTTCTATCGACACGAATGGTGATAGCTGTGTAACTAGCGATAAACTACAATTTGTTTCACGGTCATCGTTACCTTTTTATCTCCACCAGTAGCCTTATGACTTGCGTTATCCATCGAGCCACATTTCGATTGGGCCTTATCTTTAAAATCTAATTTTTCTGTATGAATCTGAATGAAAAGCAAACACAAAAGAAAAGCAGTGATTAAAAGCCGAGCCAAACCAAACATGCAGCAACCATTACCAATTATTATCATTACTATTATAATAAAGGAGATTTCTGTAAGTAGGTCATGTGATATGGTGTAGAGTTGGCTAAATCTATTTGTTAAGGCCAGCTCAATTTTTGTCATGGTCATTGAGATGTAAGGTTAGGGCATGTGATTGTTGTTGAGTTTGTAGGTTAGGGTTAGGGTAAGCATTCAGTAGGTCCAGCGTTAGGGTTAAGGTTGGTATTAGCGATAGCCCTGTTTACAACTCGTGACCTATGATGAAAAATTGAGCTGGCCTTATCATTTAGCACTAACCTGTAGAGTTTGTATATGATCATGTAAAATAGTGTCAAGTTGGTATTGATCAACTGACATAAGGTGGGATGTGTTCATGTGACATGGTATTGAGTTGGGATGTGATCATGTGACAACATGTAGAGTTGTGATATGATCATGTGACATGGTGTAGAGTTGTCATGTGATAATGTGTTGTGGTGTTGAGTAGATATGTCATCATGTGACAAGGTGTAGAATAGTGACGTGATCATGTGACCAGGTGTAGAATTGTGATGTGATAAGGTGTAGAATTGTGATGTGATCATGTGACAAGGTGTAGAATTGTGATGTGATCATGTGACATGGTGTCGAATTGTGATGTGATCATGTGACAAGATGTAGAATTGTGATGTGATCATGTGACTAGGTGTAGAATTATGATGTGATCATGTGACAAGGTGTAGAATTGTGATGTGATAATGTGTAGAATTGTGATGTGATCATGTGACAAGGTGTAAAGTTGTGATGTGATCATGTGACATGGTGTAGAATTGTGATGTGATCATGTGACAAGGTGTAGAATTGTGATGTGATCATGTGACATGGTGTAGAATTGTGATGTGATCATGTGACAAGGTGTAGAGTTGTGATGTGATCATGTGACATGGTGTAGAATTGTGATGTGATCATGTGACATGGTGTAGGATTGGGATGTGACTATGTGACATGATGTAAAGTTGGGATGTGATTATGTGACATAGTGTAGAGTTGGGATCTGATTATGTGACATAGTGTAGAGTTGGGATCTGATCATGTGACAGGTGTAGATTTGGGATGTGATTTCTTTTACCTTTTTATCTCCACCAGTAGCCTTATGACTTGCGTTATCCATTGAGCCACATTTAGATTGGGCTTTGTCTTTAAAATCTAATTTTTCTGAGTGAATCTGAATTTGAAGCAAACACCAAAAGATATGTTAACAAAAGCCATACCAACATGCAGCAAGACATATTAATGATTATTAAAAGATGGAGAATGATAATAAGAAATGGAGTGTTCAGTTTGTATGATGTGATGAAGTTACATGTTCAGATGGTCTGGTGATGTCCCATGAGAGAGAGAGAAATAGGGTTTAACGTCCACTCGACACAAACTAGGTCATTTCGGGACTAACATATGGTTTAATTTTATTTACATAATTCGCTTGTGCGTAGGGGTCTTTAGCAGTGGGAGGAAACCGGAGGACGCGAAGAAAACCCACGAGGTTGGGTGATGTCCCAAGACTCATTCTAAACCCAATACTTTTTACCCTTAGCACTGGCTAACTAGCGCTCCTTAGACAGCCACTATATATGCACAGTTATGGCGCACTAAAAATGGTGCAACAACACAGAGCGCTGTTCACATATCTAGGTTGGTTTAAACCCGATCTAAGGAACAACAATTGAACTGTTCAATTCTTTAAATGACCTCTAGAAATCTAGAAGCACGGTTAACTATTCATAACAAAACACAACACAAGGTATATATTATTATGGATATATATATAGAAAGAAATAGGGTTTAACGTCCACTCGACACAAACTAGGTCATTTTGGGACTAACATATGGTTAAATTTTATTTCAATAATTCGCTTGCGTGTAGGGGTCTTTAGCAGTGGGAGGAAACCGGAGGACCCGGAGAAAACCCACGAGGTTGGACAGGCGACCCTACTCCTTGTCACGTACAACCGGGGAATCGAAACCACGCCAGTTGACTCAATGACAGGCCTTGTGATACAGCGTGCGCACACTAACCATTCAGTCATCCAACCCCCCTATATGGATATAACTACTTCTCTATTATGTTGTGTTTTGTTATGAACAATTGAACTGTTGAAGCATCCTTCTCAAATTTTGTTTATTGTGGAGGAAGGGTGAGGGGTTAGGGTCTCGGGGATTAAAAATTTAATTACATTACTATGAAAGAATTATAAGTTTGGATTTAATTGAAATACATCACTGGTAAAAAGAAAAGACTATGTTAGAATTAAATGATATCTGCAGAAGGACAAAAGATTAATTTCAGGGATCTGAACGTAGATCCCGGATTCTTCTTCGAACACTGCTGAAAAATAATACGAAGCTCCCTGAAATCAAAGTTTTACTAATTGAATAATTACACCTGTTAGTAATTAACTAACGTCATTAATTACCTTTTTATCTCCGCCAGCAGCCTTATGACTTGCGTTGTCCATCGACCCACATTTAGATTGAGCTTTATCTTTAAATTCTAATTTTTCGGAGTGAATCTGAATGAAAAGCAAACCAAAAAAAAAAATAGAAGCGGTGATTAGAAAAGCCGACCAAATCATGCTGCGATTTAAGGGTAGGTGTAAGACCTCACTAATTTCATTTTCTGTTCTTTGAGGGCACCTGTAAAAAATGTCCTTCCTATTTTTGGGGAAAAAAGACTAATCTAAAAAGCATAAGTGTTTGGTTATGCTATTCAAGAGTGTTTAGTTTCAGAATTCTAAACAAGATATATTTCAGGTAATTTAAGTGGCCATTTATTTATCAAAGCCCAATACAGATCTATATTTCATTTCGGTTTTTTTTATAGCTATGATGGCCTACACTACATTAAGATCTGACCAGTTGTACTAGGAGGTTGCGTCAGGGGTTATAGAAGCGGCTTTTGATCCTATGATATCAGACATTGATTAATCAATCAGCGTTGACGTGTATAGGGTGTTTACCCACAGTTCCGTACAGAGCACGCCAAGAACTCACTGCAACAGATCGTTTCATTGGCTAAGTCATCACATCAACTATAACACCTGTTCTATAACTGCAACTCTTTCAGATCCTAGTGTTGTGAAGACAAGTAAAATGAAATTTTGAACTATAAAAAATGAAACGAAATACGATCTGTGCCTTAATCAGATTTATCAAAGCTCCAAAGAACAGAAATTAGTGTGGCCTAGAGCAGGGTAAAATACAGCCAAATGATGAAATGATTTAAGTTGGTGTAATTAGCCATGATAATGATGTGACATAAAATGGGATCAACCCTTTGTCCAATTTTTCAAATCAGCTTTTGCACTTTTATAATACAAATTCCAACTTGAAACACAAATTTAAGATTTGTAGAAAGACAATTATACTATTGTTGTATGATGTTTTCATAAAAATAATTTCATCAGAATAAAGTATAGCTGTTCTCAATTTATCTCTGGTTACCTTTACACTACCTCCACCGGGAGTATGATTTGTATTTTCCAGTGACCCACACTTAGACTGTGCCTTTTCTTTGAAATTTAATTTTTCAGATATAATCTGTACAAAATTAAAAGGAAATGAAGACAAGCTGCCAAGTAAAGTTGTAATTTCCGAAACAAATATATCATTGGTGCATAAAAAAATAAATAATGCCAATGTGTATCGTTTTTCTGAAACTGATAATCTATCACAAACTTATTGAGTTTGAAATGTTTATCTGCATAATACTTCCTGGTGTTTCAACCTTAAATGATAAAGATGTATAGCTGTCAGAGAGAGAAATGGGGTTTAACATCCACTCCAAACAGCTAGGTTATTTCGGGACTAACACATGGTTCAATTTATTTCAATAATTTGCTTGCACATAGGGGTCTTTAGCAGTGGGAGGAAACCGGAGGACCCGGAGAAAACCCATGAAGCTGGACAGGTAACTGTACTCCTTGTCACGTACAACCGGGGAATTGAAACCACGGCAGTTGACTCAATGACAGACCTCATGATACAGCACGTACGTGCTAACCATTCGGCCATCCAACACCCCCCCCCCTAGCTGTCAGTGAAAGGGTTTCATTTGCTAATAATCATACAAATTTACCGACAAAGAAACTATAATACAGCTGAAAATGTCCATCTTGTCTATTTTTCAAAACATATTTACACTTCCTTTATATCTAACCCTTAAATTAGCAACAATCACAAGTAGAAATATATACATGCAATTGGTAGCAACATTAATCTTAATTGATATATTTATATCATTGAGTACTGCATGTAGAGGGGGCATGGTGAGAAAAATGTCCCTGGCCCCTCACATTTTAGGTGAACTTGAAATATACACATGCCATTAGTAGAACAGACTAATTGATATATATCATTATATCATTTGCTGTTACAGAAATTAATGAAATGAAATAAACGCCCTACTGCTCTTCTCCAACTGAGCTAATGAAGATGAGAATACACCATACAGTGTACTATGAGGGAAATTTTGCCCGGACAGCGGCACTATGGCCTACTGTTATATCGAATTCCAACAGCCAAGGGATCTTTTACATTGATTAATCGACTAGACAGCTACTTGAATCCTTTTTGTCTATCTTAGTTACTTTTTAAAACATATTTATATTTAACCTATACGCCTGCAATTTATAGCAAGAACTACATTAATCTTTATTAATATATTCATAATTATTACATTTTTCTGGATTTTATATTCTCATAATTTATAGAAAACTAAAAATATAATCTGAAGATAGATTTTAAAATTTGCATAAATGTAAACATATTTAATATAATTATAATGTTTTTCTAGATTTCATTCTTTCATAACTATTTCAGATTAAACTAAAAGTATTAGAATCACAAGTTTGCAAAGAAATTTATATGGAATACTTAATTAATCTTTAAAAAAAAAAATTCTTCACAACATCTAAATTATTATCAGTACGTGTCTGTCATGCAGATTATAATCCGAGATAAGATTTTAAAACTTTGTATTAACGTAAATAAATATGCAACCATAAAAAAACATTCCTGAAAATTAGAGTCTGTAATAATCTGCAAAAACTACAGTTTTAAAAAAGTAAAAGACAACCATTCTACCTTACATGTATAAAAATAATAGATTTTATATCGTTGTAACACACAGAACAATAAAAATATACCATAATAACCTAAACCAATTATATATGTCTAAAACAAATTTTATTTACATATGCAGGCAATACTTGTAAAAATCATTCACTAATCTTTAGAAACATGCAGGAGCATTACAGACACCGAATGTCATTTAAGTTTGTTTACCTTCACATCACCACCACCCGGTGAATGACTTGCATTTTCTAATGAACCGATTTTAGATTCTGTTTTCCAATCACACTTATATGTTTCTATCTTTTGTTTTAGGAGAAAGAATAATTTGAGAAAAAAAAATTATTGTGGCAGATTGGAATTGCTGTAAAAATATCTAATTCAATTTTAGATAAATAAAATCCAATACATCTATCTTTTATGGGATTACTGTGAACATTATCTGTGAGTATTTTGTTTTTTATCACAGCACATAAATTCTATTAATGGAAGTTTAAAGGTATGAAGTCACACATGAGTTTAGGATATAAGCAAACATGCTTTGTAAAGCCAAATGGGTGCATTATGGTAGTTGTTTAAGGATAGCAACAAAATCCTAAAAGCATACAATGGTGTCCATGTGTAACTAAAAGCCATCCCATGTTTGCCTTCAGTTTGCTGCTTAGATATTATTAGAAGCACACAAATTTCTGAAAATCTTCTCAAAATAACTGATATGCAATTGCTTAGTAAATTAAATTAGACCTTCTTTTGTCTAATTTGAAAATATATTGTGAAGTTCTGTCTTTGGGATTCTAATAAATCTCCAATGTAAGATGGTATGGTCAATGGGTGTGATCTGCTATGGCATATCCACCCATAACATGATATCAGCTAGTTCATAAAAACAAGAAATAACGTTTGAAACATTTTTTAAAATAAGAACACAAAAAAAAAGAAAGAAATTCACAATACCTTTTTTGCTCCTCCTCCGGCTTTATGCGTGGCATTGTCCAAAGATCCAATTCTTGATTCTGTTTTCCATTCTAATTTTTTACTTTCAATCTAAAGAATAATTTAAGAGATAAATTAGTTATTTTGTTGTGTATTTTGGGAGAAAGTCTTTGTAATGTGTTATTGTGATCTGAGAAAACAAACTACTGTGACACAAAATACATAAAAAAAAATTATTTCAGATGAAATGATGCATAAAAGTGAGGAATCAGATTTAAATATTGTGTCATCAAGGAGTCGTTCACTAAACTAAAGACAGAGAAAGAGAGAAAGAGAAATGGGGTTTAACATTCATTCAACACAAATCTTGGTCAATAATTCAATAATGTAGTGGTTTTTAGAAGTGGGAGGAAGCCCTTCTCCCTGTCATGTACAAACATGGGGTTGAAATCACAACACTTTACTCAATGACAGTGTTATGATCAGACAATTTGGGCCACCCAACCCCCTAACCATAACATCCTATCAAAACAGATTCAAAACCCAGATAGCATAACTCCCTGCATGTTATCGTAAAAAATCAATAGGAGTCTTACGTCTTCCAAGCCGAACAAGCTAATAAAAGTCGCCTTTAAAGTGTTAACATGTTTAACCACCTATTCAACCGCAAGTAGACGAATGGACCGATGAAATGAGAAGGGATTTATGATGATTGTTTTTGTTTTAAACAGGATAAAAGAATTTTGTATTCTTGTAAATCTGTGATTTACTATTCAATGCTTTCTTAATTCATTAATTGGCAACACATGTGATTGCAAAGCCCAAGCTTGAAGGCGATTCATGCAGTAAAAGCCATCCTGCGGAAAGCGATATTATATATCGTTGGTGAAGTGTCAAAAGGATGTATCTAGGAATTTCTAAAGATTAAGAAATAGAACCTTTTGCATTTCAAAATTTCCACAAATCAAGATACAACATTTGGACACATGATCATGATACCCAGAACAGTTCTAATTGGCATAGAGATTCACTGCTTAGACAGAAATGTGCATATTAATTGGAAGATTTTAAAAATGCAAAAAAGTGTATTTGACTAATTTCCCAAGATACACCCTTTTGACACTTCACCGACGATATACTTTTATTCAAAACATTCTCATCGGTTTTGAAATAATTGATATAATAGAAATGGTCTCCCAGTTAAATCATTTCTTCGTAAAAAGGTTAAATTCAACATTTTACAATATTGCTCCATTAGAGCAGCTAGCATGGGTTGTCAGCCCCAGGGGTCAAGGCAAGTATTTTGTGTCCTCTAAAAAATTGTACCCAGGGCATCTGCCACAATGCCTCTTTTTAAGTAGGATAACAAATCAAAATCAGGATGTAAAAAAATCAAAATTAGTAAAAATCAAAAATCAAACAAAGCCAAACAAAAAAAACTACGGCAATTTGTTAGTAAAATTTAAAAAAAATTATTCAAATTAAAAACCAAACAAAAATACAGAGAGAAAAGTGACTAAATCTGTTTCAGCTTATATCTGTGAACTTTTTTTATCTGTTACCCCTTTTTTATTACGAATTCAAGAAAACCTTGGATCTGTACGACACCTTACCTTTTTCTCCCCTCCACCAGCTCGATGCTTAGCATTATCCAGGGATCCTATCCGGGACTCGACTTTCCATTCCAATTTCTTACTTTCTATCTGTCAAAAATACCCAGGTCAAAAAACCTCATGAAACCTTCATTCAAAGCACCCCATTTAAGAAGAAGTATCAGGGAGTGAATTATCTGCATTGGTATTAAAACTTACTATGGAGTTGATATAGATGAATTAAAAGGCGATTTTCCAAAATAAATAAGTAAAATCTGATCAGATAAAAAATTTTCCAAAAGACATAAATTTTTAAATCCCCAATAAAAAGTAAAAGATGATCAGATAAAAATTGCCCAGATTTCTAAATCATAATAGCTCAAGTTATTGTTATAATTTCTGATATTAAAACTTTATTTTGAGATTGTTTTTTAAGACAAATTTCAAGAAGAGCAAAAAGTAAAAATTGATTCTAAAGTAAGATGCAAGTTTTCCCAAATCCAGAAATTACATAGATTTCTAAGTCTGAATAGCTCAAGTCAAGGTTTTGAATTTGTTATCATGGAAACTTTTAAATGCTCCCTAATATTTCCCTTAAATTGAACTGATCATGCCACCACCGATTTTTTTACCAAGAAAAAAAAAAAAAAAAAAAGAAAAATTAAAACACAGGCATCATGCTTGTCCACCATGCATACTGAAACAAATTGTTTGTAAAACTAATTGTTTAATTCTAGAACTAAGGATACTATAGAAGAAATGTGTGCTACAATTATTGAATAAAAAGCACAATAAAACTACACTAAAGATGTGTTTGTCTGTGTTCAATGGACTGCCTTAGATTCATCTTCACCTTGTCATAAAGTGACTAACATATAGTTCAATTTTATTCCAATAATCGCTTACATGTAGGGATCTTTAGCACTGGTGGGAAACCAGTGGACCCAGAGAAAACCCAGAAGGTTAATTTGGAGTGTGAGAGAGAGAGAGAGACAGAGAGAGAGAGAGAGAGAGAGAGAAATGGGGTTTAAGTACACTGGACACAAACTAGGTCATTTCAGGACTAACATATGGTTCAACTTTATTCCAATAATTCGCTTGTGCGTAGGGGTCTTTAGCAGTGGTAGGAAACCGGAGGGCCTGAAGAAAACCCATGAGGTTGGACAGGCGACCCTACTCCTTGTCACCAATTGAAACCACGTCACTTGACTGACCTAGTGATATAAAGCATTCGTATAAAACACTATATGGATCATTGCCGCCATCTTGGAATTGTGACATCAATCGAAGCACAATTGTCCAAGGAACAAGCCCAGACTTTTATCAAAGTGCGTCACCCTCACGAATAACAAGATGAAAAGCTCTTGGGAACAAGTCGAATTTTTATGACAAAGGTTGTTTCTATGGTTGGTTGGGGTGGGGCAAGGGAAGGGGGACAGGGGGGTCTAAGAATACATACATGCATGTACATACATGCATGTCCTAAAGGGAGAGAGAGAGAGAGAGAGAGAGAGAGAGAGAAATGGGTTTTAACGTCCACTTGATACAAACTAGATCATTTCGGGACTAACATGGTTCAATTTTATTTTAATAATTCCCATGCGCGTAGGGGTCTTTAGCAGTGGGAGGAAACCGGGGGACCCGGAGAAAACCCACAAGGTTGGACAGACGACCCTACTCCTTGTCGCGTACAATCAGGCTTTATGATACAGCGCGTGTAATCTAACCATTCGGCCATCCAATCCCTCAGGTCCTAAAGAGTTAATACAAGTTTCAACATGTTCCACTTCAGTCCATTGAACAACGGTGCTAACAATGGGATTTAAAATAAGCAAAAATATTTCAAATGGATTAGTATTTCTAATATTTTTTTTATTTTTAAGAATTTCACAACATGCATATACAGCAAATGCTAAACACACACTAAAAAAAACACACACACATTTTTTTTATTTTTAAGAATTTCACAACATGCATATACAGCACATGCTAAACACACACTAAAAAAAACACACACACATATAAATAAAGTAAAAAAAAAATCAAATATGAAGATGGTTGAAAAGCATGGAATTTGTAAACCCAAATAAGTGCAATTTTATGATAATTTCTTCTGCTGAAATATTTGGACCGATATTCTGATTTTCAATTGATCATCTGTTTGCAAATAGTGAAAGGAATTGACTCATATCTAGAATGATATTAGAGATTCAACTTCCCAGTATTGTACTTTGCAAAGGATGGGCAATCCCTTAAATGATGATAAGAGAACATAACCAAGTGAATTTTCGTAATTTGCAAGGGATTCCTTAACTCCTTAAATAGCGAATAGAGACTTTAACCGCCAAAATGAAATGGGGTTTAACGTCCTACTGTTCTGCTCCTATACTGGGGTAATGAAGATGAGCATATGCCATACAGTGTGCTATGAGGGAAATTTTGCCCGGACAGGGGCACTATGGCCTACTCTTATATCGAATTCCAACGGCCAAGGGGTCCTTTACGTGCATGCAATGTATACACAGGTCCTCGATTTTTCGTTCCATTCAAAAGACTAGACAGTTGTCCTTGTAAGGCCCTCTGTCCTGCACCACTGACAAGGGGAAGCTACACCAGAAAATCCCAATGAACTTTCTCAGCCAATGCAGGGATCGACCACGCAACCTCCAGGCTAGAGAGCCAGCGTCTTACCCACCGTGACTCCCTTTAACCACCGTGGCTCGCTTTAACCACCAAATTAACCTTAACTGAAACAATTGTGTAAAAAGTGAACGGGCTTCGGGATAACTGTATGGCAACATCCTGTATTTGTTTGTTAGGTTTTAGAAGAACTAAAGTTTTACTATTCTATAATTCTTGGAAATTCTATTCTGAGAGACATAGAAAGAGATGTGGTTTAATGCCCCCTCGACACCAACTAAGTGTCTGACATAATCTACTCTTAAATGAAACTTTTGAAACACAATACCGGTACGGTAGTCATTATTATAAAAATCTTACCTTTTTTTCACCACCTGTTGGCTTATGCTTGGCATTATCCATGGAACCAATTTTAGACTTGACTTTAGTAATTTCAACTTTCTTATTCTCTATTTTAACATTTCCTCCTCCTGTAATAAAATAATTCAATTAATTAACTAGCATGTTATTTAGGAACATATGATATATCTTAATATTTTAACATTTCTCTTCATTTCTTCAAATTGATCCACTATGAACCGAGAATTAAGCAATTGAAATTTTGGCCTAGCCTCAATCATCATTACTAAAGTCGGTACGATTAAAAACATAGTCTCAATTATCCATTTTTTGATTTAATCAGAAGCAGCAGACCGGGTTCTAATCCAGTAAATATAACAGGTAATTGTTATATTTAATGATCAGAGATTTTAATGTATATGACCTACCTGGTTTATGGTCCATCTTATCCTTGGATCCAATTTTACTTGTTACATTCTTATAATCTGTTTTCTTACCATCCATGATTTTAACCTGAAATAATAATACCGTTTTAATATTGTCAATAAATAATGAATCATTTAATAATTCATCATAATATTGTCAATAAAGATACATTATGGGAGATTTGGTAACGAGTTGGCAGTTCTCACTATAATAGTTAAAAACTAGATAATCTAAAGGCAATTTGGTGAAAATTTCATTCAAATTGATCCGCGATGAACCGAGAACTAAGCGACTGAAATTCCTATAAGCCTTGGTCATCATTACTAAAGTCAGTACGATAAACAGCACAGTCTCGATTATCCATTTAATCGTTTAATCGAGAAGGAAAGTTATGCAGTAAATCGGCTTACAATCCACTAAAGATCGCAGGCTAGCGCTGCCATCTAGAGATGATTATGGCCTGGATAGGTTAATTAATGTCTAATTAATAATTTAGATAACATTTCAGGCCTAAAGAAAGACCTGTAATAGACAGATTTAGCTCTTGCATAATGTATGTTTAAATAATAAATTGTTTTAATAATTAATCATTATATCGTCAATAAATAATATTCCGTTTTAATAATTAATAATAATATTGTCAATAAATAATAAATCATATGACATTATGATATCGTCAATAATTAATAATAATATTGTCAATAAATAATAAATCATATGACATTATGATATCGTCAATAAATAATAATAATATTGTCAATAAATAATAAATCATATGACATTATGATATCGTCAATAAATAATAATATTGTCAATAAATAATAAATCATATGACATTATGATATCGTCAATAAATAATAATAATATTGTCAATAAATAATAAATCATACGACATTATGATATCGTCAATAAATAATAAACCATTTTAATAATTAATCATAATATTGCAATCTGGTTAAAACACAGATCCTATTTCGTTTCGTTTTTATAGTTCAAAATTTCGTTTTACTTGTCTTCACTACACTTGGATCTGGAAGAGTTGTTATTTAACTCGTGTTCTGAATGGTGCCAAGGATAAGCCAATGAAACGGTCTGTTACGGCGAGCTTTAGGCGTGTTTTGCACGGAACTGTGGGTAATCCACTAGTAACATCAATGCTGATTGGTTAATCAAATGTTGGCGTCATAAGGTCGAAAGTCAGTCTTTTGACCCCAGGCGTGACCTATCGCTATAACTTGTCAGATCTTCGTGTAGTGTAGGCCATCGAAAGTATAAAAAAACGAAACGAAATATAGATCTGTATTGTAATCAGATTGATAATATTGTCAATAAATAATATTGATATCGTCAATTGATATCGTCAATAAATAATAAACCATCTAAACAATTAATCATGAAATCATGATATCGTCAATAAATATTATGTTTTAAATAAATAATAAATATTTTTTAATATTTAAATATGATGTTTTCAATAAATGAACTAATATTTAGCAAGCCCAGTAATTAATACTTGTAATCTATACTAATATTTGTGACTGTCTGTCTGTCTGTCTGTTTGTCTGTCTGTTCGGGGTTGGCGGCTACACTAGGTCTGCCCCGAGTCTGAAATTTGGGGTATAGGGGTAGCTTGGACCGGGGAGTAACATAGGCCAGGTGGCGTTAGTCTAACTCTTCCGGTTTCGGGGTTATGACCCTCAAGCGAAGCCGGGCATTCTTCTAATTGAATAATATTAAGGTGTTCTCAACAATCAGTAATTTATAATCAATATAATAGCTTTATCTGTGTGTTGGTTTTATGTTACGCTAGTTTCATAAGTGGTGAGTTGGCTCAGCAAAAATAGTTTTGCCTGGGTGGAGTCTTACATTATTTTTGTTATATTTGGTGAGTAGGCTACTAAAAATAGTTTTGCCTGGGTGTTATTTTTGTTACATGCGTTGAGTAGTAGAAATAGTTTTGCCTGGGCGGTGTCTTACATTATTTTTGTTATATTTGGTGAGTAGAAATAGGTTTGTCACAAGTTTGTATGGATTACATATATGGCTTCATTATCACGTTTCAGTCTTATTATTTCTTTAAGAATAAAACAAAAGAATATCTACGAGTTCTATAATTAAACCAGACAACTCCACTTGACTTATATTGTATAAAGAAGTGAAATAATCAATTGATTAAATTACAAGTAATATGATCAATAATTGATTACGAGTTATATTGTTATACGATTCAAGTGTGATATACACCCCATAACCATATCATTATCAACTATTATACTAACTAAAATCCATTATAGATAACGTTTTTAGACTAAAGGCTTCTGTCATCACTTATGTCTGTTGTCTGTTCTGGTGGGGGGGGGGGCGGCCTAATGGTTAGCGCGTGTGTGTTGTATCACAAGGTCTGTCATTGAGTCAACTGGTGTGGTTTCGATTCCCCGGTTGTACGTGACAAGGTGTAAGGTCGCCTGTTCAACCTCATGGGTTTTCTTCGGGTCCTCTGGATCCCTCTCACTGCTAAAGACCCCTACGTGCAAGTGAATTATTGACATAGAATTGAACCATGTGTTAGTTCCGAGAGAGAGAGAGAGAGAAATGGGGTTTAACGTCCACTCGACACAAACTAGGTCATTTCGGGACTAACATATGGTTTAATTTTATTTACATAATTCGCTTGCGCGTAGGGGTCTTTAGCAGTGGGAGGAAACCGGAGGACCCGGAGAAAACCCACGAGGTTGGACAGGCGACCCTACTCCTTGCCACGTACAACCGGGGATTCGAAACCACGCCAGTCGACTCAATGACAGACTTTATGATACAGCGCGCGCACGCTAACCATTCAACCATCCAACCCCCCGTGTTAGTTCCGAAATGACCCCCCTCTCTAGTTTGTGTGAGAGGATTAAACTCTCTCTCTCTCTCTCTCGAACTCTCTTGTTTGTCCTTTATGTGTATAAGATACAGGGTTAGATACATGCCCTATAACCATAATATTATCAACTATTATCCTAACTAAAATCCATTATATCTGGTTTTTTTATAAACTAGGGGCTTAGTCATCTCTTCTGTCTCTTGTCCACCCGTTCTGTGTAAACAATAAGTAAGGCTGACCTTAAAAATATCTTTGTTTCGCCTAACGCGACCGACTAACTAAAACCACCCCCGACTTAAATTATTTTATTGCACTTTTCCGTGATCTTTTTATTTTATTTTGTGTGTCAACCTGAAATATATCACGAGAGTTATTTCAATTTACTATGGCTATGGTTTGATTCATTATTGAAACTGGTTGATCAAGACGAAAGCATCATAGGTGTCGCTTCTCAACAAAATGGTTGTAGACGAAAGCACGTCCATTCCCACGAAATGATTCTGCCTCTATTTTTCTCGAAAACGGATATTGAATATCCGTTTTCGAGAAAAATGAAGGCACAACCCGCACGATCGTTAAAAAACGTGTTGAGGGAGTTTCAAACGTCAGTTTCTGGCAATTCGTGTGCGAGTCGTGTATCACTAAAAATCCCAATGTCATTGATTTGTTTGACAATAAAAGAAGACGAATGTTTGCACCGGAAAATTATCAAGCTGTCAAATTAGCTCTTAAAAAAAAATCTGAAAAAAAACCCCGACCTACCGACCCTTCTCCTCGATTGTGGGTCGGGTTTGGTGAAACAAAGATATTTTTAAGGTCAGCCTAATATTCAATTCCTTCTTCTTAACTACTTTATGGATTTCAACAATATTTGATATGTTTGTTGCCAGAAGGGTGTTTATTCCGAGAGAGAGAGAGGGAGGGAGGAGTGGGTTTTAACGTCCATTTGACACAAACTAGGTCATTTCGGGACTAACACATGGTTCAATTTTATTTCTATAATTTGCTTGTGCATAGGGGTCTTTAGCAATGGGAATAAACTGGAGGACCCGGAGTAAACCCACGAGGTTGGACAGGCGACCCAACTCCTTGTCACGTACAACCAGGTACCTCGAAACCACGTCACTTGATCCAACGCATTACCCATTCGGCCAACCAACCCCCCATTCAGATTTGAAGTTGCTTCAATCCACACAGACTTCTCTTTAAAGATATGCGATTAAGCCCCTTGGGCCACTTGTTTATTAAACTAGATTTAAAAAAATCAGCATTTTTTATATTAAATATCTTTGGGTTAAGGTCTGATTATAGTGGAAATAATTAAACTTGATTTTTTTTATTCTCCTCTCATGATCCATTTTGGAAAAATGTGATTAAGTTCCCTTAATTAACGCAGAGAAATCTGTTTGCTTTTATTTATTAATTTGATGATCCTATATGAAGATATCTTTTTTTGTTTCTGTGTAAAAATATCAAGTCTTGAGTTTATCGATCTCCTTTCTAAGTTTATTTAAGTCACTGAATAATAGAACTACAGAAAGATCAGACAAACAGACCCGAGGCAAGTTCTTCATAGATCAAATTAGTCGTTTATTTATAATTCATTGAATTGATCAGAAAAAACAATATATAATGATTTTACAAATTATATAAAAAACAACCGCTGGTTTGTACAACATTTAGACATTAGTGTTCTCTTATCAAGTACAAATAAGAATACTACTTGTGCTATGATGGAAGGGATCTTTTCCATGCACATCAAAGAATTTCAGAACATGCTTTTCCCTTTCATCTATCCCGTCTCCCCACCCCCTCTGCTTCCCCCCACTCCACCCCATATATACGTCAACTTGATTGATGTAAGATTTTCAAAAAAAATGTGCTATTCACTTCTAAATCCCTACTCCCGTCCACGCAGAGATATAAGCCTATTTGATATAAGGGTTGATTCAGGAATTTAAAACCTTATTAGTCCCTTCCATTCCCTCTCTCCCAATATAAGCGTAATATTGGTTGGTCCCCAGATCCATTCACTTGATTCGATATATACTTTTGTTGTTTATTGCTTACACTGTCTGTGTAGTAGTTTGCTTACACTGTGTATATTGTGTATCTTGTCCACAGGTTTGTCTTTTGGTTTTTCTTTTTGTGTGTATTGTCCACGGGTTTGTTTATGGGTTTTGTTTTAGTGTGCCTTGTCCACAGGTTTGTCTATGGG